ATTTTCTTAATAAAAAGTCACGCGATCTTTCATCTCTGAAGAGCAAGCAGACGGTACCTCAGTTTAATAACTCACCTCAGAGAGGGGGTGCTACTTCATGCTAAAGATTAGCCCATAAAAGTAGACGAATCAAATAGAATGGAATGGTTTCATTGTGGTTTAAAGAGTTGGTTTGGCCATTGAACTGAATTTATAGCAGACAGTCTGGTTCAGAACCCCCCAGCTTTCCTCAGCAGGTTCTATGCGTTATTATTAGACCATGTTCCTTTTTCGTGTGTCGGGGGGGGGGGGGAGAGAGAAAACAAAAGAGGGGGAGGATTAGTTGAGATGAATTGACTCCTCGACTTGCATGTTGCTCGTGCTAAAAGGCTCATTTTCAAGATCAATGTCTACAATGAGCAGCTGCCAGCTACCAATTTAGCTTTACTTATTTTTGTATCTATAATAGGCCATTAATTTATACTGGACTGGAGGCAACCAGTTGTAACAGCTCCATCATACTGCTGCTTTTGAGCTTCTGTTTCCATAGCAAAGATAGCTAAAGTGGATCAGTGAGAAGTATCCGTCTTGCGAGCAGTAGTCTGGCCTCGTTGCAAGTGAGTTATAAAGAGGGACACAGATCATAACCCATTGCTACTCCTCTTGTATTCTGAGCACATCTCATCAAGCAAAGAATTTAAACTGAAAGGATGAGCTTGACTTGAAGAACTGTGCAAACAATATGTAATATCGCTGGTGTGTTTACCACTCATTTAGATACACTCCATATATAACCATTAGGTTCCTTTTAATGATACAGAATATTGACTGATCAGACAATTAGTAGGTAAGGGACAACGTTACTCTATCGCAATCCTATTCAAAAGAACAAACTGTAGTATAAATCTGTTTTATTCTCTCTACCCACCCAATACATACAATGCTATGTATGTGATGTTAATTCTGTTACTGTCCAATCTTTCTTTCCCCCCCATAATAATAATAATATTCTGGCAACAATTTGCCAGCAGTTGAATTTATGGTCCGGAATGTGATAGCCCTAATTATGGATATTTTCCCTTCTTGGCACTTTACGGCATGGTTTGTTATCAGTGCACTGACAATAGATTAGATCTCGTTCACTCTGCAAATTGTGGAGTAGGTTTCTCTGGAGAATGGAAGTAACAAAGAAATAAACTGGTTATGTGCGTTGCATCGAATTGAATCAGTGTTGCCGGGAAGATTCATATTAACAATCTCACGATTTATAGTCCAACAGATATTCTAATTTTGACCACAACAATTAAATGCTGCCCTTACTGGTAGCAAAGTCTATTAATACAATGAGTCGAGTGCATAAAGCAATGTGCTAATAAGAATGGTAGTTCATTACAATCTCTGCCAGGGCTGGTTAAGTGTTTTATTAATAAGTCACTGATTCAATGTGGGGCATATCTTTCTTTGTGTTAGTATGAGTCATAGTGTAAACATTGGTAATTTTATTTTACTTACAGATATTGCTAATCTTTCACTTTGGACTGAACACAACCCAGAGGATCAAGTGTAGAACGAGGGTTCAGGGATGGAGGTGGGGGGAAGGGGGGGGGGGTCAAAGTGCAATCTTGGCCAAATTGAGGTGAGGGATACGGGTGTCACCAGTGGGGTTCAGATTGGGATCGTGATTGAAACATGATGTAGCCAATGGCTTTACAAACGTATGCAGAGCTAAGTCGAGAGAAGGAGGCAGAATTGTGGAGCTGATCACAGTGAACACTTCTTATGGTCTTTCTCACATATTCCTAATGACCCTCTCCCCCCCCCCCCCCCCCCCAACTGGCTCTGCCGCTGCAGAGGATACATCGTTAAATGTCAGCTCTTATTGATACTTGTAAGTGGTCAAAAAACAAAATGATTTTTAGTAGCCTTGAGTGTTACCCAGGGGATGTGACCCTCCACAAAGAGCCGTAATCAGCTCGAAGGGATGCTCAGTTAAATGTCAGCCACGATAGAAGTGGGGTGTGTTCTGCAGGATTTTGCATTCTTAAACCATTGCTGAGGGGTGCCTTTGTTTAAGTGCAATGTTGTGCATTTTAGAAATGAAACACATCTAGCATTTGAAGATTGTACCAAATGGAACCATTACTGGTGATAATAAAAGTCATTCGTCAGACTGTCGTAGGATGATGGCACTGATTTCCATTTTCTCGTGGATCTTGAAACGTGCAATGTTGAAGAAAACCAAGTCTAGTCTACGCTTACCCTCCAATGCCCTGCCTGGGGAGTGCCACATTGTCAGAGATGCCTTTCTTCAAATGAGATGTTAAACAACGGTTCAGGTGAACTCCAAAGACCCCATGGTGCAAATTGAAAAGAGAAGGGAAGTCCTGGACAATGGTCCTCCAGATAAAATTGATTCACGGCTGTTTGTGGGGCATTGCTGTGGGGCATAAATTGACTGCTGACAGTCAAACTAACAGATTAATTGAACATTTATATTTTGTTACTTTTTCAGTTTATAATCGAATGCTCTTCCACATAGGTGGTAAACATTTACAAAGTTATTCAAGTTTAGATGTGCGGCTTCATTCTCGAACCACTTTGCCTACACAACGGTCACTACACCCAAAAGTAACTGTGTATGTAAAGGGCTTTGAGAAGTTTCAATATGAGCTATTGTATCAAGTGCAAGCATTTGTATTTAACCGGGCACACTCTTTAGTTCCACCATTGAAATTGTGAATGCATCTGTGATCTGCTAAAAGCTAAACTGGGTTTATTCTCTCCGGTGCATTTCCTTTTGCACTTCAGTGTAATACTGTATTGTGCACCAAGGCCAAAAGTATATTTGCCCCAATGCTCAGATTTAACAATGAACCAAGTTGAAAAGCAAACAGTGATTTGAGATCACAATGGGATGTTTGGCTGCGAGATGGAGATCCTTTCATTTCTACCCAGCAGATTGAAGTGCATAGAAATTAGGCATGCAGTAGGAAGTTTCTATAATATGTCTTCTAAATTAGAAAGTGCTTCCCCTCGACACTCACGAGAAGGCTGAGTTGTTTCTGGAAACTGTCCAGAATATGCATCCGACTGAAGCATTCCTGACTGTAGAAATCACTGATTTTTCACAGCGTCGGTGGCAGTGATTGGATTGTGGAAGTAAATTGAATCAATGTGGCTTTTAATTTGGAAGCAAAGCTTGAATGCTTCCTGAAATAATTACTTCTTAAAGCTGCAAAGATCAATTTATTGATCGCAGAGTCGCAAATTTGAATTGTAGACAAGGTGCAGATGGTTCAAATGATGCTGACTCTATGACATTGTGAACAGGTTATATCAGCAGTAAAAGTAATCTAAAATGACATGGTGCACATTTATGGCTGACGTTGTTTAATACAGAAAGCTGGCTTTGCTGCTCCTCAGCCATGATAATGTGCCGTATTGGTTTGTAGACATTAATGTCGTAACATTAGTGGAAATATATTATTATAGATTTTAAAACCCATTTGGTGTTGGCATTATATTTGATAGCGGAGATATGTGGCGAGAATTATCAGATTTGAAACTAATGTAAAAATCATAAAACAAGTGAGCTGTGAAAAACCCCAACTATCAGATAATAAGTAAAGTAATTGGGTCTTGCAGAATCGGTGTGAGAAGCAAGTCTGAGTCAATCAGCCTATAATCGACCAGGTTGCCCATATGTTAGGCCATATGTCTTGCGTTAGGCTCTAGGATAAATTGGTATTCATTGTGTAAATCCATAGCCTCAATTTGTAATTTTAAGGACTAATAGCGAGCCAACTGTAGAACCTTTACAGATTCTTAAAAGTGTAATAGCCTTTCTTTTCAATTAAGTTATTCTTGTTTTGAGAAAATACAAAACAAGAATATTCCTAAGGAATAATATTCCTTCATATTTCCTTAGAAGGAAATACGTAAAATTGAAAATTTGGTCAAACAAACTAATCTCAGCTCTGTTTCCATTTGCTATTGTTTCACAGTACAGTCCCATTCACGAATTTGCACCATCAATCAGAGAGGTTTAAAGGGATGACTCAGTTAGACAATGGAAATAAAGCTTATTGTTGGGGTAAATAGATTTATCCTGGTTTACACTAAGTGACAAAAGTGGAGCAAATCCCATTTCCCTTCATCTCGATTAGCACAAGCATCTACCTGGGCATGCTGATGTCACTGACCCACTGTATATGTTTCTGCTTTCATTGACTTCAGAGATCTGAGAATGGCAGGTGGAAACAAGTCTAATTCTCCCATTCTCCAGCACACATCTCCACCATGGAGTAGACCCAAAAATGTAATGGCAGCCACTTTGCCCACAGCAATCTACCACAAACAGCCATGAAATGAATGAGCGGTTTTATTTGGGGAAATTGTTCACCGGGAAATTCACCTGCAAGATTGAGATTTTGAAACGTAACTCTATTCCACCCGAGATTGTAATACTAGATAAACAAGCATTTGCTTTGCGATACAGGCTTCAATCTCAATGCTACACTGATGATCATTTTCTGGCTGTTTGCCTGCTTAGTAATGTAGTCTGACTTCTTTTTAAAAATGTGAAATTGTCCTTTTCTTTTAGTCTCTTGTTATATTGCCATATAACTTCTTATCTGCAGAATAGTACAACTGGACTGTTCTCATATTAGGTTAATCATGCATTACTTGTGGCTCCATTGCAAATAGAGACATAATGGAAAAGGGCTGTTGCTATTTTGTACTTTTTAATCTGTTTTTAAATCCCAATCGGGAGGATCTAATGCATTTCAAAATTTTATAATAATCCTTGCATTTGATATAGCGCCTTATCACGTCTTCCGATACATCTCAAAGTGCTTCACAGAATATACTGTAAAGTGAAATGACTATAATTTGTGGGTGAAAATTTTTACTCTAAACTGGAGCCATAAATCACTTTGAATTGGATATTCTCTTCCTCTGCAGGCTGTTTAGAATTTGACAAGGTTCTCTGAATATCTGTTTGTATTTTGTTTCTACAGACCTTCCGTATGGCCGAAAGGTTTTATTGGGAGTCCATGTTGGTGGAGTGGGAACACGACAAGCAGAAGATCCTTCACACACTGCTGGCATCGGGAGAGGATGCTCTTGACTTCACCAACGAGAGTGAGGTGAGGTGTATGGTCACCTGAAAAGTATAAACCGTAGAAGCAGATTAAATAAACCTCATGCTGATCACAGCGCGAAACCACTTCAGCAGCTAAATACCGGGTGGCTGAATACTAAAAGCTTCTTGATTAATCTTCATTTTTAATTTAAAATTGAAAGAAAATTAATTTCCAGTGCCTTGGGACATCCTCCAAAAGTGAAAGGTGTTGCACAAATGTAATTTGTTGCTGTTGTTGTTGCCTTGTTTCTTATTAAAAACGCAATTGAAGCAATAAAAAAAGCCCATCAGGTCGCTCAAAAGAATAACGACTTGCATTTATATAGCAAAAATAGTTTGTTTTTAGATAAGTCAACAATGAGGATGTTTATATGGAACTTTGCAGGTTTTATCTGGGCAGTATTACGTTTTAGAAGCTACTAGTCTGGTGCCAGTACCCAGTGAGACAACCCTGTATAGTTTAAAACCTGCTTGGCAGTACAATTTACTGAACTTGGATTGTAATTGTCATTTCGATTTTAAAATACTCGTGTCATAATAATTCTGCTTGATTTGACATGGACAGTTAAAGGGAATAACACCCAGACACATTGTAGAACTACAGAATTGTATTTTGGAGACCTCTCAAATAAAATAAATATAAGGCGGGCAGTGGGATTAAATTGGTCTCCTTGCTCTCTGAGTTTGGTGGAGAATCAGTTGGCCAAATTGCTTTCCTTCTGCTTTGTAGATTTCTATATTTCTAAGCTCATCTTTTAGCCAGCAAATATTGTTTTGAAACAAAAGCAGAAGTCACTGGGAACACTCAGCAGGTCAGGCAGCATCTATGGAGAAAGGAAAGTGAGTCGACGTTTCGGGTCCACGACCCTTCGTCAGAACGGAATATTGTTTTGACTTTGAGTTACAGACTGGCATACAATTTCTCTTCAAACATAATGATGCTTCTGCCTTTGTAAACAGCCGAGTTTCATCAGTGAGATGGGGCCACCAGGCCGAAGTGCAATGGACAGTATCGAAATGGCCTATGCTCGACAGGTGTGTATGTGCCGTTTTCTATCTGCTGGTTTTAGGCTTTGTGGTGCAATAGCTGTCATCAGTTCTGAAATTTGTTTTGTTAATTCTTATTCAATATACTCTGACAGTTTTTGGTGATTATTATGTATCTAACTCCTATCAGAGTCTACAAACACAGAATGCCCTATACCTAGGGCTTCTGACTTTCGGTTTTACTTGAAAAACCCCGATAAAACACGTTACAATTTTTATGCAAGGCTCTGCACAGTGAGTTCCTCAGTCTGTGGCTGTGCACCTCACAGAGGCAACACAAAGCACAGATGTGGCAGTGGCTGAGCAGGAGGTTCCTTCTGACCAGGAAATGATACATTGCACGGGGTGCCCAAATAAAAAGAGGGGGTGTGGAATGCCCTAAAGTGATACAGGAGGGGCAGTAAATACCACTGGCTGTGAGTAACAAAAGATACATGCAGACTCCCATATCAAACTCCTATCAGTCTACAAATACAGAATGCCCTATACTTAGAGCTTCTGATTTTCGGTTTTACTTGAAAAACCCCGAAAAAACACCCCCGATTCAAAAAAAAAATGAAATCTGTCTTTATCCAATAAACCCCAGAAAACACTGACCTGACGGAAATTGCTTTAATTTCTTTCTCCGCATTTCTCCTCCATGTGCGCAGATGTGTCTGGTGACGTGTTTGTGAGAGGAGGGAGGCACTGCGTATGAGTGAGCGTGCCTCGCTGCCCTTCCGAGTGCACAGGCACTCCTGGATCTTATTAACAAGTAATAAATGAAAGATCCCAAAACCCCAAATTTTTAGAACTCAAAAAAAACCTGAAAAATGTAATTTTTAAACCCCAAAAAGCAGAAGCCATACCTACACTGTAACACTTGATTTAATCTATGTTTCAGTGTGATGTTTCTCATTGTGACTTTCATCTTGTGCTGACTTGCTCACATACCCAATATACCTTGGTCCCTGATGAGATTATATATGATGATTCAAAGTAAATGAAATGTCCACCTACAGAGCCATGACCACATACACATCCATGGGTGTGTGATATAAATCGCTGTCAGTCTCAGAAAATGTATCTTATATTTTCCTTCCTTTACTGCAGATCTTCATATATAATGAGAAGATTGTCAATGGGCATCTCCAGCCAAACCTGGGAGATATTTGCAGCACTGTAGCTGAGTGTTTGGATGACAAGGTACCTAGACATACTCCTCTGGAGCTGATATTTTATATCCTTCCTATAGTGATCATAACCAAATAACAAAACTTGCTTGTGTGCATTTCCAATTTAATATAACTGTGTTTCTATACCGTTACACCATGTTTTGGGCTTTTTCCATCAAAATTGATGAAAAATTCCGGCTGGGGTTGCAGTCGGTTGTTCACCCCAACTGTTGTGACCCACCTTGTATTTAGTTATCCTGGTCAAACTTTGACTTTGTCTATAATTATTCTGTTCAAACGCTGAGCCTCTGGTTTCCTGGGTGCAGCTCGTCAATTTGGCCCTTTTTGTTACGATTAAAGCTAAGTCTGTTCAGTGGTATTGGAGTGTGTGTGTGGGTTAATGCCAGAGACTCCTTATGTCAGTGGTCATCATTTCGCCTCGTCACTCCGCCCATGTTACAGAAGTTATGGACCGAATACAGTGACAGATCATTATCTGTCATGAAAATAATGGCAGCACGCGCACATACATACACACGCATACACATACACACACCGATCCTTTGGACATCTAAATACAGTTAAACACTTGTACTGAATACAATTAAGTACTTCTAAATATAATCAGCATTCTTCCACGTGTTTCAATTGTTGTTCAGTGCACTGTAGAGAAAAAAAACCTGGGGTAACAGGACTTTGTGAACACTGTGTACTTCACCCTTTCATCACTATGAACCTGTCGTAATTGTGCAAGCACGACAGGTTCAAAAGGGGAAACCATTTTACATGCATAGATTCATAGACATGGAAATAGGAGTAGGCTATTCGGCCCCTCAAGCCTGTTCTGCCATTTTATAGGATCGTGGCTGATGTGTACCACAAGTCCAGTTACCCGCCCTTGCCCCATATCCCTTAATACCCTGACCTAACACAATATTTATCTACAAAACCCAAGATACTGTAGATACTGGAAATCTGCAACAAAAACAGAAGTCACTGGGAACACTCAGTAGGTCAGGCACGACAGGTTGATTCACTTTCCTTTCTCCACAGATGCTGTCTGACCTGCTGAGTGCTCCCAGCGACTTCTGTTTTTGTTTCAAATGTTTATCTACCTCCAGCTTGAAAAAGTGAATGGTAACCTCGATTTCAAGGGCATCGTTTACGGTGCAGTGGAAAACATTTCAGCTCATTTGATTAATTTATTGCTCGCAGAATGTCTCTGAACTGTGGGCGATGGTGAAGCAGATGACTGATGTCCTGCTGGTGCCGGCCAGAGATGCACTGAGTTGCCGCACGGGAATGGAGATGCAGATGGGGTTCGTAAGGCAGGCAATGCAGTTCCTGGAGCAAAGGTGAGAAATCACGTACGAGTTTGAGAACCAGCTGCGTTTTAGTGTCCTCTTTGTGTAATAATTGTGTGCATGCAATGTCTTTCATCCCCTGACTGTCCAGTGTCCTGGGACGTCTTTCCAAGGGTAACTTGTTGTTGGAAGTTCAGCTGCACTTTAAAAATCCTGATGCAAAATAAAGCCAATACTCTTTGGAATTATTTCATGATGTCGGAAGGTTTTGTTTTATTTGTTAAGCTATTCGCCACAGCAACCATTCCAAAATATAATATCTTTGTGAATTTTTATTTCTTGAATAATTTAATTGATTTGAATTAATTTCAGGGCCATGGGACACTCCCGACATGAAAAGCGCTGTATAGCTGTAAATTTGTATTATAGTGTAATTATTAGTAAGTACTGTTGTAAAATAAATGTGAATGCATTTTGTTTTCAAGAAAAGGATCAGTTGTTTGAGCTTTTGAGAGAGCTTTGAGAGATAGGTCTCAAAGTAGCGGATGGTTGAACTTTGATTGTGCGCCATAATTAAGGGGATTCCTGTCAACTATTATAAATGGTAGATAATTGAGGTTCTGTCTGTTCTGTGTATAGGTGCAGTACTTGCACCAAAGTACTTGCCACAGCCTCATGTAATTTGTTTCCTTCAATTATCGTATCCACAGCTACAAGAACTATGTTATGGCGACAGTCTACGGAAACCTGCACCAAGCTCAGTTAGGAGGGGTGCCTGGCACTTATCAACTTGTCCGCAGCTTTCTTAACATTAAGCTACCGGCTCCTCTGCCAGGACTGCAGGTATTTATATCCTCATCCAAAATATGGTCGGGAATTTAAAACGATATCTATTGTTTAGCAACATTGTACATTTATATAGCAGGATGACCAGAAAGGGCTTTACGCACTGACTGGGAGCTCAGCTGGGGATGTGGGGGTAGGGTCTGAGGTGGCCGGAAACATGGTTGAAGGCTACAGGTGTTAACTTTGCCCAGTTGATAGAATTCTTGCCTTTGAATCAGAAGGATCAAGTCCCACGGACTTTGAGTTCACAATCTAGACTGACATTCCAGTGCAGAGCTCGGGGACCCCTACACTGTCGAGATGCATTGTCCTTCAGATGAGATGTTAAACCAAAGTCCTTTCTGCCTTTTGAGGTGGACGTTCAAGATCCCAAATCACTATTATAATAATAAGAATAATCCTTGCATTTGATTTAGCGCCTTATCACATTGTTGAGACGTCTCAAAGTGCCTCACAGAATATATTGTGAATCGTATTGACTATTTTGTGGGCGAAACGCGGCAACCAATTTCGCACAGCAGCACAACCTTCTATCCGAGAAAGAAAAGGTTGTTTCTCCCGGTGGCCTCGGTGAATCCACTTTACAGTAAAATCCTATGAAGTGCCTTGTGATGTTTTGACAATGTGATAAGGCCCTAAATCAAATGCAGGAATTATATAATTCCACATTCTACTCAGTGAACTGAGTGCTAATAGTCTTGAGATAATTAATTGCCACATCTACCAGTGAAAAATCCAGCAGATAAAGAGCTGTCAATGACCCGTTTCCTAACTTTGTTTGGATTGATCTAGGACGGTGAGGTTGAAGGTCATCCGGTCTGGGTTCTCATCTACTATTGCTTGCGCTGTGGGGATTTGATAGCAGCGATGCAGGTGGTGAATCGCGCACAACATCAACTGGGAGAGTTCAAGAACTGGTTCCAGGAATACGTGCAGGGTAATGACAGAAGGTAAGTGTTGACAACTCATGGCTTCCAATCTGCATTGCTGCTTAGAAAATTGCAACTTCATTGCCTGCATTAAATTCTAATCTCAGCATTTTTGTTATTGTCAAGTGAGCAACGGTCTACTTAGATTATGGACATGTTTTGTGTGTCCCCCATATCCTGAATCTCCCACGTCACTAAGACTCGTTCATCCTTGTTTGGGCTGAATTAGGTTTTTGGCATCATAATCAAAACAGTAATCTTGCACTGGACTTACTTCAAACCGTGTTTCATTTTTATTCTCTTCCTTTATTTAATCCCACTTCACCTCACAGCCGAGGTTCTGTGGTTTACATCAGACTGTTCGTACCACAACTGCTGCTGTACTTTGTCTAAGCCTGAACAGTAAGTGTTATTGAGGCTGTGAGGGACTGAGAAACATTATAGCTAAACGCAGTACTGCCCTGCCATCTGATTTGGGGGGAGGGTGGGTGTGGGGGGGAGATAGAGGTAAAGAAAGATCAAAGAGTGAGAGTAGGGATACCTTCTGGGGGTGTGTGTGGATGCTTTCACGTACACAATCAGGGATATTGCCTCATCTCAGCTTTTTTTCCTTCTATGTTTCTTTGTGTGTGTGTGTGTGTGTGTGTCTCTCTCTGTCCACATGTGTCTCTGGTCTGGCTCGGTGGTGTGGTTCTGTGTGTGTGTGGCTGTGTCTCTATGGTTTTGTCGGGGTGTGTGTGTCTCTCTCGGGCTGTGTCTCTCTCTCTCTACGTATCTGTCTGGCTCGGTGTGTGTGGTTCTATGTGTGTGGCTGTGTCTCTATGGTGATGTGGGGGTGTCTCTCTCTGGCTGTGTGTGTCTCTCTGTCTCTCTCTGTCTGGCTTGGTGTGTGTGTATGACTGTGTCTCTGGCTCTGTGTGTGTCTCCACTAGGTTGTCTCCTACAGCAGAGAACAAACTTCGCCTCCATTACCGACGTGCCTTACGAAACAGCACTGACCCATACAAGAGAGCCGTCTACTGCCTGATTGGCCGATGTGATGTCACTGACAGCCATAGTGAAGTTGCTGATAAGACAGATGACTACATCTGGTTAAAGGTACAGTTGCACTCTCCTTACTGCCTATTTGTAGGGTACATGTTTTGCCACCTTGTTTAACGTGGTCCCAAAAATTAGACGCGGGTTATGTAACTGATCCACAAGCGCAGTGGCTGCTTGGCCCTCCTCTGGGCTGTAAAGCCACCGCATATGCAGGGATTCAGCTGGTTCATGCTGGAATCCAGATCTGGTGACAGACTCCATAGGAGGTCCGTGCTGCAAGCGAGCTCACACTTGAGCGAGGTGCTTAACAAGGGATCACCTTCTCCACAAGCTTTGCGATTGCAGCTTTAAATCCCAGGCACTATCCTTTCAGTTGTCGAATGTTCAGATTGATAGATGGTGAAACGTGAGGCTCCAGTGAAGCACATACTGCTGGAAAGCGCTCTGGGACGCTACCCGGCATGAGGGATGCTATATAAATGCAAGGTGGTGGTGCTGTTTGCATGTCTACTACCTTTGTTTATTTCACTCGTTTTCAGCTGAACCAGGTGTGTTTTGAAGATGATGTCACCAGCTCCCCTCAGGACAGGCAAACACTGTCTCAGCTGCAGAGCCAGTTACTGGAGGAGTATGGTAAGCTCACTGCTTTACCCTCAAATTTGAACTGTCAAGTCGGGAGCTTGTCCACTTCAATGTTCTGATCAATGTTCCCAAGCACCTGGCCTCGGGTGCAATGCCTTTTGCCTGACCCTGGATCTCCACATGTATTGATAATTGCTGGGTGAGTGAATCCTGCCCTTTTGGGTCGGTCTGTCATGGCTGAAGATTTGTGAACTCAAGTGAGAATCCTTGTGTTTCCATATTAAAAAAAGTAACCAAATATATGAAAACTGATGAGCAATAAGAAGTGTGGTGAAAATCTCCGTGGAGCTGTAATTTTAACCTGTTTCCTCATACTTTTGCTGCCCTGCACGAAAGGAGATAAAGCCACAGTTCCAGAGCCAAATTGCTTTGCTCTTGTATTAAGGCGAGATGCCTCAAGTAGCTCAGTGCTCATTGTGCATCAATCCTGACAGCTACAAGGAACAATGGTCTTGTTTTAGCAGAACAGCGAGTTTCCATCTGTCTTGATGGAAGAGACTTCTTTTGCCCCAGCACCAAACACAAGGTTTTGTTCTCTGTGTTTGATGTTTTTGAAATGTCATGGAAACTATCAGCCCTGAGAGAGACAGTTAAGTATTTCAGCGTTGGCGTGGACCTGAATATTTCTCCTTTTCCTCTTCAGGTGAATCCCACTTTGCAGCCGCCCAGCGTCCGTTCCTGTACTTCCAGGTCCTTTTCCTGACGGCTCAGTTTGAGGCGGCGATCGCCTTCCTCTTCCGCTTGGAGCGATTGCGTTGTCACGCCGTTCATGTGGCGCTGGTCCTTCATGAGCTGAAACTTCTCCTGAAGTCGTCAACCCACAGCGCACAGCTACGTGAGTGCACAGCTGGAGCTGTCTCTTGTGGTCTGTAACTAAAATGATTTGGCCGAATCTTAAACTCCCCATTCTCCAAATGGCAGTTTGAAAAAGGATTTGGCTTAATCCCAGTTACTCCTTGCCCATTTTACTGTCGCCAATTCCCGTGCTCCTAAAGTAGATGGAAGGTCTGAGGTGCATCAGTAATCCAGTCCTGATCCAGCAGTCTGCCTGACTGCCCCACATGTGCCTCACTATACGGCTAAGTCCCTGTGTTGGTTGACTTTGATCTTCCAACCTGCCAGTGTTCTGTAATTGGAGCTTCCAAACTACCACCTGAACCCATTCATACACTGACATTTTGGTTCTCTTTCAAACATTGTATTTATTGCAGTGAGACAGACACATGAATTTCTTATTTTAGCCTCCAAGACTTTTTCGCACACGCTAATCCCCGTGACATGATTCAGATTAAATTTGATTCTCCCCGATCCTGTTTTGCAGAAGGTTTGCACATTCCCTTCCTGAGATTTTGCTTGACTTGCCTTTGGTTTAAGGAACATTACATGTCAAGTTTTATTGACCCGGTTGCTGATCCTACTCAGAGCTGTCCTTTACAAGTTACTGTAATCCAGTGTCTGTTGCCTCTCCACAGTGACCCAAGAACCCGGTGATCCTCGTCCAATACGACGTCTTAATTTCATCCGCCTGCTCATGCTCTACACCAGAAAGTTTGAGCCCACTGATCCCAGAGAAGCTCTTCAGTACTTCTACTTCCTCAGGTACCACTTTCTCTGTCGGTATTAGTTATCAAAGCAATAGATGAAGCTGGTGCTCAAATAGACCTGATACTACAATTGATTAAAAATGGATGATGGGCTTTAGGCATCTGAATGCTTAGGTATTGATTACGTTTTGAGTCCCAATGAAACGGAATTAATGAATTAGAGAGAAGGGAAGCAGACTGGAGAAAAGTTTGGAAACCGTATGCAGTATGGTCAAAACATCAGCTGTCACCTCTCATCGAGGCTTGTTTCACTCCCTACAGAAACGAGAAAGACAGTCAAGGAGAAAATATGTTCATGCGATGCGTCAGTGAACTTGTCATTGAGAGCCGAGAGGTAAGGCACGGTGCCCTCAGAGATCTCAGCCATACTGGCTGCCGCGCACCACGGTCCCTTGTGATTTTGAATTGGTATTTTTTATTGTTTACAGTTTGACATGTTGCTGGGAAGATTGGAAAAGGATGGAAGTCGGAAGGTAAGATGAGAAATGCAACCCCAAATACTGTAGATTTTTACTCTTTTTCCCCTTCCCCATGTCGTCTTGAACCCGCCCCACTCCAAAAAAGAATTTCAACAATTAGAGAAAGCTAATGCTGATAATAACTGAGGAACGCATAATAATTATTATTAATATTGAAGCGTCATACACCTCCGCTAGCATATCGAAACTAACAACTTGTGGCAGGGTAAGGTTCCACAGTTGGTGACCTGCATCCGGCGCTTCATCCACCTAGTCATTCGTCACACATGAGCCTGGCCAATGATTCCTTCCTGAGCCTCTCTATCTCCTGGACTCTGCAGCTGTGGCCAGTGGTAACTATGTATTGATCAGAACCACTCTCCCAGGTTGCTCCCTGAAGTACTCACAAAACCAGGAATGATCAGGATAGTTGTCGCACAGCACTGCTACCTGCTCATTACACAGTAGGTTTGGAATCAGAGACTTCTGACCTGTATGGCACACTGAGCCATTAGAGGAACTTCATATGCCCCGTGGAGAGATGATTCCACAAAGGACAAGAAGTTCCTATTAAGCAATTCGATAGCAGAATGACTCATCCACTACAAGCTTAGAGTGACAGAAATGTGCAACAAGAGTTCTCCCTTCCATTGTCATCAGTGCATTGTAGCACAATCGTGCAATAGTGACAGGTTAAAGATGGCCTTGAGATAGACAGCATTTCTGATACGACCAGCTTTACGCCGTGAAAAAATCCGAACTTAAGCCTTTAATTTGAAATTGTTGCTCTTTGAGAATGTAACTGTTTATTCTCTGAAAATTTGCAAGCCTGGTATATTTCATTACTGGGTGTCACAACATGAAGTATTCCATCTTGCAGTGCCACCGTTGCATTAATGATGTCTTTAAGCCAGCAAATGGGGCGACGGAGTAAAACTAACCAGTAGAATGACATTGATGCACAAAACGCACTTGGAGAAATGCCATTGGTTTATGCTGAACGGGTTTTCTCTTTCCCCATCAGCCTGGTTTAATCGACAAGTTTGCTGGCGATACAAAGGCTGTCATCAGTAAAGTTGCGTCAGTAGCTGAACACAAGGGTTTGTTTGAAGAGGCAGTGAAGCTTTATGACCTAGCCAAGGTAGGTGGCTCCTTTTGCCTTGTGTTTAGAATGGCCCATGGTGAAATATAGGAGTGAGGATCCAAACCACTTTTTATTTTTACTTTGGTTTGAGGATAGCTGGGCATTTATTGTAGTGTCTGCTATTTCTGTAGATGTAAATACAGCTAATAATTTAGTCGGTACAGTTAACCGTGTGTGGTATTCTTAAAGCCAATTTCAATTTATTCCCGCGCCCCCCATCCTGATTTTGGCTGAATGGGGCTCTGTGGATGTTGAGCTCTGGTGCCTGTAATGACTATTAAAAATTCACTTTACGGTATATTCTGTGAAGTGCTTTGAGACGTCTCGAAGATGTGATAAGCCACTATATCAAATGCAAGGTTTATTATTATTAATCTATACGGGCTCCCGTAGAAGATGTGCTCAATACTTTCTTTTGGATCGGTCCTAAGGTTGCCTTGTTACCTTTGGAGCAGCAAATCATCTGTGTTTGGGGCTAGCCTGCTCACTCTTTCACCCAAGCATGGTACACAGGCCAAGTTTGTTGCAGAGTGTTGAGAATGATGCTGCAACAAGGGATTGCGTGTCCAGAGTGTAAGCTCCTCTTTAGCTCATCAGTAAACTAATATTTCCCTCATCTCCTGTCTCCAGAATCCAGACAAAGTGTTGGAGCTGATGAACAGGCTCCTGAGTCCTGTGATCCCGCAAGTCAGTGCACCTCAGTCCAACAAGGAGAGGTTGAAAAACATGGCACTTTCAGTGGCTGAGAGGTAGGAGGACCTGCACGTTTGGTGAGGTTTTGGCGCAGTTGTAACCATTGTACAATAAGGGGGAACGGTTTATTGAAGAGCGGGCTTTATTTCTAACATTGTATTACACCTCCCCCCCACACACACACATGTGCAGGTATGATAGATTCTGGATTGTTTTGGAACATGCATGTTGTGAATTACTTCAGAGTAAAGGAGCTCAGCTAATGTTGTTCTCATTAGGAATTCAATGACAGACGTGGTTCTTAAAGGTGAGGGCCAGCGACAGGCCGTGGCTGTGAAAAAAAGCTCATTGTTATTAGGCTGTAAGTAATGTTAATACTAATCATAAAACTCGTTCTTTTTTGGTAGGTATCGCAGCCAGGGAATTACAGCAGACAAGTCCATTGACAGCACTTTCTACCTCCTGCTGGACCTCATTACATTCTTTGACGAGTACCACGGGGGCCATATTGACAGAGCGATTGATGTGAGTTATTTGGATTGTCGCAGACACCGTCCTTCAGGTGGACATTAAAGATCCCAGGGCACTATTTGAAAAGAGCAGCGAGTTTCCTTCTATGTCCTGACCAACAATCCCCCAGATAAAATTAGTCATTCACTCCATGGCTGTTTGTGGGACATTTGTGGGAAGCAATTTGGCTTCTGTGTTTGCCTACAAGGTGCACAGTCACTACACGTGACAGTATATATTGTGAAGCACTTGGAGACATCCTCCCGATGTGAAAAACGGAATATCAAATGCAATGATTTTTTTAAAAATTCAATTTCATTGGATGTTCATTTGATTTGATGATATAGTTTGGTCCTGAAAAAGGCATATATTATTTCCCTGCCATTTAACGTTTAAACATCTCAGTCAGGAAACTAATATATATGTAGTGAAGGACGAACTCCAGGAGTTACCAGTTCTTGTCCATAGCCAACCTTCTTGTTTGTGCAATATCAGATTGGGTTCAAATCTCAAAGCTTAATGCCAGGTTGATGTGGAAAGTGTTCGCTTGCTGGCCAGTACCTTTCACAAGCCTCCTCAAGAGGGCATCGACGAGTCCCATTCTGCTTCCATAAACAAGGTTCAGTGAGCTGTACGATTTTAAGGAAGGGTGTTAAAGAATTAGCTCTGTGGTAACCTCGCTTTCCAAATCTGCTCTTTAAGGCTTTGAGTGGTCTTGTCTTATTGTCTATCTTCTCTTATCACCCAGGTCATGGAAAAACTGAAACTGGTGCCTCTCAGTCAGGACAGTGTCGAGGAGAGGGTGGCGGCTTTCAGGAACTTCAGCGATGAGGTAAGAGATAATAATAATTATTATGAAGGAATTATTACCCCCGGAAAAGTGATCCGCCACTCGACTAACAACCGGGTTCCTTCTAGATGAACAGAGGCGTGTGGAGTAAGGAAACTTGCCCAACATTTTGCCCTGCCGGGAATCGAACCCAGGTCTTTTGCTTGCGTAGCGAGTGCTCTAACCACTGAGCTACAGGACTCCACATAAGGAGATACAGAAGAAGCCAGTCCATTTAGTGATCTTAGAGTAATATACAAACAATGGTAGAGGGGGGCAGTGTTTCCGCATCTCAGCTAGTCCCACTGAGCCACTAGCTGAGTGAATGCCCCTCTCTCTACTGCAGCTTCTTATACGATGGTGTTTTTTGTCAAAGAATGAAATCTGCCACCGATTATCTTATGTTCAGGACCCTGCAAGTATCTGCAGATTGGATTCGGCTCTGGATCCCATTCCAGAGAGCAGTTTGCTGCAGGCACTGGGTTGATGAATGTTAACTGCTGTGTTGCTTCTCTGTAATAATTTACCTTGTGCTGAGGTTCCAGTTTTAACCCAATTCTGAGTTACCAGAATTCAGGTTTTGTTCTGTCATTGATAGTGTTTGGAGATTTTTTCTCAAATGGTTTGGGATATACACCTCTGTCCTTTCCTCCTCTGCGGGCAGCCAATTGCGCACAGCAGTGTCCCACAAACAGTTGTGGATTGAAAATGACCAATTTATTGTTTTTTTTGTTATTTTGGAGGGATTATTATTAGGCTCTGTGTGGAGTAAGGAAACTTGCCCAAGGTTTCGCCCTCTGCCTGGGATTGAACTCAGGTCTCTCGCTTGCAAAGCGAGTGCTCTAACTACTGAGCTACAGGACTCCGACTATAAGCAAAATGCCAGCAGGGAAACATATTACATACACTTACAGCATCGAAACAGGCCATTCGACCCAACTCGTCCACACCAGGGTTTATTCCAAATGAACCTCCAACCATCCTAATCTCCCGCCTTCCCCCATTCCCCTTTATAACCTTCTTTCCTATTAAGCATCGAGTTTCCTCTTAACAATTTCTGTTTCAACCATGGCTTCTGGCAGTGAGTTCCACATTTCCACCAACCTCTGTGTAAAGAAGTTCCTTTTAGATCTGTCGGTGACTATCTTATATTTATGGTGCTACAGTTAGTATTAACGTTAAAATTACTGATGTCCTGAAAAACAATTGTTATCTACTGCAGCAAACTGATGGACTGAGTATCAATTGATTGAGAAACGCTGGTATCCCTCCAGTCTGACTTCTGATAAGGTCAATGGCAACACTAAGGAGCAAACATTTTCTTCCTGTACAGATCAGGCATAACCTGTCCGAAGTGCTTCTTGCCACCATGAACATTTTGTTCACCCAGTACAAGAGGTTAAAAGGCACAAGCTCAGCCACACCTGCCCGGCCACAGCGAGTGATGGAGGACAGGGACTCAGTAAGTTTACATCAACCTGTCTGTTGTTGCTGAAGCCTTTTATATCTGGTGGATATATGACGTCCAGCACCTTGGGCCATCCTGCCGAAGTGAAAGGGTCTATATAAATGCAATTTGTTGTTGTTGAAGCAAGCACTCAGAGGGGGGGGTCGCGGGAGGGGAAAGAAAGGGAAGGACTTATGGATAAATTTGAAAGGCAATAAACCTTATTATGCTTATTAAAGTTTTCACTGAATATGTATGAAGGCCAAACCATGCCCTCAGTCACCTTGTCTTTGAATGAGATGTTTATCATGATCACGGATTGCTGATTGTTATCTTGCTCAGTTGCCTACTCAATCATATTCAAAACTAAATGGGTTTTGCTTTAAACGGCATTGCAGAATAATGTGAAAACTTTGAAAGTAATGTGAGCTCTTGAGGTTTTGTGTATTTGATTTGTTCAAAGATTTATCCAATGGACATTACAACAACAACAACTTGCATTTATATAGCTCCCTTCACACAGGGTAGGGTCTCAGAGCGCATTACAAGAGTCTCTGGAAGAGGCCTAACTGCAGGTGCTTATGTGGTAAATATGTTCTGAGTCGAAAGGGATTGTTGGTCACTGGGGAAATGATGAATGTTTGCAGTCCAAAAACTTTTAGTCTCTGTGAAAATCTTCCAGTCAATCTCAGTTCCCCTTTCCCTGCTCCCACTCCCGTAGCACATCACATTTCCTCACTGAGAAGATGTGAGCCTGTCCCATGCTCAAAAATCCACCTAACTTGACCTCAGTGAGGGGAAGCCCCAAATACCCTGCGATGACTGAGATGTGTTCGTTGTGGTGCGTCCTTGCACGTACCCTAACCCACCACTTACATTGACACTACGCCACAAGTTAGACTCCGAGTGCAGAGGGGAAACCCAAAAGCTCCAACAGATGGGACATCCGCTTTCGAGCTTTCTGCTTTGTCGTTGGAATACGGATCCACGTCCAGTGAGTGGAATCACTGGACGTGGAACGTTAGTTGTCCCGTCTCCTGAAGTGGGAGAGAGCTGGTGGCTGGCCCAGGATTGTCGCCTCTCCAGCAATGCAGGGTAAGCACTAGCCCACGTGGAGGGCGCGATATAAATACGAGTTGTTGTGTTGTTACCTTTCGTTCCTTTCCCTGCAGCAACTGCGTAGCCAGGCGCGGGCGCTGATCACGTTTGCTGGGATGATACCGTACAGGATGGCAGGCGACACAAATGCACGGCTGGTGCAGATGGAAGTCCTCATGAACTGAACGCAACTGCAAGTGGGAAGGTTTCCTCACTGGAGGAGTAAACACAAACTATACTTTGTAGTGATTTTCTACATTCACAATTTATTTTATTTTGTATTGCGTTTCTTTTTTTTAAAAATATTGGAAATAAATGTGTTTTTTCCCTGCTTTGAAAGTTTATGTTTTTGTAAAAATCTCATGGGTTTCTTTTTCTCGTTGAAAGCCGTTTAAACCTTCAGCACCGGAGGGAATTAGGCTTACGTTCTCTCTGGTGCTAAAGTGACGTGAGGCTGTTCCAGATTGAAATGCATTTGGAAAGTAATGGTGCGTGATATTTCCTAAAATTGGTTGAACGAGAAGTTGAAATACATTTTGCTCAAATCATAACTAGATAATAATAATAATAATGCAAATAAGGACTCCCGCCTGCCTTGACCTGCGGAGGCCGGTTGATAAGGAGTGTGTGGGGGAGGAACACAATGATTTCGGATAGTTTTAGTTGCAATTTTGCAATTGATGGTGAGACGAGGGAGGGGAGGAGGGAAATTCCTCTTTACTGAGTGACCAGAGGTTTTGGGTGAAAGCAATTTAAACTGAAAGGGGCTGGCTTGGTTTTATTGTAATGCACATGGGAAATATATCATGTAGAATTTATATTCTTTTCTCGATTGCACTGTGTTCGTATTTTTATGTTTCGACACCAAAAGATGCAGAAGAGTGATATGGGGGTAATGTCACTGTTGCTCTCTTTCTCCCTGTGGTTGGTTAAGTTCCGAACCTTTATTTTAGACGCTGTCAGATTTGAGAACCCATTGCCTGGAGACTCTTTGGAAAAGCTTGGTCATTCAACTCACTGTGGTGTGGTTATTTGTTTAAGTATTAGAAATTTACTATAATAAAATTAATAACCCTTGGATTTGATATAACGCCTTATCATGTCATTGAGACATCTGAACACACTTCACAGGGTGTACTGTAAAGTGGATTTACTGTGTATTTTATGGGCGAAATGCGGCAGCTAATGTCCCACAAATAGCCATAGAACGAGCGACCAATTTTATTTGGGTGATTTGTTGGCTGGGACAGCGGGAGAGAGAAACTACCTGTCTTTTCGAATAGTGCCATTGGGATCTTTAACATCCATGTGAATAGGCTGACGGGACCTGGATTTAATGTCCCATACGAAGGAGAGCCCTTTAATGCAAGAGGCCAGCTGACCCGTATTGGCGACTATAACCAGAGCCAAATGACATTCACTTATTTTCTTTCACTTCTGATCAAGTGTGAAGTGCTTCGTGGTGCAACATTTGTCCAATTGCAGGTGATTCAAAGCTTCATTTAATAATTCCTGTCCATAGCCACTCGGTGACGACTCGCTTTAGTGCCGTCCAGACTTGCTGCCAGAACCAGGTATTGGTGCTGCAGCTGGTGTTGTGAATCAGGCCGGCAAAAGCAGCTGCTACGATCCGGCTATTTCACAACACCAGGGTCGCACCGTACCACTCTCATCACTCCAGCAGCCGCCGAGTCACCTCAGCCCGGTCCTGCTCAGCAGAGAGGGTAAGTGTCAGACCCAAATAGTCCTTAGGTAACGGTGGCGTCATTTGGTTATAAAATCTTTTGTGTCTTTAGTGCACTTGATGTTCCATTAGAACAGGACAGGCTGTGATTCTCCACAACGTCTTCAGCTGCTCTGTCGAGGGAAAGCTTTGCCAGGAAGGCAGAGGGGCCAAATCCAGCAGCGGCCACGACTCTTAGCCGGTCAGTTTGAAGGAAAGCTGCAAAATGAACATGTGCAAGACGCAGAGAACTCCTGCATTGCGCTACAGACAATACTTTGTGGCTGGATAAAGGCTGTACATCAAGGACGCTCAGTAAATGCAAGTTGTTGATGCTCCGCGCTGACTGTTCTACGGAGCCATTGTTGAGAGTGCGATGACCTAGAGTGCAGCAAACATCTGCAGCTTTGCTGTAAGCGCCTTGTTTGGAAAACACAGGTTTCATTGTGAATGATTGTTGTGCTGTAGATTTGCAGATAGTCTTGCAATGAAAACCCATCTCCCTGGTGAGGTGACAGCAGAGTGGTTTTGAACTAGCTGGAACTGAATCCTCCATTCATAAACCAGTTGCAAATTCCCAAATTAGTTAAACTCTCTTAAAAATGTGTTTCTCTTCACAGGCTATTCTTAATAATAAAACAATAAACAATCCTTGCTTTTGGTATAGCACTTTATCACATCAAAGGCAAAAGTTTAAAGGAACTGTGCTATATACAGAAGCCTATTTGATGTCATAGACATTACAGCACAGAAGGGAAGCTACTTAACCCATATAACTTATGTCAGTTCCTCCACTGGAGTTATCTGCAATAAAACTGGTCATTCACTTTGTGGGACAGTGCTCTGCATAAATTGCTACTGCATTCACCTACGAAATGCACAGTCATTGCACTTCACAGTATACCCTGTGAAGCGCTTTGAGACATCCTCCCTACACTATATCAAATATGAGAATTTTTTTTTAGTCCCAGGGGAATCCTAACATTTTCCAACTTTCATTTCCTGCTAAATCCTGTTTGGGATTTTTTTCAAAAAAATGTTTTAAGGGAATAAAACTCAACTGCATGTTGGTGCTGTGCTGGCAGGAGACAGGGTGAGATCAGGGTAATCTCAGCCAGATATACAACCGGTCGATCATACGTGTTCAATAAAGATCTTGCCAGATTAAAAGCTATTTTCTGTGATCTATATTGTGAAAATACAACTGCAATATTGTCCTCCCCAATTAATTCCTCCCATGCTACACGCTTCAGAACTCTGCAGCTCTCGTGTACTGTCCCGCACCAGGCTTCGCGACCACATCACTCCCACCCTCGCCCTCGCTCGCCTCCACTGGCTCCCCATCCCCCAGAGGATCGAATTCAAGATCTTCATCCTCACCTACAAGGCCATTCACGGCCTTGCTCCCTCCTACCTCTCCGACCTACTATCCCCTACTTACCCGCCCGTACCCTCCGTTCCTCTGGCTCCGGTCTGCTCCACATCCCCCGCCCCAACCGCCCTACCATCAGTGGCCGGGCCTTCAGCCTCTCAGCCCCTCGGCTCTGGAACTCCATCCCCCAGTGCCTTCGCCGCCTCCTCCCTTTCCTCCTTCAAGGCCGGTCTCAAGACCTTTCTCTTTGACCGAGCCTTCAGCTCCCCTCTCGACTCTCTACCCCCTCCTCGCTCCCTCCCTTCCCTCCCCTCACCATTTCCCCCCAATACTCGGGTCCCGACCCAACTGTCCAGCGCCTTGGGACGTCCTCCTGACGTGAACGGCGCTCTATAAATGAAATGTTGTTGTTGTTAATACCTTGTTACCCCTTGATGTCATGTAGCGAATTCACCATTTACCTTCAGGCCTGACATTTTGTAGCAAGAGCCAAAAACGCATCTGTTCTGATCTTTAACTTGTTTTAACTACATTGTATCCAGATTTGTTGTTTGAAACCTGATTTTTATTTATATATGAGGTGCGAGAACACTATTATGCAAAAATGTTTCAATGTATTTCTTTTGAATAAATGCAAATAAACAATTCTCATCTTTGGTTCAACGGGACTGAACTTAAAGATTTTAAACCTGACGCGTGATACAAAGTTATTTTTAAGTATCGTGTGACATCTCACTGGCCATTAAATAAGTATATAAGAGTGGTGGGTTCCACTCTGATTCCAGGGATGGTGCATACAGTGCTATAAGGTACTGTGATGACTGCTGAGATCACTGGGGCCTCCGGTGCCCTCGGTACAATTGCTGTGGAAGGTTTGGACCCGGACGTATTGTGATGGGGAGAACCATTTATGTAAGCCACCCACACATCAATATTTCCTTGTGTCGGAAACAGAATCTGCACTTTTTCCCTGAAGGACGCACTCTGTTTACCTAATTCTGGAGAGTATTTGGCACAGCTTGGGGAACCCCCGCCTGTTGGCAACCTTTTTGCTGTTTGGACAGCTAGGATGCACCCTACCCATTATGCCACTGTTATAGTAACAAGCCCACTGGTAGGAAGCAAGCCGTGCTTCACTTAATCATGATGGAAAGCACAAACTGAATGAGAAACGGGTAACAAATCTAGCAAATGACAAAGGCATAGACTGCCGAGGAGAGAGAACTGACTTCTTTCGCCTGTAACTGTTAGTACGAGGTGTATATTTGTCCAGTAATCCTGCCTGGAAATTTTTTTCAATGTCAATTGACAAAAGAAAAAGGACGTGGGTTTTGTGTCTCTTGCGCTGTTGCAGTGACTGGCAATAAATCACCTTCTGTGATGAGTGAGTTTCAGGGCTCACTCAGTTTGGCTTCCACAAGGTGGTGCTGTAATGAAGATTTTCTGGGAACAATAGAATATTGGCTCAAATTTGTGTTGTTTTTTTTACTTGTGTTTTTTTGTAAAAGTACTTCTGTTTTTTTGTTGCCCTGACACGTATTTGGTTACAAATGTATCATTTCAGATTTATCCCGTCAGTAAATGTCGGGTAGGTAATTGGAGCCGTTGATAAACTCCGCAGGCCCAGTGAAAGGGATGGGCCCGCAGAGGGAGAGAATGGAAGAGGAAACTCAATAGCGGCTTCGGGAGCAGAGGAAGAGCAGGGTGGCAAAGAGTGTGAGGTGCAGGGGGGAACTGCTAAACTGAGCAAAGCAAGAGGGCATCAGAGAGCATTTGTGGAGTGGTCAAAGGTATCAGTAAATGTAGGGGTTGGTACGGGAAAGAGGTCAAAACAAGCAAAGGATTGAGGATTGGGTAAAAGTGAGTCACCGAGGTTGGGAAAATACAATTGCCCGGAATTGTATAACGATTAAAAATGGTCAGATGATGGGAGGAAACTTAAGCATAGCAATGAACAGAGTAATCGAGACCAGAGTAAGGTGCTGAACTTAACCACCACACGTTTTATCCAGTCAGTCACTGGAAGTATCAGACATTCCCCGGTAAGATCACTGAATGAGAGATGTGGCCCTACTCTGAATAGAAATGAGAAATGCTGCACCACAGGCACTGAAACCATGTAGACTTCCAGCCAGTATGTCTGAGTTTATTGCATCCTTTTGCCCGCCAAGTCTGCCTTGGCGCTATCCTGCACTAACTCCTTACCGAGAATTCTACCCTCAAGTTTCCAAGAGGGATAAAAACTTTGGCACTGGGCTTTGTGGCTGGTGTTGAGCCAGGCGGGTTGGGCAGGATCCCAAGTTCATTCAAAAGTCTACAAATTAACAAAGCTTCCCAGCAGCTTGCCAGGCAATTCGTGCCGTTCTTGGTGTCTACTGTATTGCAGGTGCTTGTGGAGAATGAGCTCACACTGCCTGCAGCACAGAGTGTACAAACCCATTGACCCTGATTCGGACAGGAAAGGCACAAGTTAATGTACATCATTCATTCTACACGACTGAACATGCTGATCTACATGCTAATCAGTCTGGCTGCAGTTTTTATTGGACCCGATGTATATCTCTCATAATCAACTTTGTGGCTTGAAAAGCAATTAGTTCAAAATTAGTTCAAAAGATCAAAAAAATCAGCATTTGGAACGGTGACCTCCAGATTCAGTTCAGTAAAACAATTGTTCGTGATATGTGGTTTGCATTTTGCTGATGATGTTCTGAAATGTTCATCATAATCTCCAATCTGATCATTCTCCCTTCCTTTCGTACCTTGTAAAGAAAAGCATTGTTTTAATCTAGGAATTAGGAAGTGGAAGCATATGCATCCAGTTGATTTTTATTCATTAAATTGCAAATAGACGACTATGTCGCATTACCCCTATATGTAATGTTAAGTGACTGACATTTTTCATATCTGGTATTACAAGTAAAGTGCCAGAAACATTATTTTGTTATCAGTCGAGTGTTTGACACATGCAGAAGCCCATCAATCATTGCTTAAGAGTATACAAGTCACACTGAGTTTGTTACCATGTACACTGCCCACATGTGGACATGTCCTTTTCTGGAATGGAGTGCACCTTCTCTCCCGGGAGGGATGCACTCTGCTTACCCAGTTCTAGAGAATATTAGGTGCAGGTCGGCAAGAGCCAAGGCTCGGGGAGCCAAGACTGTCGTCCCCAAGCCTTACTTAATCCTCTCCTGGATGTGTCTGGGTGCTGCAACCGCCCCCAGTGCCTGTGGGAGAGGAAGGGGAAAATCTGCTTTCTGTTTCTGATCATTATCCAGAGACGCTGTTGGAAGGTGTCTATATGGACGCTGAGCAGGAATTGCATGGACATTACTGCATGGAAACAGGCCATTTGGCTTAACTAGTTTTTGCTGGTGTCACCACCCCTCCGAATCCCCTCTCCCACATCTCTATATTTCCTTCTCCCTCATATAGGTGTTCAGGATGGGGCTAGAGTCACAAGACAGTACACTTCTAAGGGGACATTGTCCACAGGCAAAATCTTGCCTTCCATTTCCCTGACAGCAATGGGAAAATGTTTCATTTCCAAGCACACATGTGCTTCACCTTGACGAGGACAAATCTCATCCTCTGTGAATTTTTTGTTGATCACTATGTACGACGTTTCTTCTTGTAATACATGCAAAACCCACCCATGTTAAATTATTTTAATATTTCACAACAGTTTCAGGGTAACTGCCAATCATTAATTGTTCTGACAAAATAAAAAGGTTTCTTATCAGATTGGTGATGGGAAATTGCTGCCGACCTCAGCAATAAACTTTATCGCCTGTGGCTCTCTCCAGCTGCAGGGATGGAGTAACTTTCTCTGCTCTGTTACCCCACCTGTGGAATGACGGCAGCAACGGTCAGTGAGCACCGGTTCCTGTCTGTATAAAATGTTGCGGCTCAGCTTCAAGTAAAGGTTGTTTCTGATCTCTCAGCGTAGAGAGACTGGATACCAACCTCTCCCTCCCGATGGCAGACACTCCAATCCCAGAGAGCAAACCGGAGGCTTCCATCTCGCTCCCCGGAGACATTTCCCACGGCAGATTCACAATCAGCACCCTGGTCAGTAATGATGAAGAAACCAAGAACATCTACACCGAGCCTGAAGCCTTCTACGAGAGCCTCAACGCCAATAATCCTGCCTATTCCACCATCTACCTTAGGACGTTCGGCTATAACACGCTGGATGCTGTTCCCAAATACGAGCACTACGCCAACACCCAGGTGCCCGGGGTGGCAAACACCAACCGGCCCACCCTGGCAGACCTGCATTGCTACATTTTGGTAAGAAACCTCATAAAGACACCAGAGGTCAAGGTCCTGGAATTGATCCACTCACTTCAGGTTCTCTGCACCACAGCTCAAGCCACAGCAATGTAGATGAACTCAGCGCTCCCTTTATTTACCTATGTATATTTTATTTATTTGTATTTATACATAAAAGTTGATCCACGTTTTCCCCGAGTGTTTCAAAACACCGACACAGTTTTCTGCGGGATCGTATACGTCTGAGAGAGAAAGAGGTGAGAGGTAGAAAGAGAGGTGTGTGTGTGAGAGAAAGAGGGGTGTGTGCGTGAGAGTCGGCGACTGTTCGTGTGTGTGCATGTGTGTGAGATGTTTGTGAGAGGCGCGTGTGTGTGTGAAAGTGACGTGTAAGTGTGTGAGAGAGAGAGCACAGAGCACCACCAGAATCTGTTCCTCCTGATTCCTGCCCTCACTGTGGCTGAGGCCAATCCCTTGTTCTGTGGCAGAAAACCATTCATTGCATTGTGCAAGGCATTGTCTCCATCAATGAATCGTGCTGTTCTGCCCACTCATCCTTTATTTTACAAACAGGCTTGTTACGAGAAACAAGACACTGTATTTTAAATGGTGTGGGAAAAAATGCTGCAAGGGGACTGTTTGTCTCTTTGAAATCGTTTATTACTAAAACAGTAGGGCAAAGAATCAAACCATTTGGCCTATCAAATCTCTGCTGTTATTTTTCTCCACAAGGGTCAGCTAGTGTAATCTTATTCTTCCCCATTGCTCCCCAAACTCTTTAACATTCCTCTTTATTTCAAGAGAATATTATACACGTTTCTCAGCTACTAAATGTCAGGAAGGGATGGGAATCAGCCTGGCTCCTCAGTGATTCAGTGAGTAGAAGCATTACCTATTGCAGCACTGAATCATAAGGGCCAGGACGCCCTCTGCTTCGTGGCCTTGTCTTCCATGGAGTTGGCCGACCTCAGCTGGGACATGACAATTGGCCTCGATGTTCCCTGGGCTAGAGAGGAAATAAATGCGATCAATGTGCCTGGGCACTGCCCTGCTGCAGAGTGAGAATTGTATGTTAATCTGTATTCTTGGTGGCTAAACCTATTTGAACGCTGTAGAACAAAGGGCAGAGGTCCCGCCCGGTGAGCGAGAGCGGGACTGATGGTGAGCCCAGCAAAGAGGAGGGCAACAGAGGAGTGAAAAGCACAGCGCCAGGGAGACAGCCTGTGCGTTTCGGCTGGGTCAAAGGTGTGATGGTAAGTCTACGTCACGGCATTAACTCCCTCTCTGGAAGGTGCAGTGTTTGCTGTTGTGGACTAGAGCTATCTTTTAGCTGTTGGTTAGTTTCTAATTGACAGTATTACACGACGAGAAGATCATCATCATCATAGTCTAAGCTGACACTCCGATGCAGTGCTGGGGGGCTATTTCATTGTTGGACATACCATCCTTCAGATGAGGTGTTAAACCGAGTCCCGTCTGCCTGTTCTGATGGATATTTAAGATCCCATGGCACTATTCGAAAAGAAAAGGGAGTTTCTCCCAGTGTCCTGGCAAACAATCCCCACAAATAAAATTGGTTGCTCGTTTCATGGCTGTTTGTGGGACATCGCTGTGCACGATTGGGTTGCCATGTTTACCTACAAATACACAGCCACACCTATTTCAAAGTAAATCCTGTGAAGTGCTTTGAGAAGTCTTTCTGACGTAATAAGGTGATATACCGAATGCAAGGATTAGTAGTATTATTAGATCTTTTAGCCACTCCATTTTATCAGAGAAAAAGAGCTGAGGTGGTCCCTGGGATTCAAGTCCAGTGCTTTATTGATAGAGCTACCAGGTCCATTGATTGTCTTGAACACTGTCGAATGTGGTTGTTAACCCTCCTTATGAACTCGTTCCTCATTGTCTCTTCACTTAGATTCGTTGCATGTTAAACATCTGGGGTGTCATTCTGTACCTGCGATTACCATGGATCACCGCACAGGCTGGTATAGGTAAGGGTGCGATGGGGGAATTTCTGAATTAGTTTAAGATGTACCTAATTGAAAGCTCTGATAACTCTGTTTATTGTTTTTGTTCTTACAGCTCTGACATGGGTTATCATTTTATGTCTGTAATTGTAACAAGTATAACTGGGCTGTCCATATCAGCAATATCCACCAACGGCAAGGTCAAGTCAGGTAGGTGGCTCATACCGTCTCCTCATACTGCCTCCCACTGACCTCTCTGTACGCCACACACTCTCAAGCCTGTTAAAAATTTGAAGTTCTCTTTGCACTAAACAGAGACCTGAACACAATTCACACGGTGTGTTTGGCAAGTCCAGCTGCCTTTCTGTAGGACAAAACCTCTGGACTGAATAGTAAAACCAGAGGACCTGGCCTGCGATTGAAGGCGGGTAAATTCAGAACAAATCTAGGCAAACACTATTTTAGTGAGCGAATAGTGAACCTGTGGAACAGGATCCCCGGGGAGACGGTTGAAGCAGGAACTCTTGATTCTTTCAAACACAAATTAGATAGTTTTCTTTTAGGAAATAACATTATGGGATATAGTACATGCGACCACCAGGAAGGCGAACTAGATGGACTTTGGTCTTTTTTTGTCTAGCATTTATTATGTTCTTAGGTTATGACTTGCTAAGACTGCTTTCAGAGTCAGAAGAAAGTCAAGGAGATTAAGGCTGTGTGACCGTCGCTAACGTTTCAGCTTCTGTCAAACAGCGCGTCTGGTCCAGCTTTGAGCCCTGTATTTTGTGGCCGTTGTGCAGGTGGCACTTACTTCCTGATCTCCAGGAGCCTGGGACCGGAGCTCGGAGGGTCCATCGGCCTCATCTTTGCTTTTGCGAATGCGGTGGCGGTCTCTATGCACACCGTTGGCTTCGCAGAGACTATGCGAGACATCCTCAAGGTAAGTCACTCAGTCGTTTTAGCCTCACACTGGCAGAAAAGGAACCCACCAGCACGTGCTTCTCTCACTGCAGTGTTTCAGGAAGTCCTGTTCAGAGTTAAAGAGCGCTGGTAACAAGAATAAAACACTGTGTGCGCATGGAAACCAAAGCGAGACAATTGACACGAAATAATAACAACAACTTGCATTTATTTAGCGTCTTTCAGATTTTTACTAATTTCTCCGCATAAAAAAAATCTTCCCCGTTACCCAGACCCAAGAGTTGTTATTTAGAGCTGCAATGATTTGCAGCGAGCACTGTGCTAATTGTGTCCATGCATCCAGCAGCCCTTAAGTACAGGCTACATATTTTTAAGTGATGCCGTTTGTTGTGCAAATACGACCTGATCCAGTAATTTTTTGTTAACTCCAGGAATACAACTTGACAATCGTGGACCCCACAAACGATATCCGAATAGTTGGTGTGATCACAATAACTGTGCTCCTCGGGATATCGCTGGCTGGCATGGAATGGGAAGCAAAGGTGAGCTCACAGCCACTGTAGAATTACAAGCCTTTGAGATGCCAGAATTGGTAGCAAATACTGTAGGAGGTGCTGTAGAAACTTAGCTGATCTCCCATAGAAATTTACAGCACTGAAAAAGGCCATTCGGCCCATCATGTCTCCGCTGGCTCTTTTAAGTGCAATCCTTTCAGTCCCATTTACCTGCGCTTTCACCATACCCCTGTAGTTGACTTCTATAGTCTTAAACCCTGCTTATCCCAAATGGTCCTTTGTTACTTTTGTCCCCATTTCATTGTATTTTTCCCATAAGGGAGCTCGCCCTTTTCCCCCCAACCTAGAAATACCAGGCTTATAACTGCCTGAGCAAGACTTGTGGAAGTACAGAGAGGAATGGCTGAGGTTGATGAGTTTCTTGTGGAGAAAGGAAGAGGTGCCATTGCTGGATCCCTCTATTTCATTGTCTTGTCTACTAGTTTATTAGGAATGGCATTAATAGGGGACGTTCTCCCAACGTGAAAGGTGCTCTATAAATGAAATGTTGTTGTTGTTGTTGTTATGGCAATGAGCACCCATCCACTCTTAGCTGGAGGGTACAGAAAATCAGAAAGAGCAACACTGAGAAGCAATACAGAAGTATTCCCTTTACAGTGTTCTTTATGACAAATATCCCCCTGTTTTCCCACAGGCACAAGTTGTTTTCTTCATTGTGATCTTGGTTTCCTTGGCGAACTATGTTGTGGGGACACTTATTCCAGCATCGAAAGAAAAGCAGGCGAAGGGCTTCTTCAACTACCAAGGTGTGTGCATTGAGGCTGCTTCTAATTAATGTGGAGAAGCTGCATCTAGTTACTGCTATAGAGATTGTCTCCAGTTACCTCTGTAGAGATCGTCTCTAGCTACTGCTGTATAGAGACAGTCTCTAGTTACTACTATGGAGATTGTCTCAAGTTACTGCTATAGAAATTACTTGCCTTGCCCCTTCTTCCCCATCTTCAGATCGCGCCAGAAGAACTTCCTCTTTGACCGTGCGCATGGTCACCTCCCCCTTACCCCCGGCTCGGGGTTGTGCTCCACCACTGTCAAGCACTCTGGGACGCTACCCTGCATTGGGAGCGCTATATCAATGCAAGTTGTTGTTGGGATTGTTTCTAGTTACTGCTGTAGAGATTGTCTCCAGCTGTGTCTAGTGCAGTAACAGCTCCTAGGTGCTGTAAAGGCCCTCAAGCAGGACGTTGGTTGGGTTGTGCCGCTTGGTGGAAAGTGAGAAAAAGGAATATAAACGCCCAGACTGGAAAACGCTCAAGTGATAAAAAAAAATACTAATCTGGATTAAATGATTTTATGATTGATCGCGGCATTGGACAAGAGTATGTGCCAACTGCATCATCACTCACCTGTTGACCTCAAAACTTACACTGGATGGGTATGTGGTGAATCACTTATCCTCTCGGCTGTTTATGAGTTCACTGAAGTATTGCGTTTTCCTTTGCAGCTGATATATTTGTTCAGAACTTCACGCCTCACTGGCAAGGTGACGATGGGTCGTTTTTCCTCATGTTTTCCATATTCTTCCCCTCGGCCACTGGCATCCTGTCGGGTGCCAACATCTCTGGGGACCTGAAGGTAACTCGATATCCATAAGTGTCAGTGCTTCGCTCAGATTGAAAACTGTTCAGTGATCCTGGCTTGAATTAATAAAGAGATGCCTCTTCAGGAATTGAGCCCTGAAATGGAAATGTAATTTATCCTGTGAAATGCCAAATAATCTTAGATATTATAAGGAGCAACAATGGCGTATCTAAACAATAATAATCCTTCAATTCGATAAAGCACCTTTCAACTGAGGAGTACATTTCAAAACATTTCACAGGATTTACTGTAAAGTGTAGTGACTGTGTATTTTGTAGATGAAAGCAGCAGCCAATTTGTGCACTAACAGCTGTGGTCATCTATGTGTTTCTTTTATAACATTGCGAAACCAAGGTGATTGGGTCAAGTGTAATATCAAAGTTGGAGAGAATAGGTGCAGAACTGTATGGTGGAGCGATGCTAAGGTTGGGTTATAAGGGGGTACAGTGGACATGAGACAGTAAGGGTGATGTACTTGAGTGCAATGTCATTATGTTATGAGGGTTAAAGGGTGCTGTAGGCACTCTTAGTGATTAATACCCGTTTGTGGTAGAATTCCAAAAGATGGGTTTGTTGCTCATTGTAGGAGATCTGGCCTCATTACCATTGTATTGGATTTGCAGGATCCTGCCCTGGCCATTCCCAAGGGAACCTTGATGGCTATTTTTTGGACTGCTCTTTCCTACCTAGCACTCTCAGCCACCATTGGTAAGTTTTATAGATACTGCCAAGAACCTCCCCTTTAATATGTTTGTGCTTATCTTAAATTTGTGGCCTCCCCTCATTATTCACTTGTTGTTCACTGGAACTACTTATCGTTTCCAAGCCGTTGATAACCTTGACAATCTCCATCAAGTCACTCCTCGGCCTTCTCAGTTCCAGTGGAAAGAGCCCTGATGCCCATTAGCATCAGACATTCTCAAACAGTCACACAAAGAGTTGCATCCCGACTTGGCTGGAGAAACACAAAAGACATGTTAACGATCTGTGGATCTTTAGCAGTTGCAGTTGTGGTGCCAGGAGATCTGCTGCTCATTCCAATGCGCACGAGGGTAGTATGCACTGATACCTTGTGCCATAGCAACCAGACACGTGCCAGCAATTCCTACATGATCTTTAAGCTTTAATTCTTTTGGGTGGTGGTGGGGGGGGCACCGTTTCATTCTTCTGAAGTTATAATAATAATCCTTACATTTGATTATGTCGGACAGTGGGTGGGAGATGTCTCAAAGCACTTCATAGGATTTACCATAACGTGTGGTGTCTGTGTATTTGGTAGGCCGTTGCACTTATGCAGTATCACTTAATGTAAATGCAATTGGCTTTATCTTTATCTACAGGCTCATGTGTGGTTCGTGATGCTTCTGGGAATGTGAATGACACCGTCCCTATCGGGTCTATGGACTGTGAGGGCCTTGCGTGTGGATATGGGTGGAACTTCACTGAATGCGCTCAGACTGGAACCTGTAAATATGGACTCGTTAATTACTACCAGGTAACGCCGCTATATTTCATAGTTTTACGATGTAAAATACTCACCGCAAAATCAAGCCCGGTGCTTAGTTGCATCAGGTGAGAGTAATTTTGGGGGTCAGCTGAATGCTTGACAACACGCGGAAACCCATCAACATTCTTCACAGTATCCAAATTAGACTGAAAGTTCCACATATGTACGCCACACACACACGTGTGTCTAGAATGGATTACACACTCTCTCCCTGGAGGAATGCACCCTGCTTGCTGAACTCTGGAGAGTATTAGACACAGGTTGGCGAGAAGACCCAGGAGGGCGCCCTGGGGCACTGCTGGAATTTAAACAGCTAAAAAACGCACAGCGTTACCATTGAGAGCACTGCATGGCAAGCTTTCCTCCCACTGCTTGACCAGCTAGGATAATCCTACCCGTTAGGGCTTTGATCAGCAGGGTTGACAGGAGTCAAATGGGAAGAACCCGTCTCCAAATTAGAGGAAGGATAATCCAATGTACTAGACTGAATAACAAAATTCTCTTTGATGTTTTTGTTAAAGACAATGAGTTTGGTGTCAGGATTTGCCCCTTTGGTTACCGCTGGGATCTTTAGTGCCACCTTGTCCTCTGCCCTGGCCTGCCTTGTGTCTGCACCCAAAGTCTTCCAGGTAAAGTCTCTGGTTACCTAGCAGTAAGTAGGAACCCGGTTGTTTGTCGATTGGCAGATTGCTTTCCAGGATTAACAACCCTCTAAAAAAAAATTAGTGACTCAATCCACGACTGTTTGTGGGACACTGCTGTATGCAACGGGCTGCTGCGTTTTGTCCATAAAATCCACTTTACAATATGTTTTATGAAGCGCTTTGAGATGTATCAAAGACGTGATAAGGCGCTATATCAAAATTAAAGGATTACAGGTTCTGCTGCCGCTCATAACCTCACTGCAGTGTATCACAGTACAGCAGTGCTCTTTTGTCAAGTAAAATTACTTGAGCCAATCATAAGGTGAATGAATAAGGTTTTAAATACGTGCGTATCTATGTATCGAACTTCCACCTTGACTCGCACAACTTTGTATCCTTCGCTTCCTGTAAAATATTTATCAATCTAGCATTGTATAATATGGCTATTTATCGTACAGAAGTAGACGGTGTGATTAAAATAACTTGGTAGCCCTGGTAAAGTTTGGAGTTTGCCTCTATGATTTTCAATATTCTCTTATAAGCAAGAGTCACCCTTTGGGCCCTTCGAGTCTCTCTACAGAATGTTTCCCTCTTTCTCCTCCGACAGTGTCTCTGTGAGGACAAACTCTACCCTGGTATTGGTTTCTTTGGAAAGGGCTACGGCAAGAACAACGAGCCTCTTCGTGGCTACCTTCTCACCTATTTCATTGCTATTGCATTTGTTCTTATTGGTAAGTGCCTTGCGTGGGGTGGGGGGGGTGGTGGGGTAGGGGAGTGGGATCCTCTTCACATCCACCTGAATTACAAGGCAATTCGGGAACTAAATTAACGAGATGCATGAATGTGTTGGACAAAAGACCTCACTCGTGTCATGTTGTATCATGTTACATTTCTGCTGCCAAAAGGCACCCATATCACAAGATCACACAGGGATATGGGTGTAACAGGCTACCCATCTCCGCATCAACAACAACATCAACAAGATTGCATTTATAGAGCGCCTTTCATGTCGGGAGGACGTCCCAAGGCGCTGGACAGTTGGGTCGGGACCCGAGCATTGGGGGGAAATGGTCAGGATGAGGGGAGGGAAGGGAGGGAGCGAGGAGGGGGGTAGAGAGTCGAGAGGGGAACTGAAGGCAAGGTTGAAGAGAAAGGTCTTGACACCTTTCTTGAGGAGGAAAGGGAGGAAGCAAGGCAAAGGCACTGGGGGATGGAGTTCCAGAGCCGAGGGGCTGTGAGGCTGAAGGCCCGGCCACCGATGGTTGGGCGGTTAGGGCGGGGGATGTGGAGCAGACCGGAGCCAGAGGAACGGAGGGTACGGGCAGGTAAATAGGGGGATAGTAGGTCGGAGAGGTAGGAGGGAGCGAGGCCATGAATGGCCTTGTAGGTGAGGATGAGGATCTTGAGTTCGATCCTCTGGGGGATGGGGAGCCAGTGGAGGCGAGCGAGGGCGAGGGTGGGAGTGATGTGGTCGCGAAGTCTGGTGCGGGACAGTACACGAGCTGCAGAGTTCTGAATGACCTGCAGCTTGTGGAGGGAGGTGCCGGGAAGGCCGACGAGGAGAGAGTTCCCGTAGTTCAGCCTTAAGGTGATAAAGGCGTGGACCAGTGTTTCAGCAGCGTGAGGGGTGAGGTAGTGCCGTAGTCTGGCGATGTTCCGGAGGTGGTGGAAGGCGGTGCCAGTTGTGGCGCAGATGTGGGGAAGAAACAATTCCTCCAACTCGCCCCTCTTTACCTACCTTTAAATCCACCTTAAGACCTACCTCTTCAACCACATCAATAGTCACCTCCTAACCCACTTCTCCTGTGAGGGGGATGACTGCTCCATTGTTCAACAAGCCAAGGCGTTATCTTGCATGTAGAGCACTAAATAAAAAGCAAGTTGTTGTTATATAATAACCCTTGCATTTGATATAGCGCCTTATCACGTCTTCGAGATGTCGCAAAGTGCTTCACAGAATATACGGTAAAGTGAATTGACTGTATATTTTGTGGCAAAACTATGTTGCCCAAATCCCTGACTGTCCAGACCCTTGGGACGTTCTCCCGATGTGAAAGCCGCTACACAAATGCAATTTTGTATTATTTGTTGTTGTAACCTCCACTGTTGTCTCTTTCCTTACACACAGCGGAACTGAACACAATTGCTCCCATCATCTCCAACTTCTTCCTGTGCTCGTATGCCCTCATCAACTTCAGTTGCTTCCACGCTTCCATTACAAACTCCCCAGGTGAGAATTTTCCTTTCTCCTTCCAACTCCCACCCCTTGCGCTCCACCCCTCTGATTCCAACCCACAGCTCGGGTACAGTCCCCTCATTGTCCAACGCCTTGGAACGTCCTCCCAACCTAAAAGGTGCTGTGTCAATGCAATTTGTTGTTGTCGTTGAGACCCAGTGCAATATCAGAATGTAACTGTGTTTTATCATCAGTAAAGGGTGAACTTTCTCAACACAAATCAGTTCTGTAGCTCAATGATGTGAGCGAGGTCTTTGAAGGGTAAAGAATGGCCAGTTAATGGGGATCACGTTTTAATTGCAAATACATCGAGCTTTTGTTCTTCTAAAGGTTGGAGACCTTCCTTCAAGTATTACAACAAATGGGCCTCCCTCTTTGGTGCCATTGCTTCCGTGATCATCATGTTCCTGCTGACGTGGTGGGCAGCCCTCATCGCCTTCGGCATTGTCATCTTCCTCCTGGCTTACGCCTTGTACAAAAAACCCGGTAAGTCATTCGGGAAAGTGAAACCAGAAGTATTTTTCCTGCAATCCTGTCTGAATGGTTTCTCGCAGCTCCTTCACTTAATGTACTTCATTTGTGGTTTGTTGTTGCATTGGTGTCAGCCTGGCTCAGTCGGTAGCACTCTCGTCTCTGAGTCAGAGGGTTGTGGATTGAAGCCCAAGATTGGGACTGTGAACTCACAGTCTGGGTTGACTCTCCGAAGCAGTGCTGTGGGTGTGCTGTTTGTCGGAGGTGCCGCCCTTCGGATGAGATATCAAACTGAGGTCTTTCTTCCATTAAATATTGGGAAATTTAACACGTTTTCTTATTTTCCACTTTAAGTCGTAAACTGGGGCTCGTCTGTTCAAGCCGGCTCCTATAACATGGCCCTGTTGCATTCCGTGAGGCTCAATGAAGTGGACGACCACATAAAAAATTACAGGTAATGAACAACACAAACTCTGGTTTATTTCTCTGCTCCTTTCTCGTGAATGGAACAAGCAAATCTGGGTTCCCGTAAGAGCAATAAGGATCTTTTTGATTCAATTTATTTCAAAATACTTTCCCCCCACCCCCTCCTCGAAGATTACAGATCAACGGCACGTTCTCTTTGACTGAGCGTGACTATTCTGTAAGGTAGTTGATAATTATAATGATAATAATAATAATTTCATTTGATATAGCGCCTTATCATTGAGACGTCTCAAAGCTCTTTCACAGAAAACATGATGCACATACGTGGGAGAAGGGATTAGGGGAGCACAGGAGAGGTGGGGACTCATGTGGAGTATAAACATCGGCACGGACTAGTTGGGCCGAATGGCCTTCTTGTGTACTGTATCACTGTTTGTAACTGTAATAATGAATGTCTTGCTTACAGTCTGGTTGATAAGACTCCAATCCTGAATTTTGTGCTTTCCTGTTTGCTATAGGCCACAGTGCCTGGTTCTCACTGGTCCTCCTAACTTCCGTCCAGCGTTGGTAGATTTGGTTGGGACTTTCACCAAAAACCTGAGTCTGATGGTGTGCGGAAATGTGCTGTTCGTGAGTGCACTTATTAATAACATTAATAATAATAGTGTTTGATATAGCACCTTTCACACCGGGGGAACATCTCAAAACACTTAACAGAATTTACTGTAAAGTAATAAGATTAGTGATCCTAGCATTAGCCCTCGCGCCTTCTCCGGTCAAGACGATGTCTTCATGGGATTCACTATATAAAATGTGGGAGAAAGGAATAGAGTGATACAGGAGAGGAGAATAGGAGGGGTGCGGGCTCTTGTGGAGTGCAAACACCGGCACGGACTATTTGATCCGATTGGCCTGTTTCTGTGCAGTAATAATAATAATAATAATATCAATCTGTGTAAATCTGTGGAAGGACTTAATAATAATAATAATAATAATCCTTGCATTTGATATAGCGCTTTTCACGTCGGGAGGACGTCCCAAAGCGCTTCACAGAACACACTGTAAAGTGAATTGACTGTATATTTGTGGGCGAACGCGGCAGCCAATTGCGCACAGCAATGTCCCACAAACAGTCGTAGATTGAAAATGACCAATTATTTATTGGTTTTAGTTTTGGAGGGATTATTATTAGGCTCTGTGTGGAGTAAGGAAACTTGCCCAAGGTTTCGCCCTCTGCCTGGAATTGAACTCAGGTCTCTCGCTTGCAAAGCGAGTGCTCTAACCACTGAGCTACAGGACTCCACAATTGCGCACAGCAGTGTCCCACAAACAGTCTTGAAACAGCAAGTACGATTTCCAGCGATTCTTTCAGGTTATTCCTTCAACCCAGAAGGTTAAGCACTTTGTCAAATTTGCTAAATGTATCTCTGTTATGAAGTCTCCCATTTCTCTTCCTCAGCTTGAAATGCACCACACTGTAGCTCTGAATTCACTGTACCTCCACTCCACTCTCCCTGACTGTGCCTATACATTTAACCCCAGGGTCCACACAGACAGAAGGTGCAAGAAGGTACCTCAGACGGACACATCAGGTGGCTGCACAAGAGAAAGATCAAGTCCTTTTATGCGGCGGTGGCTGCAGATGATTTACGGAGCGGAATTCAAATGTTAATGCAGGTAACGGCACAACAATACCAAGAGGCTCTTGATGACAAGTACACCTCCTGCTGTTTATTTAGGATACACAGTGGCTCAGATGGTAGCACTTCTGAGTCAGAAGTTGTGGGATCAAACCCCTCATCAGGACTTTGAGCTCACACTGGAACATTAAACCAAGATCCCATCTGCCTGATCAGGTGGATGTTAAAGATGGCACTGCACTGCTCAAAAAGAGAAGGCAGTTTCCTCCCGGTATCTTGCCCAACAATCCTCCAGATAAATTTGGACTTACTCCAAGGTTTGAAACGTTCGTTAACTCTTCAGAAGGCATTTAAACAGTAAACAGGTCATTATTTGCTGTGGGCTTTGCCATCAGAGAGAGGCTTGGCTGCTCTGGCACAGGAATGGGAAAATCACGCTATTCCATGTTATCTCTAGGCTGCAGGTCTCGGCAGAATGAGGCCCAACGTCATTATGTTGGGATATAAAAAGAATTGGCAATCAGACTACCCACGGAACATGGAAAATTATATTGGCATCATCCAGTGAGTAGCTATCTGACGCAACCCACCTCAGCACACCCCACCACATTACATCACACCCCAGCCCACACCACACCCCAGTGAATTGAATTCAGTGAAAGGCAAATTATTTCCTCTCCATACCTCAGTCTTTCCAGAAACACATCTTCTGCTAACATACCTGTTTAAACCCATTCATGCTCCCCGCTTCATCAGGCTGTGTTCTAGCTGTTTATGCTATTAGTTTTATTATTAAACCTCGATCCATTGTTGTTAGTCAAAAAAAAAAGTCTATTTTTATTCGGTGATCCGCCTGTTGCAGATTCTATGGCTCAGTTCCAAAAGAGAAAGGAGATTATCCTGGTGTCCTGGCCATCAATACTTCAGATAACCAACAACAAGAATTTTACATTTACACAGCACCTTTCACATCGGGAGGATGTCTCAAAGAGCTTCACAGAACCGACTGGGAGCCTACAATTGGTCTCTCATCTCACAGCTCTTTGTGAAGTCTGGCTATGTGCAAAGTAGCTTCTGTGTTCGCCTACAAAACATATCGCTGCACTCAACAGCACTTACTCTAAAGAGGCCTGAGACATTGTGATGTGAGAAGGCAATAATACAGAGTAAGACTTTCTAATTCACAACTTACGTCTGGTTTCAGCGACTCTTTTGAGAGTAATTATGGTGTGTGCATCATGCGAGTGAAGGAGGGACTTGATATTTCACGAATGACGGAAATGTACGGTGAGTGTGAGACAAAGATCTCAACATGGACAGTGTGCATTGAAAGCTTTGGGGCTTCTTGGGCTCTCATACAAAGCCTCCTATTAGATGGTCTCTAATGAACCCTGAAGCTTACCCTACTTTACCATATGATGAATATGCGTACATCTCTGTGTCCGTACCAAATTAATGGGGGGGTTGTGTGTGTGTGAGCGCCAGCATTTTCATGGCAGATAATAATCTGTCGCCTTGTTCAGTGCCACATCTTCTGTAACATGGATGGAGTGAGGAGGAAGTTATTGGTGTCAGACATTGTTACACTCGATTCACCTCCAACAGAAAATAAAAATTCATAATAAGAAAAAAACAGGGGGTAACGGGACTTTGTGAACTTGTGATCAATGGACCTTCATACATGGATCTCAGCTAGGAAGCTCATGCAGAAGCTGGGAACACTTAGGACTCCAGAGATTGCATATCAACTGAGCGTTTACCTGCATGTTGAAGTGAGTCTCAGGAAATCGGAAGCTGGAAAGGTGGGGGAGAATGTAAAGTGAATCTAAAATCCCTAATTTCTCGGTTTGACCGCGCTTTTGGAAATCTTTGCCCGCCCTCCCTCACCTCACACCTCCAGCTCGAGTGCCAAGCCAGGGGTTAAGTGTTTTGGGACATCCTCCCGATGAGAAAGGCACTGTATAGATGTAAATTTGTACTGCGCTGCAAATGTAAACTGTATTGTTATTTTAGTGAACCCGACATTTGATGCAAGGGAAGATGTGAAAACAGTGGAAAACAGAGTCAGTGGAGCTGCTTCAGCCACTGGCACAAGTGAGTTCCTGTCATTATCTTATGACCTTGTGCAGCCCAAGTCCAAAAGAACACAAAGCAATGGGCTGTGTTGTTGAATAATAGATGACTCCATGAACTTAACCAAAGGGGAAAGTGAGGCTTAAATTAACAATGAACCAAGCTACTTCCCTGCAAGATCCACATTTAATGTTGGCATTGTTTTTTAATATGTTACCCGAGACCACAAACCTGCCCAATTATGACTTTACTAAATGAAGCTGTGGCAACAATGTCCTCATTCTCTTGTGTCATTGAAAGCTGGAGCTAAGCGAGCACCCTCAATAAACAAGGGGTTTGTGTGGTTAGAGAGCACAGGACTGTGATCATTAGACCACTTCAGTTATTAAACTGCGAGCTTCCTGGGATTGTGCTCCTTGCCATACAATGCATTAGAGGAATGAAATTATTCTGGTTGGAGTTTGTAGTCATGTGTTAACAAATTCAGGCCCTAATGAGATTTACACCCACCCAAACCATGTCTGGTTTGCTCGTTGTTCCTCTCTGTGCTAAACCAAACATCAGCTGCTATATAAAAACTGTCCTCACTACCTCTTCTTGCAACAGACCCTAGTAATGCGCTTGGTGAACATCAGACAAGCACAATCTTCCAGTCCGAGCAGGGCAAGAAGACCATTGACATCTACTGGCTCTTTGATGATGGAGGTATCATGCATTCGTACATAATACATAATTCTTGCATTTGGTACAGCGCCTTTCATGTCGGGAGGATGTCCCCAAGTGCTTCACAGGATTTACTGTGAAGTGGAAAGACTGTGTGGGCGAACACGGCAGCCAATTTGTGCACAGCAATGTCCCACAAACAGTCATGGAATGAGTGAGCAATTTTATCTGGGGGATGGTTAGCCAGGAAACTCCCTTTTTTTTCGAATAGTGCCATGGGATCTTTTACGTCCATCTGAACAGACAGACAGGGCTTCAGTTTAACGTCTCATCCGTAGGACGATCAATTACCATGGTGGGAACTAACAACAATAACAACCACAACAAATTTACATTTGTCTAACGCCTTTCACGTTGGGAGGACGTCGCAAGGCGCTGGGCAATCAGTGTTTCGGACTCGGGCTGGTAGTTGGTATCGGGCAGGGTGGAGGGCAAGGGGAAAGGAGGGAGACCAATGGCACGGTCAAACAGGAGGGCCTTGAGATGATCTTAAAGGAAGCAAGGGAGGGGGTGAGGTGAAAGGACTGCGGGATGGAGTTCCAGAGAGTGGTCACAGAGTGACTGAAAGTCCGCCTGCCAATGGTGGGGCGGGTGAGCTGGGGGACGTGAAGCAGGTCGGAGCCCGCTGAGCGGAGGGAGCGGGCAGGTTGAGTTAGGAGGTCACAGAGGTAGCAGCACTGCAGAAAGTGGAGGTAGCATTAATCTGCATTAAACTTGTGATGATCTATCCTTTCTCTGACCGGCGCAGGCCTGACCCTCCTAATTCCTTATCTGCTCTCTCGGAAAAAGAGATGGCGAAACTGCAAGGTCCGTGTGTTTGTGGGGGGTCAGATCAACAGGATGGACGAGGAGAGAAAGGCGTAAGTACCTGACCTGAGACTGTTTATTCACCAGTGTCAATCTGACCCTTTGCTGACATTAGATGCTTGACAGCCGGCATATTTATTTGGGGGTAACGCTAGAGAAATTGGGCAACGATATCCGTGTTGTCACAAACCGACATCGCTCCCAACTTATAATAAGCAATAAGAATTCTTGCGTCTGATATAGTGCCTTATCACATCGTCGAGACATCTCAAAGCGCTTCACAGAATATACTGTAAAGTGAATTGACTGTGTATTTTGTGGACGAAACAGCAGCCAATCGCACAGAGCAGCGGCCCACAAACAGTCGTGTATTGACTGACCAATTTGTTTATTTATTTCTTGGAGGGATTATTACCCCTGGAAAGCAATCCGCCAATTAACTAACAACCGGGTTCCTGCTTACTGCTAGGTAAGCAGTGGCGTGTGGAGTTAGGAAACGTGCCTAAGGTTTTGCGCTGCCAGGAATCAAACTCAGGTCCGCTCGCTTGCGAGGCGAGCGAGCTAATCATTACGCTACGGGACTCCATAATGTAATAGAACTGGTCAAACCACAATGCTGCAGGACTCCTCCACATTAGTCCTGAGCCCTTCACCGAGGCTTGTTTCACGAGATCACCAATGGTTCCTGTGTCTGTCTGTTTGTGTTTCAGGATGATCACTCTCTTAAGCAAATTCCGCCTGGGTTTCAGTGAAGTCCACGTCCTCCCAGATATTAACCAGAAGCCACGACCTGAGCAGTAAGGATTATTTCTTTGGCTCGTGTCGGAAACTGCGGTCAGCCTGGCGTTCCGACATCTCCCTTTGCCCGTTAACCCTTCATGGCTCCTGCTCTTTTTTTTCTCTCTCTCTTCCCTGCAGTGTGAAGAGATTTGAGGACCTGATCGCTCCTCACAGGCTGAACGATGGCTTCAGGGAGGATGTCCTTATTAACGAGCTCAGGAGGGACTGTCCCTGGAAGGTGTCAGACGAGGAGATCAAGAGAAACCAGACAAAGGTGAGCAGGTGGATATCTATCCACCTTCAAGACTGATGTGGATCGATGTTTGTTAGGTCAGGGTATTAAGGGATATGGGGCAAGGGTGTTGCCCCATAGGGTGTTGTTGGAGTTGAGGTACAGATCAGCCATGATCTTACAGAATGGTGGAACGGGCTCGGGGGGCTGAATGGCCTCCTCCTGTTCCTATCTTCCGAGGGGTGGACGCAGTAATCGCAGAAATGGCGTTCAGGTTCAATCACAAGACTCCAGAACATGGGGATTCGATTATCGATGCTGAACTGAAACCCTGGTCCATGCCTTTGTCACCTTTCGGCTGGACTACTCTAACGCCCTCCTCGCCAGTCTTCCATTCACCCCATCCATAAAATCCAAATCATCCAAAACTCTGCCGCCCGCATTCTCACCCGCACCAAACTCCGCTCCCCGATCACCCCAGTCCTTGCCAGACTGCACCGGCTGCCTATCCCAGAGAGGATCGATTCCAAGATCCTCATCCTTGTATTCAAATCCCTCCACTCCTCTGCACCCCCCGACCTCTCTGACCTCCTCTCTCCTCAGATCAGTACCCGAGTCTTCGATCCTCCAGGTCTGGCCTCCTCCTCATCCCCCGAGTCCTCTGCTCCACCCACGGCGGCCGTTCCTTCAGTCACTATGCCCCGAGGCTCTGGAATTGCCTTCCTCACTCCCTTCGCCTCATCCACTCTCTTCCTACTTTCAGGTCTTTGCTGAAGACCTTTCTCTTCGACCGCGCCTTTGGTCACCTTCCTCCCCCTCCTCCTGGCTCCTCCCCCTGGCTCGGCACCGGGATCCGTTACTGTGAAGCGCTCTGAGACGCCGTCCGGCGTGGAGGGCGCTATATAAATCCAAGTTGTTGTTGTTGTACTAAAAACCGCAGTGTTTCCGCAACCAACAACAACAAGATTACATTTGTATAGCGCCTTTCACGTTGGGAGGACGTCCCAAGGCGCTGGACAGTGTACAGCATTTCAGACCCGAGCTGGGGTCAGGGCAGGAGAAGGGAGGGGAGGGGAAGAGGGGGCGGCCGATGGCATGGTGGAAGAGGAGGGTTTTGAGGTGAGACTTGAAGGAGGCTAAGGAGGGGGGCGAAGCGGAGTGATTGGGGGATGGAATTCCAGAGGTTGGGGGCAGAGTGGCTGAAGGCACCGATGGTAGCGCGGGTGGATCGGGCAATGTGGAGCAACAGGCACCCAAATACTGTGCACTTGGCCTTGCAACAAGACCATTGAAAACAGTGTCAGGGTGGGGGTAGGGAGTGGAGAGAGGGCCATCATCAGGGAAGGTTCAATTGATAAGTATCAGTGTGCAACCTCTGCGAGCGCTCTGGGATGCTACGCTGTGTGAAGGGAGCTATATAAATGCAAGTTGTTGTCAGTATGAAACGTATCATTCATTTGATCTAAGTGCCTCTCCTCCGGTCCCTGGAATTCCAGGAGAACTTAATAATACTAATGATTATCCCTCGGTTTAGTATAGCCCCCTGACGCACCGAAAAAGCAGTGTTGAGTGACTCGTTCTGTAGGCGACAAGATGCTCCTAAGAGTAAGACGTCATTAATAAATGCTACAGGATTACTCGGTTACAGTACAGTGTCTGTCAACTGACAGACCTATAGCCCCTGCGTGAGGAACGCTAGATAAATGCAAGTTGTTGTTGTGCTTGTTTTTAGACTCTTACAGTTTGTCCAAATGTTTTGATTTGGATGGAAATGCTCCACGTGCTCACTGTGTGCCGGTCAGTGGGTCTGTCCCCACTGAACAATCAGGTTACATTCAGAGCGCCCTGACCTGACACAGGCAACACACACTGAACACTTCATTCTCTCTCTCTCTCTGCAGTCGCTCCGGCAAATCAGACTGAATGAGATTTTACTGGATTACTCTCGTGATGCCGCTCTGATAGTGTTGTGAGTATAACTTTCTGTGTGTGTGTGTGTCTATGTATATAACCTCCTCCGTGCATGTGTCTATGTGTGGGTGTCCGTGTATCTGTATCTGTGTGTGTCTGTCTGTGCATGTGTGTACCTCTGTATATAATTTCTGCAATTACTGATACACAGTGGTGAGCGTGTGTGTACCCTCCTCAGTGACTGACATATAGATTGGTGTGTGTGTGTGTACCTTCCTCAGTGACTGACATGAAGAGTGGTGTGTGTGTGTGTGTGTACACTCCTCAGTGACTGACATGTAGAGTGGTGTGTGTGTACACTCCTCAGTGACTGGTATGTAGAATGGTGTGTGTGTGTACACTCCTCAGTGGCTGACATGTAGAGTGGTGTGTGTGTGTGTGTGTGTGTACACTCCTCCGTGGCTGATATGTAGAGTGGTGTGTGTGTGTACCCTCTCAGTGATTGAAGTACAGGCTGAGACTATTCAGTTAGTCTTACCGAAATGATTCAAATCTAGATATCAGTGGTGCTGGGACTCTGTCCTTCTGTTGTATTGTTAGGTTCAGCTTCTCATTGAGCTACGGTCGACTTGTCTGTTCTAGGACAATGCCTGTTGGACGACAGAACAAATGTCCGAGCTCCCTGTACCTGGCCTGGCTGGAGACCCTGTCCCAGGACCTGCGGCCCCCCGTCCTCCTAATCCGAGGGAACCAGCAGAACGTCCTTACCTTCTACTGCCAATAGCACTGGAGAAGGAGTCCTCCATTTCACCTTCCCTCTCTCCCTCCCTCCCTCATTCCCTTTTGCCCACAAGAAAATACATACAGTCAATTCACTTTACAGTCTATTCTGTGAAGCACTTTGAGATGTCTCGGAGACATGATAAGGTGCTATATCAATGCAAGGATTATTATTATTATTATTCCTCCCTCACTCTAACACACTGTAATCCTGAACATTCACACTGGATCTTTTATTATGAAGCAAGGACAATGGTTTTTTTCTGTATCACATTGGATAATAATGTTGTTATTCTCCTGACGTGAAAAGCACCTTACCAATGTAAATTGTGATTATAAAAGTCTTGCACACCTCTGTCGCTTTAAGGAAAGTAAATGGTGGAAAAATAGCCTGAAAGAATACATCGAAAGGTATCAATGAAAGGAAAGCACAACTCTGGGGGGGGAAACTTGTGCAGCTTTGTAGTGTGGATACTTTTATACATAAAATTTCAAGTCTTTGATTAGTGGAGACACAGACTTAATAAAAAATATATTTTAAATGTACTGTACTGCAGAGTTTGGGTGGAACCCACACAAGCGCTGGGGTTCAGTGAAAAGATTCTCGACTGCGGACGGAACTGGTTGTAAAATGGAAGACTTGTTTGCATCACTAAATGGATGCCACAATGAGTCATTGTAGAGTTTGTGACATTAAAGGCGCTGTAATAAATACAAATGTTATCATCACTCAATGTGTGCTGCTTTGTGTTGTGGCTGCTGTTATTTGGTCATGTCAAGATCAGCACAGGCCTGAATATACCTTGTAACTACAGTCATCTCATCTATATCTCCAGGGCTGTCTGTTGCTGGTGTCAGCATTCAGATCAGATGACAAGCCATCTGTCCCATCTTAGTATCCACCTGAACAGATAGATGGGATCCCACCTGTCTGTTCAGGTGGATATTAAGGATTCTGTGGCACTATTAGAAATGGAGAAGGGACTTTCTCTCGGCCGACAATCCTACAAATAAATTAATCATTCACTTCATGGTGGCTTGTGTGACCTTGTAGTGTGGAAACTGTCTGCCTGCAAACACACAGTCAGTATTAATTGTTTCTGAAGCGCTTGAAGGTGTTTTGACATTGTAGGCATTACATCAAATACGAGGATTATCATGATTCTAAATGTAATTATTGGTTTCAGGAGGAGAGGACAACTTGCATTTATATAGCGGCCTTCACGAGCGACAGCATCTCGGAGCGCTTAAAACCTTATAGAGGTGTATAACATTTTAAATGGGATTGAAAAAAGTAAACCCAGAACAATACTTCAGGATGCACCATGACGGTTGAATAAGAGAACACAGCTTTAGATTGCAAAGAGCAATTTCAAAGACAGAGACCAGGAAGTTTTTCTTTACCCCGAGAGTAATTAACAAACTGGGAATGGGTTGCCAGGAAGAGCGGTTGAAGCCAGGATCCTGGGATTCATTTAAAAAGTAGCTTGATGCTGTGTTGGGAGGGTGGAGGGTGGGAGTTCTGAAGGGACGTGATAAGATGGCCAGTGTCTTCTTCATCCAAACCAATCTTATGATCTTTTCCCGTCCTGTTCATTCCTTTGCTCCAAAGTAATAACTTAGGTGTTGTAGTTTACGTTACTTAAACGTAATAATTTACGCACCTATCCCAATTTTTAAAAGTCCTGTTAAAGTGGTTAGAGCGCTCGCCTCGCAAGCAAGAGGACCCGGGTTTGATACCCGGGTGAGGCGAGAGGTTAGGCAAGTTTCCTTACTCCACACGCCTCTGTTTACCTAGCAGTAAGCAGGGACACGGTTGTTAGTCGATTGGCGGATCGCTTTTCCAGGGGTAATAATTCCTTTGTGGGACACTGCAGTGCGCAATTGCCTGCTGCGTTTCGTCCACAAAATATACAGTCACTACACTTTACAGTATTCTGTGAAGCACTTTGAGACATCTCAAAGGCGTGATAAGGTGCTGCATGAAATGCAGGGATTATTACTATTATTACTATGGCTCGGCTGCTCTCAATGTGTTCCTCTATCCTGTGTTCTTTGGGAAAGGAGTGCACAGCCCCACCTGGTGGTCTGTGCTGAGAATTCCCCATTAATCTCTTGGAGGAGATTAACTGCAGCATTTGACTGCATTACAAGTCACTACACCTTAAAGCCACCCGATGTGTGAAGCGCTTTGATACGTTATGACATGATAAGACCTTTGATCAAAAGATTTTTTGTTTGAGTTTCACGGAGACTTTGCCATGCGGGCGCTCCCCTGGATGATGAATGGAACTAAGACTGGACGTGAGGTGGCGTACATCACACAGGACAACTAATAAATGTCAAATGGTCCTTCTTCATGCAGCGCCTTGGGACGTCCTCCTATTGTGAAAGGCGCTACACAAGTGTAATGTGTTGTTGTTGTTGGTGGTGGTGTTGTTGTGATCTTGTGCAAATTCACAGCTGACGCAACCAATGCTCTCCTCGAGTCTGGAGGACAGATTCTCAGTGCGGATGTGGCTGGATCTTGTGGCTGGAGAGTGTGCTAGCTGCAACCTATGACTGCCTTTTGCTCGAATCGTTAAACCTTTTTACCCGGTTTATTTCCTCGCTTGTTTTACTTTTCGGGAACCGAAAGTTTGTTAGTTCCACATTTATTACACGTCGTTATTTTTCTGCTGTCTCGCCAAGCTGCAGTCCGTATGTTGAGATGGGAGGTCTTGGCCTAAGAATCTGCCTATATACTGTGACGTGAGGGAATCTGCACACGTGAGCAAGTGAGAAATGTTGAGCACTTCCTGAACATTTCAAGCAAATAATTTGTGACGCAGGCTGAAATTAGGCGATTTTTTTTCTGTTTTACCAGCAGAGGGTGATCTTCAGTAAGAAGCTGCACAGAACTGTGATGGGATCTTTCACGTCCTCCTGAACAGGCAGACAAGGGCCTTGGCTTCGTTTGTCGTCGGAAGGACAACACCTGTAACAACGCATTCCCCCGGCACTGCACTGGAGTGTTAGCCTCCTCTTGGCTCAAATTCCCAACCCGGAGCTTGAAATCCACAACCTTCTAACTCTGTTGGTTGCGAGAGTGCCAGGCTGACCTACGAAGCCTCTGAAAGTGATGCAGTGTTGATGGGCAGAAACTGTTGAGAAATGGCAAAACTGGAAATGTCACAGCAATGGGACCAGAAGTCTAGGCTGAGAGTGCGGAAAGGGTTTGTGAGAGACTAGTAATGGATAATAATAAGTTAAAGTGGGGTGGCCCGCAAACCGCTTCTGCACCCAGTAGCACTTTATACTATATCCTGTGAAGCACTTTGAGACGTCTCGACGATGTGATCACAATGAAGTTCTTGTAACTCGATACATCAGTGATGAGTATTCACTTGTGTACTATGAAATTGTATATTAAAAGACAACTTTTTTTCCCCCCAAAAAAAATGTATCCAAATCATTGCCGCTGTCTTATAATATATATCAGTTTCTCCTTGAGATGGGTAACCAACATTTATGTAATTAGCCTTCTGGATAATATTTTGTATCTCAAAAATATTTTTATAAGTGTTTGTGTACATGGAGTCCTGTAGCTCAGTGGTTAGAGCACTCGCTTTGCAAGTGAGAGACCTGAGTTCAATTCCAGGCAGAGGGCGAAACCTTGGGCAAGTTTCCTTACTCCACACAGAGCCTAATAATAATCCCTCAAAAAAAACAAAACAATAATAAATTGGTCATTTTTAATCTACAACTGTTTGTGGGACATTGCTGTGCGTAATTGGCTGCCGCGTTCGCCCACAAATGTACAGTCAATTCACTTTACAGTGTTTTCTGTGAAGCGCTTTGGGACGTCCTCCCGACGTGAAAAGCGCTATATCAAATGCAAGGATTATTATTATTATCAAGTGCTATATCAATCTGCAAATGGCACCTTTGAGTCTCAGCAGACACAATAATAATCCTTAACAATCCTAGCACTTGATGTAGAGCCTTATCACATCTTCTAGACGTCTCAAAAGCGCTTCACAGAACATACTGTAAAGTGAATTGACTGTAATATTTTGTGGGCGCAACGCGGCAGCCGATTGGGCGCACAGCAGCGTCCCACACGCAGCCGTGGATTGAGTGACCAAATTATTATTGTGTTTTTGGTGGGGAGGGAAAGAGGATCCGCCGATCGACGAGCGACCGGGTTCCTGCGAGGTAAACAGCGTTAAGGAAACACTTGCCCAACGTCTCGCCCCGCCCGGGCATCGAACCCGAGGCCCTCTCGCTTGCAGGACGGGTGCTCTACTGACCGCTGAGCTTACAAGAGTGCACTCTTAGCTACGTCCCGTAGAGCTGCAGGACTCAGTTACCAATGGAAACAAATCATTGCCGTACATTTATTATTATTATTATTATTATCATGATTATGATTATTATCGGACACCCGGCAGCGGAGAGGTTGTAGAGTAGACCCCCCCCCCCCCACCCACCCCCTGAGTTGAAGGAAGGAAGGATGGTGTGTGTGAGAGAGAGAGAGAGAGAGAGAGGGAGGGGATGTGTGTGATGGTGAGGGGGGGGTTCACTCAGTCACTGAGATGACACTAAAAGCTGCTGCAGGGATTGCATCAGACGGAGTGAGTGTGTGTGACTCTCTCTCTGTCTGTCTGTCTGTCTGTCCCGGACGTGTGATGCGTTGTTGGTGACTGGGAGGGCGGATCAGGGAGAGAGGGGGGAGGGGGTGGGGGGGAGGGGGAGGGGGGGGGTGGGGGGGAGGGGGAGGGGGTGGTGTTTAGTAGTCTGACTAAATGTGGTCTTCTCAGGGTTACACGTCTGCTGTGAGGAGGACCAATCCCCGGCAGCCACACGCCTGGTTTGGCCACAAGAAGCTGTGCACCGCCCCGAGCACTGCCGACCCGTCACCATCGCCCTGTAACGCGCAGACACTCCTCACTCACTCACTCACTCACTCCTCCTCTCTCACACTCACTCTCCTCTCACTCACTCCTCCTCTCTCACTCACTCTCCTCTCACTCACTCCTCCTCTCTCTCTCACTCACTCACTCTCCTCTCACTCACTCTCCTCTCACTCACTCTCCTCTCACTCACTCCTCCTCTCACTCACTCCTCCTCTCACACTCACTCACCACTCACTCCTCCTCTCACTCACTCACACTCACTCCTCCTCTCTCACTCACTCACCACTCACTCCTCCTCTCACACTCACTCACTCACCACTCACTCACCACTCACTCCTCCTCTCTCACTCACTCTCCTCTCACTCACCACTCACTCCTCTCACTCACTCACTCACTCTCCTCTCACTCACTCTCCTCTCACTCACTCCTCCTCTCACTCCCTCCTCTCACTCCCCACTCCCTCCCTCCCTCCCTCCCTCCCGCTGTTCCGGGTTGTGTTTGGGGAGTGGGGGGAGGGAGCGGTTTCTCCCCCCGAATATAGTGGGGTCGCACCTCGTTGGGAATCTCCGGGACTGTCGCTGCGGCTCGTTTCAGCTGTTTATTTTCCTCCTCTGTGTGTGCGGTTTGAAAGGAGCTTCAGACACACAGAGTGACACACAGAGTGACACAGACACACAGACAGACACAGAGAGAGACAGACACACACAGAGAGACAGAGACACAGAGAGAGACACAGACAGAGACACAGAGAAAGACACAGACACACAGACACAGAGACAGACAGAGACACAGACACAGAGAGAGACAGAGACACACAGACACAGAGAGAGACAGACACACAGACACAGAGAGAGACAGACACACAGACACAGAGAGAGACAGACAGAGACACAGACACACACAGAGAGACACAGACACACACAGAGAGAGACAGACAGAGACAGACAGAGACACAGACACACACAGAGAGACACAGACACAGAGAGAGACAGAGACACACAGACAGACAGACACAGAGACAGACAGAGACACACACGGACAGACAGACACAGAGAGAGACAGTGACACAGACACAGAGAGAGACAGAGAGAGACAGACAGAGACACAGACACACACAGAGAGACACAGACACACAGAGAGAGACACAGAGACACAGACCCCCCCAGACCCCGAGGCTATGCAGACACACGGTCCCCCCGGGGACGGCGAAGTGACTTTGACCATCAAAACCCCCAGTCAGAGGTGTGGGGACCACACGGTGTGGGCGCGGCTCAGTTGGACAGTCCGGAGGCTCAAAACACAGCTGTACCGGGAACACCCGAACCATCCCGTGAGTACAGGGGGGGGGGGGGGTGTGGGGGGGGTGTTGGGGTGGTGGTGGTGTGTTGGGGGGGGGTGGTGGGTGTTGGGGTGGTGGTGTGTTGGTGGGGGGTGTGTTGGGGGGGGTGTTGGGGTGTGGTGTGTGTTGGGGGGGGTGTTGGGGTGGTGGTGGTGTGTTGTGTGGGTGGGGGTGTTGGGGTGGTGGTGGTGGTGTGTGTTGGGGGGGGTGTTGGGGTGGTGGTGTGTGTTGGGGGTGGTGTTGTGGGGTGGTGTGGGGGGGGGTGTTGGGGGGGGGTGTTGGGGTGGTGGTGTGTGTTGGGGTGGTGGTGTGTGTTGGGGGGTGTGTTGGGGTGGTGGTGTGTGTTGGGGGGTGTTGGGGTGGGGGTGTGTTGGGGTGGTGGTGTGTGTTGGGGGGTGGTGTTGGGGTGGGTGGTGTGTTGGTGGGGGGGGTGTTGGGGGGGGTGTTGGGGGGTGGGGTGGTGTGTGTATGGGGGGTGTTGGGGTGGTGTGTGTTTGGGGGTGTTGGGGTGGTGGTGTGTGTTGGGGTGGTGGGTGTTGGGGGGGGTGTTGGGGTGGTGGTGTGTGTTGGGGTGGTGGTGGTGTGTTGGTGGTGGTGTGTTGGTGGGGGGTGTTGGGGTGGTGGTGTGTGTTGGGGGTGTGTTGGTGTGTTGGTGGGGGTGTTGGGGGGGTGTTGGGGTGGTGGTGTGTGTGGGGGGGGTGTTGGGGTGGTGGTGTGTGTTGGGGGGGGTGTTGGGGTGGTGGTGTGTTGGTGGGGGGTGTTGGGGGGGGGTGTTGGGGGGGGTGGTGGTGGTGTGTTGGTGGGGGGGTTGGGGGGGTGGAGGGTGTTGGGGGGGGTGTTGGGGTGGTGGTGTGTTGGTGGGGGGTGTTGGGGGGGTGGGGGGTGGTGTTGGAGGGCTGTGCTCAGCTGATCTGAGAACAGCTGATTGCAATGCTTATTTTTTGGGGATAGAAAAAAGTCTCAACTTTCCTTTGGGTGACATTTTGTTTCCTGTTGGGTTGTATGTTTGAGGAAGTGTGTGTCTATACCAAAAAAAAGCCTCTTTCTCCCCCCAACCCCCCACCCCCCCCACCCTAATCTGTGTCCTAATTCTCTTAAGACCCGCTTGGGGTTTCGGGTTCAAATGTTTGGGCCGCGTTAGATGGACGCAGGCTTTTGTGTCCTTTGTTTTCCCACCACAAACAAAAGACCTGTGTCAAAAGTAAGGAAGCAGATTTTAATTAACGTTCAGGATTCAGTTTGTCCCTGAGCGCACTGCACCTCCCCGTGTGCCTTTGCCGGTGGCTGACCGTCACACTGACCCGAGCCCTGGAAATTCACCTGAACTTTCTCAGCAGCTGAACACAAATAGAGCCAAGGAGTAGTGGTGTTTTGTAGCGCAGTGGTTAGCGCCTTCGCCTCGCAAGCGAGAGGACCCCGGTTCGATTTCCCCCGATGTGGCAAAACCTTAGGCAAGTTTCCTTACTCCACACGCCTCTGTTTACTCAGCAGGAAGTAGGAACCTGGTTGTGAGTCGATTGGAAGGGATAATAATCCCCCTTTTTTAAAAAAAAACTTGGGTCACTCAACCCACGACTGCTAGTGGGACATTGTTGTGTGCAATTGGCTATCGCGTTTCATCCACAAATACACAGTCAATCCACATTACAAAATATACAAATGTAATCTTGTTGTTGTATTCGGTTAAGCGCTTTGAGATGTTTTAATTAACGTGGTAAAAGGATTAGTATTATTATTAAGGCCCGACATATTCACCTGCTTTTCGCCTGTCAGACCATGTTGTCTTCAGAAAAAGATGTAACGCTGCACAGAATTGTGCAAAATTCAGATGCCAGTGTTTTTTTTATTTGTTTGATGTAATAATGTTTTTTTTATTAGAAAATTCTGTGAATCCATGTCTTAAAGACATTTACATTTTCCCGTGTGATACTTTAATCTGAACAGTAAGGATCTGAACCCTTTAATTTTCCAATTTAAAAAAATAATTATCCAAAACAAATTTCTTATATAAAACTGGCGACTGAATTTTGCACAATTCTGCGTAGCCTTCAATCTTTTTCTAAAGACAACATCGTCTTGACCGGCTAAGAGCAGGTGAAAATGTCGGGCCTTAATAATAATAAGCCTTGCGTTTGATTAAGCGCCTTATCACGTTGTTAAAACATCTCAAAGCTCTTCACAGAATATGTGCAGGTATCTGCAGTGGTGTAATCAATCACGTGTTGTGTTTGCCGATTCCAGACCGAGCAGGAGCAAAGGCTGATCTACTTTGGGAAGTTGTTGCTCGACGACCTTCTACTGAGCGAAGTATTACAGAAGGTGAGTGGAGGCGGGGGGTGGGGGGGGGGGGGGTGGAGAGTTAACAGGAGCCGCTCTCCTGTCAAGCTGCTTATTACCAGATGGTAATGCATTGTCAGCTATTACTTGGTGCACTGTGTAGGTCAAAGATTCAGAGCCATAGAAGTTTACAGTGCAGGGGGAAGGGGAGAAAGCGCTGCATTGTCAGGGGTGCTGTCCTTTGGATGAGATGTTAAACCGTAGTCCTATTTGAGTGGACAGTAAAGATCTCGTGGTATTATTCAAAGTTAAAAAGGGGAGTTTCTCTCTGCCGGTGCCTTGATCAACAATCCCCTACCCAGATACAATTGGTCACTTGCTCCACGGCTGTTCGTGCAACGTTACTGTCAACAAATTGACTGACGCCATTTGCCTACCAAATACAGTCACTGCACTTGACAGTATATTGTGGAATCCTGTAGCTCAGTGTCCGCTCCCTCTGGGTTCGATTCCCGGGCAGGGCGAAACGTTGGGCAAGTTTAATTACTCCACATGCCTCTGTTTACCTAGCAGTCAGTAGAAACCCGGTTGTTAGTCGATTGGTGGATTGGGGGGTAATAATTCCTTAAAAAAAATAATTTGGTCACCTCAATCTACGATTGTTTGTGGGACACTGCTGTGCGCCATTGACTTCCGCGTTTCGGCCACAGAATAAACAGTCAAATCACTTTACAGTCTATTCTGTGAAGTGCTTTGAGATGTCTTGATGGCATGATAAGGCGCTGTATCAAATGGAAGGAATAGTATATGATCGTTGCAGACTTGTAGATGTAAATCGCTAACACTGTTCTCTGCTTTCCAGGAGGAACAGTACCACATCCTTCACATGGTCTGTAACCTGAGAACAAGCCTGAAATCTCCACAGCCAGAAAGAACAATGGTAAGATCTTGTTAAAGAGGAAGCGCGTGGGTTCACACAGTCTGTGGACCCCGCTGTACAAGGTGGGAAGGGCACTGGGACCCTTACAAGGATGTGGCATTTGCGTGCGGTCCTGTGGGGATGGTTATCCTCCTGAGTGGGGGAGGTAAGCTGGGTCTACTTGGAGCTGAACTGGCTCCAAGGTGACATGTTTGGAAAAAGGAATGTCGGAATTGAGCCAGGATGATCTGCAACTTGTGGAGGGAAGAGTTGGCATAGTTGGCAGTCTCGGTAGTCCGGTTCCTGAGCCAGGCGGTTCCACAGTATTCCAGACCACTGCTGATACAATCCAATACAAAATTACATTTGTAAAGCGCTTTTCACATCCGGAGGACGTACCAAGGCGCTGAACAGGAGCCAAGGGAGTTTGAAGGAGGCCAGGGAGGGAACGACGCAAAGGGAATGTGAGATGGAATTCCAGAGGCTGGGGGCAGAGAGGCTGAAGGCCCGACCGCCGATGGTGTGGCAGGCCGGAGGTGGACATGGAGCAGGCTGGAGCCTGCTGAGCGAAGGGAGCGGACAGGTTGATAAGAAGTTAGCAGGTCAGAGAGGTGGGGGGGGCAAGGCCACAGAGGACCTTGAAGGTGAGGATGAGAATTTTGAACTGGATCCTCTGAGGGATGTGGAGCCGGGCGAGGGTGGGGTCATGGAGCCTGGTGTGGGAGAGGACACAAGCTGCAGAGTTCTGGATGATCTGCAACTTGTGGAGGGAAGAGTTGGGAAGGCCAATGAGCAGGGAGTTGGCATAGTTGAGCCTGGTTGTAATGAAGACATATATGAGAGTTTTGATGGCCTGAGGGGGTGGGGCAGTGGCAGAGTCGTGCCCGAGTCGGGCAATGTTGCGGAGGTGGGGGGAAGCCAGAGCTGGTCATGGCACAGATGTGGGAGAGAAAGGACGGTTGAGGGTCGAACAGGATGCCTAGGTTCCTGACTGGTTGGTGAGTTGAGACTGTGAAACCGTGGATCCAGACGCTGCGAGTGCCTAAGGTGCGGAAGCCCTGGCGTGAGCCAATCAGGAGAGCCTCGGTCTTGCTGATGCTCAACTGTAGAAAGTTGGTTCTCATCCAGGGCTTGATGTGACAGATATTCTGTCAGGACCCCAGTGGTCCTGGGTCAAGGGTGGAGGTAGAGAGATAGAGTTGGGTGTCATCCGTGTACATGTGGAAGTTGACCCCATGTCTGCGGATGATGTCACCAAGAGGGAGTATGTGCAGGACAGAGCCTCAGAGGAGAGGACTGAGATGACAGCACAACCAGTCTGACTCGTCGGCAGGACCCGGAAAGGCAGACCAGTCACTGGGAGAAAGGAGTCCTCCCACTCAGCTCCTGTTAACCCTGCAAGCCAACGCCCTCACAAGTAGCATTTATATAATCAGACCAATACACTGCCACATCATATGTTACCTAATATATTTGAGCTTCCTAACATTGCTGTGTTTTGCAGGAGGTTGATATTTTATACACCAGATATTTTGTCGGGCTATTTTTGAATAGTGTGATTATTATTATTATTAAATTGACACAAGAATTGAGAAATGTCTCCAAACCAAATGAACCGAGCTGAAGGGTCAATGAATGTCCCGTGAACAGGTGCAGTCAGGGGAAGCTGCAAAGCTTCCTCCTTTGAGCAGTCGACACATCACCAATGTTGGCTGGCAACATATGTTCGACAGAGCTCAGACCGAGACCCGTTTTGGGTGTAATGCTCCCCCCAGCCCTGCACATTTGCATAAAATGCAGGAGGCAGCTGCAGTGTGCATTGCGACCACATTATTATTATTATTATTCCTTCTATATCTCCGCTATTATCACCCGCTCTCCCCCACTATCACCCGCCCTGTGCCCCAGAATTGACTGCCACGTTTTATTACAAAATACACATGACAGTAAATACTATGAAGTGCTTTGAGTCGTCCTGCCAGTGTGAAAGGCGCTGGATCACAGTGCAGTGATTGGTATTGTTACACTCGCTGTTAATCTACTCAGTCGGGTTCTGCCTATGCAACCTCCAGTGTGATCTGGCTTCAGGTCACCATAGAGGTTTGGTTGAGGAAGGGCCTTTGGACAACACACTTCATTGGTTGAATAAGAGCTGCCAAAAACCTTCACATGTTACTAAACTGTGAGCTACTCCAGGCCAATGCACAATTTAAGAGTCAATGACAATAATGATAATCCATTTGATGTAGAGCCTTATCGCGTCATTAAGAGTCTCAAAGCGCTTCAAACTATATACTTTAAAGTAAATTGACTGCATATTTTGAGGACGAAACACAGCAGCCAATTGCGCACAGCAGTGTCCCACAAACAGTCATGGAATTACCGACCAATTTCTTTTTGAGGGATTCTTACCTTCCATAAAGCGATCCGCCAATCTAGCAACCTACTTACTGCTAGGTAAGCAGAGGCATGTGGATTAAGGAAACTTGCCCAAGGTTTTGCCCGGCCTGCGAGTCAAACCTGGGTCCTCTCACTTGCGAGGCAAGTGCTCTAACCACTAAGGTACAGGACGCCACTGTACAGTGAGGTGTAAATTTATTTGTGTGAAGCCTGTTCTGGTAGCGTTTGGATGAGCAGATCCGATTTGATTGATCGTCCTGGGATTGACTTTCTTCCCCGTTTCTTTTCTCTCAAAAGCAGGAAGCGTCTGTGCCCACAGCCTCCGGGCAGGAGAACCTGACTGTGCCCGTGACTGTGCCCGTGACGGTGCCCGTGACAGTGCCCGCGGAGGGCCTCCGGCATAGAGGCCAGACCGCCTACCCCTGGCCGTACGGTGCAGTGTGAGTAGAAAGGAAGAACCTTTGCCAGTCTTATTGCTGCTTTGTTTGACTGGCTGGGGATTCAGTCTAATCGTTGTCTTTGCATTGACAGGCCTGTGGGTGAGAGGGTGCCAATGCCAGAGGGCATGTCCGGCCTGGCTGCCTATAACCTGTACAGCTCGCAACAGATCCTCTGGTTCCAGCAGATGTACGTGAGGCAATATTACATGCAATAGTAAGTACTGATTTAATGTGTCTTGTTTCCCTTGCGTTAATGTGAACGGTCATTTGCTGCTCGCTAATGCCCCCTACCCCTCTGTGTATATATATGTATACGCACTCTCTGGGACATTACCTTGCCCAAGGAGAGCTATATAAACGCATGTTGTTGTTGGTATGACTTGTGTGAGGTTCACTGTATAATGACAGTGCCAATCGTTGTGTGTTACAGCCAGGCTGCCGTGGCCGCTCAAGCCGCAGCCAACTCCCAGCAGCTGCAGCAGCCGGTGGTGACCCCAGGGCCACCTGCGGGGCTCCCCGACCAGCCCCCCCTGGTCAACCTGCCGGTGGACCACCACGTCCCCCTGCCTGCCGCCAACGAGCCCCCAGCCAACCAGAACCTGCGCATGAACGCTCAGGGGGGGCCGGTGATGGATGACGAGGAAGAGCTGAACCGCGACTGGCTAGACTGGATGTATCTGGCTGCCCGCGCCTCCTTCTTCTTCAGCATCATCTACTTCTACTCCTCGCTGAGCCGTGTGGTGCTGGTGATGAGCGCCATGATTCTGGTCTACCTGTGAGTGTCCTCCTCTGCTGTGCGGCCCTTTTGCGCTGGGTAGAGTCCCGGAGCGCTTGACGGTGGGGGAGCCTGACTCCGAGCCGGGAGGGAGGTGACCGTAGGGAACGGTCGAATGGGGAGGTTTCCAGGCGCGAGCTGAAGATGGGGAAGGAGGGTTTCAGGGTGAAGTGGCTGAAAGCCCGGCCGATGATGGTGGAATGGGGGGCACGAGGAGACCAGAACCAGTCGAGTGGACTGACGTACACAACGACACATCAACCACACACCAGGTGCAGGGATGTAGGCTCCCAAGGGAACCTCCTGGAGGAGCACAGGCCTGTCAACAACAACACCGCACAGCTGGCAGCATCGTGTGATACACGGGAACCTGGGCGGAAAGTCCAGGTCTCCCCAGAGGCTGGCCAGCTGCACATACACGTACACACATACACGTAAGCATACAAACGTGCACACATACACGAGTCTACACATACACGAGCACACACATGCATGTTTCGCCCACAATATACCCAGGCAATCCACTCTACAGTATATTCTGTGATGCTTTTTGAGACGTCATCGACGACGTGATAAGGCGCTGTATCAAATGCAAGGCTTATTATTAATAAACATGAGCGCGCACACACACACAGGTACAGACGCACTCACACAGGCACAAACATGCATGCATGCACACACATGCTCGCACTTATCCTGTTCACTGCAGTCTTTTCAAATCTTTGAGCCGAGTTTCCATCTGCGAAACCAGTACGGAAAAGCTCACTGCAAATAAACTTGAGTTTGAGCAAACTTTTCCCAAATTCCCTGAAATGCTGAAGGAAGCCTTGTTAACTCGATAGCCAAGTGGAATCTCCCCCCCCCCCCCCCGTGTGTTACCTCCCACTTAACAACTGTATAAATTCTTGTCAATTTCTCCCCCACCCCCGGTCCTTGATTTCCCCCGCTGGGGTAATGAGGCCAGTTAGTGTGTGTCCAGCATTTCCCTGTCTGAGAGATGCTGACCCATTATGCTCCGTGCTGATGCTGTTACTGACTGACTCATCAGTGAGGTATTTCCTGTTTGTTTGCTCAGAGATCTCTCTGAGAGATTCCGCCCTGTACACAAACACAAAAGGGGGCAGGGAATCCTCCCACTCAGCGCCTGTTAACCCTGCAAGCCAAAGGCCTGGTGGGTTGGGTGTTCCGAGCTGGACAACCAGCGGGAAAGCTTGCCGGACAGCAATATCAGTGGCAAGCTAGGCGGATTTAGCTGGTTAGTCTCCAGCAGTGCCCCCAACGCACACTGGGAGTCCCCAAACCTTAGCTCTTTGCCAACCTGCGCCTAATACTTTCTGGAATTAGGTAAGCAGGATGCGTCCCTCCAGGGAGAGAGTGGCAATTCCATTCCAATTATCTATCTCTAATTTCCATGTGTACGTGGGATGGATGGAATTCTCAGCTTGGTTTGGATACTCTTAAAGCATAGGGATGGATTTCCGCATGTAGGTGCTATATCAAATGCAAGGATTATTATCATTATTATTATTGGTATGATCCTCCCTGTGGTCCCTATGAAGCGCTTTGTGTTGTTTGATGTAAAAGAGTCTATTGTCGTGCCTGTTCTGTGTTGCTGGCCCCGATAACCAGAAGGTTCTCCTTTGTCTTGACTGCAGACATCACACGGGCTGGTTTCTGTTCAGACGGCGAGTCCCCAACAACGACCCTCCAGCCCCAGGCAACCTAAATCAGGCCAACCAGGCTGCCCCGCAGGACCAGGTGAGCAGAACGGTACACAGAAACTATCCCCGACTAGGTGAACTCAGGACAAGGCAGCCGACTTACTCCCCAAGTCCAGCAACTTTTCTGATGCTCACAGCCTGACTGAGCTGATAGAACTCTCACCTCCGAATCAGAAGTTTGTGGGTTCGATCCCCCACGTCAGGCCTTTGAGCTTGCAGTCCAGGCTGATGCTCCAATACGGGGCTGTGCGAGTGGAGTGTGTGTGTGTGTATATGAGTGTGTGAATGTGAGGTTCTCCTTAGTTTGGCTCCGGGCAAGTCAACTTGGAGACAACACAGCCCCAAGGAGACTCTGCTTACTCCCCCCACCCCCACCCAGAAGGATAGTATCAAGAAGGCTGTGGTTAATTTCTCTCTCCTGTGTGTCTGTGTATTTCAGGAGCCCAGACCCGAGGAAGATCAAGACTTGGTGAATCGTTCTGAGAGCGGTGAGAGTGACCGTCCAGAGCCAGGTGAACCCCCTGCCTCTCCAGACATTGACCCCGTCTCCCCAGCTACCGACCCTGCCTCCACAGACATGGGCCCCATCTCCCCGGACAGCAACCCTGCCCCCACCCCCGGGACAGAGAGGAGTACCATTGTGAACACCGCCTGGGTTTTTTTGAAGACCTTCTTCGCCTCTCTGATCCCAGAGGGACAGGGGGCCGCAGTGAACTGAACTGACTCTTGACTCGGGCCCGGGACTCTCCCAAGGTGCAATGGTGGTCTAGGGGCTCGGCCCCCACCGGGCAGGATGGGCTGGGACACACCTGGTCAGTGACTCCAGTTCCACTCCACCTGGTCCAGGTCTGATCCCTGGGACACGTCGAACAACAGTGTAAATAATGTCAGACTGATCCAGTCCAAGACAGGTTCCGAAATGTGCAATCGACGCTGACCTTCTCAAGCCATCTTCAAAATGGTGGCAACCTGTTTTGTGTTCGTTTCTCTAATCGCGTCACTCGCTCATGCGCACACTCACTGTGTCTCTCTTTCTCTGTTTCGCTCATACTATTCTCTTTCACTTCTCTCGTTTCTTCTTGCTGTATTTATTTCCCACTGTTCTTTCTCTCTCCCACTGTCTCTCCTTTCTCTCTCTCTTGTCCCCCCTGTCCCTCCCCCTCTCGTCCCTCCCTCCCTCCCTCTCGTCTCTCTCATCTCTCTCCCTCCCTGTCTCTCTCTTCCTGTCTTCTGTCCCTCACTCTCTAATATGACTGATTTTCATTGCCCTTGCCGTAGCTGACAGCGGTTGGAGTCTTAATGATCTGGCTGGACTCTCTTTAAAGCTGGAGAATGCTTTCTGCTCTAGTACAGAGATTCAGGCAAGAAATGATCTCCGTTAGCGGAGTCGTAAATAAATGATTTGATGCAAACTGAGACTTGCCTTGTGCTCACTAATAACAAGCGGCTTCTGGGAGATCCAGCCTGAGAATCGATACCAAGTCTAAAGGATGAATTGTGCTACATAAATAGTCAATTTAGACCCAGGTGCTATTTCTCCCCAGCTATGTTTTAATGGGTATTTAGTGTAAATTTACTTGCAGCGCCATCTGGCAATAAAACCTGGATGGACACACGACCAGATGGACATTAAAGATCCTGCAAAACTATTGGAAAAGAGAGGGGAGTTTCTGCCTGTGTCCTGGGTGACATCCGTTCCTTAAATCAATCATTAATCATCTCAAGGCTGCTAGTAAGTCCTTGCATGTGTAAATGTTTCCTGGGTTAGTCTGCAGATAGACAATCACTAAAGCTTGAGTGTGGACAACTGCACAGCCCTTTGAGAGGTTCCACTGCGATCTGTGGCTCTGAACGTTCAGATCTCTCCTCGGCCTGGCCCCACTTTACCTGCTGCAGCCCTTCTGACCCAGTCGATTCCTCCCGTTAGCCAAGCTCTGTGGATCTTCATCCCTGGAGTCTCCCTGCCCACCCATTTAAATTTTATTTCAATTATGGTTTGTACCTATTTTATATGGGACCTCTTTCCCCCCCACCCACACATACATACACATACAGCTCAAGACACCACTAAATTCCAAGTTGGTTGTAACTTGCCAGCAATTCTGACCAACAGGTACTTGAGTGATTGATGTGCAAGAGCAAGTTGACAAAGTGACCTTTACTAAGGGGCGTTCGTCCTAAGGCCAAGTGGAAGTTTCCATGTGGCCTCGTGGCAATGAATGGAGGCTTTCATTTTGTGGTTCCTCGGACAATTTCTAAGAATCTTTTTAATGTAAAATGACAATTAAGCACAAAATGGAGGAAGGTGTCAAAAAGGCAAAGGTTAAAGGGATTGCCAGACTCTTAATGGTCTGTAGGTTTGCAGACAGAGCAGTAGTTAGGTCATGTCTGAATGTTTAACATCAACACCAATGGTAGCCCTGGATCGATGAAGCCATTGCACACTGAGAGCCGATAGAGGTGACCTCTCACTCTTTTGTTCAAGGTCTCCCCTGTTGCACGTAGTCCTCACACCAGCTGCTCTGTGCCTCCTGGGGTAACTCAGCCTCCAGTGTTTGACCTGTGGGAAATCCCTACCATGTTGCTAAAATGATTAGCTCAAGATTAGGGGAAATATTTTTGTCAACAAGACAATACAGTCATTAGTCTGCTACAGAAGACATATTGAGGGGATCTTTGGTTAGTAATGGGTGGGCGGTTATGTATAGTGGGTGAGTGAGGGAGGGAGGGAATGAGAGTGAGAGTGTGTGACTGGATGCATGATTGGGTATGTTATTGGTGATACTTCTGCACCACCTGCTGTTGATATGTGATATAACACAAGCAAAACTTCAAATGGCTGATTCCATTGAATTACTAAGAACATAAGATCTAGGAGCAGGAGTCGGCCATTCGGCCCCTCGAGCTGCCCCACCATTCGATAAGATCATGGCTGATCTGACCTAACTCTAATTATCTGCCCTCTCCCCATATCCCCTAATCCCTCTATTTTTAAAAAATCTATCAGTCTCAGCCTTGAAAATGTTCAAGGGCTGAGCATCTACAGCTTTCTGGGGTAGTGAATTCCATAAATCCGTGAATTCTGAGTGAAGAAATGTTTCCTCAACTCTGTTCTAAAAGGCTGATCCTTAATTTTAAGACTGTGACCCCTGGTTATAGATTCTCCTACCAGGGGAAACAGACTCTCAGTACTTTATCAGCCCTTTAAGAATCTTATATGTTTCAATAAGATCTCCCCTAAACCCTGGTTTATTCAGCCTATCCTCATAGGTCAGTCCCCTCATCCCAGGAACTAACCTGGTGAATCTACGCTGCATCCCCTCTAAGGCAAGTATGTCCTTTTTTAAATAAGGAGATCAAAACTGCACACAATACTCTAGGTGCGGTCTCACCAAGGCCCTATACTTCTCTTCTTCTCTTTGACTGTGCCTTCAGCTCCCCTCTCAACTCTCCACCGCCTCCTCGCTCCCTCCCTTCCCTCCCCTCACCCTGACCATTTCCCCCCGGCTCGGGTCCTGACCCAACTGTACAGCGCCTTGGGACGTCCTCCCGACGTGAAAGGCGCTCAATAAATGGAATCTTGTTGTTGTTGTTTTACAGTTGCAGCAAGACTTCCCTACTCTTGTACTCTAAACCTTTTGCAATGAACGCTAACATGCCGTTTGCCTTCTTAGTTGCTGCTGCACCTGCAAACTAACGTTTTGAGACTGGTGTACAAGGACACCCAAATCCCTCTGAACACTAACACTATCTAATCTCTCCCCCTCTAGAAAATAATCTGTTTTTCTATTTTTTCTACCTAGGTGAATACTTCACACTTCCCCACATTAAATTCCATCTGCCACCTACTCGCCCATTCCCCGAGCCTATCTATATCCTGTTGCAATCTTTTTACATCATCCTCAGAGCTTACTCTCCCACCTAGTTTAGTGTCAATTTAGACATGTTACATTCAATATCCTTGTCTAGATCATTGATGTAAATTGTAAATAGCTGAGGCCCAAGCACTGATCCTTGTGGCACTCCACTAGTCACATCCTGCCAATTCGAGAATGACCCGTTTATCCCTACTCTCTGTTTTCTACCAGTTAGCCACTCTTCAATCCATGCTAATATGTTCCCATTAATCCCGTGGGCCTTAACCTTGTGCAATAGGCTTTTGTGTGGCACTTTGTCAAATGCCTTAAAATCTAAGTATACTACATCTACTGGTTCCCCCCTATCTAACCTGCAGATACATCTTCAAAAAACTCTAAAAAATTAGTTTAGCATTCCCTTCCCTTTTGTAAAGCCATGTTGATGTTGCCTAATATTGTTATGGTCTTCCAGGAATCCCACAACGTCCTTAATTAAGGGACTCAAGAATTTTCCCTATCACTGATGTCAGACTAACTGGTCTATAGTTCCCCATCTTTTCTCTCCCACCCTTCTTAAATAGTGGTGTTACGTTTGCAATCTTCCAATCAATGGGAACCGTTCCAGAATCCAGAGAATTTTGGAAGATCAAAGACAAGCCATCCACTATCTCAGTAGCCACCTCTTTTAAAACCCTAGGATGTAGGCCATCAGGTCCAGGAGATTTATCAGTTTTAAGACCTGACAATTTACCTAAAACCATTTCTTTACTAATATTAATTCCCCAAGTTGCTCGCTAACATTGTCTTCTTGGTTCCCCTCTATTCTTGGTAGGTTTTCAGTGTCTTCTAAGGTGAAGACAGTAGCAAAGTACTTGTTTAATGACTCTGCCATGTCTTTGTCCCCTACTATAATTCCCCCCGTCTCTGCCTCTAACGGACCCACATTTACCTTTGACAGCCTCTTCCTCTTTATATATTTGTAAAAACTTGCAGTCTGTCTTTATGTTCCTCGCTAGTTTGCCCTCATATTCCATTTTCTCCCTCTTAATCACTTTTTTGGTTCTCCTTTGTTGATCCCTAAAGTTCTCCCAATCCTCGGGTTTACTACTCATCTTAGCTGTTTTATAGGCTTCTTCCTTTAACTTTATACTTTCCCTAACTGCTCTAGTTAGCCACGGTTGGGCCACCTTTCCTGTGGCATTCTTATTCCTCAAAGGAATACGTGCTCGCTGGGAATTTTGCACTATCTCCTTAAACGTCTGCCATTGCTGGTCTACTGTCAAATCCTTAAGTCTAATTTCCCAGTTTATTTTAGCTAAATCCTCTCTCATACCAGCAAAGTTGGCTCTACTTAAATTTAAGACCTTTGCTTCGGACTTAACTACTTCTCTCTCTAACTTAATGCTAAATTCCATCATATTATGATCACTTTGCCCTCGAGGAGCCTTAAGTTCCAGTTTGCTGATCAGCTCTGCTTCATTACACAAAACAAGGTCTAATATGGCCTGTTCCCTGGTTGGCTCCGCGGAAAACTGATCCAGATAATTATCCCTAGTACATTCTATAAGCTATTCCTCTATCTTACTTTTCCCAATTCGGTTGTCCCAATCTATATGCAGATTAAAATCACCCACAATTAATGTTTTTCCTTTACTACATGCTCCGCTAATTTCCTGATTTATACCTTGAGAGATACTGTGACTGCTGTTCGGGGGTCTATAAACTACTCCCACTAGAGTTTTCTGCCCCTTGTTGTCATGTATCTCTACCCATATTGACCCTACTTCCTGCTTTTCTGATTTAAAATCTTTCCTCTCTACTGTTTTTATCCCATCCTTTATTAGCAGGGCCACCCCCCTCCTCGTTTACCACATTGCCTATCTTTTCTATACACCATGTACCCTGGAATATTTAGCTCCCGCCCTTGATCTCCCTGTAACCATGTCTCGGTGATGACTACTAGATCATACCTGTTTATTTTTATTTGTTTCTAATACTGTGTGAATTCACTTAATAATAATAATAACAATAATCCTTGCATTTGATATAGCGCTTTTCACGTCGGGAGGACGTCCCAAAGCGCTTCACAGAACACACTGTAAAGTGAATTGACTCTATATTTGTGGGTGAACGCGGCAGCCAATTGCGCACAGCAATGTCCCACAAACAGTCATAGATTGAAAATGACCAATTATTTATTGTTTTTGGTTTTGGAGGGATTATTATTAGGCTCTGTGTGGAGTAAGGAAACTTGCCCAAGGTTTCGCCCTCGGCCTGGAATTGAACTCAGGTCTCTCGCTTGCAAAGCGAGTGCTCTAACCACTGAGCTACAAGACTTACAGAGGAAGAGTGTTTGTCCGCTCTCCCTCTATAAGGCCACACTGTAAGAAGCTAATATTCCTCTCATTGTTAAAAATCTGTGTAAAGCCTGGATAATGCGCTGCCCTACCTATCCCCACACCCCTTTAAGCCAATATCTTTCACATACCTGACTACTTCCCTCTTGAAACCCACAATACACCCTGTCTCTCACACTTTACTTGGCAGAGCATTCCACATCCCGACAACTCTCTGAGTGAAAAGGTGAGTGAAAAATCTGGGAATACTGTAAAACTCGTGTAAGTCTCATCGTTATTAATCGTATAATTGCTTAAGTCGTACATGCACCAGAGTCCCATCCAGTTTCCGACCAAAATACACTTCGATTTCTTTGCACTAATCGTATTTTACAAAGCAAATCATCTCCTAACTCATAATGTCTAACTGCATTGAAATCCAGGAAACGAAGTCCTGCCCCATCGATGCATGTGTACTTACTAGCTGATTTGAAGTACACGTGCGCAGTGTAGATTATTGATCAATTCAGATTTTATACGATTCACCTGTAACTCATACTTTGCATAAGTATTATTATATGTTGTGGTCCCGACTGGTATGGCTTATGTGAATTTTACTGCATCAATGCAAGTTTGTATTGTATTGTAATGCAGCCACGAATCTGGATACTTTTGGAAGCTCTGGCTTTGGGAGATCTGGCGTCATGTAGCTCAGAGGTTAGAGAGCTCGCCTCGCAAGCGAGAGGAGCTGGGTTCGATTCCCAGGTAAGGCAAAATGTTGGGCAAGTTTCCTTACTCCACACGCCTCTGTTTACCTAGCAGTAAATAGGAACCCGCTGGTTAGTCAATTGGTAGATCGCTTCTCCGTGGGTCATAATCCCTTAAAAAAAATTTGGTCACTCAATCTACATCTGTTTGTGGGACACTGCTGTGCGCAATTGGCTGCCACATTTCGCCCACAAAATGTACAGACTATTCACTTTACAGTATATTCTGCGGAACGCTTTGAGACATCCCGAAGACGAGAGAAAGGTAAGGATTATTATTGTTAGAAAATCAATGTGGGGGTGGGGGGGATGGTGATGAAGAAAGGACGATAGTTGACATAAGTCATGGGGGAAGAGATCTTGAGTGCTTTGCAGGCAGGAATGGTGTGAGTCATGGGCTGGAGCTTTGAACAGATGACTGGGGAAAAGAGCAATACAAAGGTTAGGGATAGAGTTTGCAAATAAGGGTTACTGCAGTTCATTTTCCTTCGCTAATCATCTCCCTCCCCCCTTCACTGAGGCCCCTAATCCTCAAGAGATCAGGAATTCATATGTTTAGAGCTTTGTTGCCCAGACTAGCTGTGGGATCTTATTTGTCTCCCGTCCGCTTTTCATTTGAGGCGTTATCGGTCTTTTTTTAAAAAAAGTCAAAAAATAATATTGTTTTTTTTAATTTAAAAACACTTGAGATCTGCCCTGTGTGGGTGAGAAACTAAGTGAGTTTGTGGGCTGAGAGGGAAGCCAGTCAGACACTCGGGAAGCAGCAGTGTCCACAGGCTCTGAGAGACCGACTCTCTTGCTCTTACCAACAGCTCCCACCATGGTCTTGTCCTGGCTGCTGATCGCCACTCTTCCTCTCCTCCTCCATCTCCTTCCAGGGGGCTCCTTCTCCTGTGTCCCAGGATCCGGCAATTCCTCCGGGAACCACACTGGACTCATCTGCAGACTCACCAAAGCAGCAGCTCTAGTGCGTAAGTAGTTAGTGTGGAGAATAATAATAATAATAATAATAACTGTATTTATAGCCAAACGGCGCAGTGGACAGAATGAACGATTTTATTCAGGGGATTGTTGGCTAGGTCACCGGGCGAGAAAAACCCTAGGTGCAGTTGAAGAGATAGGTTTTTACGAAAGGTTTGAAGACAGATGGAGCGAGGGTGAGAAGCATGGGTAGAGGGAAGGAGTTCCAGAGTTAGGGGTGTATTAGCCAGATTCTTGACACCGATGGTAGGAAGGAGAGCAGCAAACCTGAGTAAGCTGAGCAGAGGAGTGAGGTAGGAGAATAGGGGATCATAGAGATAGAGAGATGCTATGAAGGTGGCCTGAATGGATTTACACTTGATGTCAGCTACCTTGAAGTAGACCTGTTGGGAGACAGGGAGCCTGGCAAGGACTGGGGTGATGGGGTGTGGAGTTTAATGCAGGTAAGGATTCGGGAGGGCGAGTGGCAGAGTTTGGGACCTTATGGATGATGGAACTAAGACGGGGGTGGGGGTGGTGGAGGGGGAAGATTAAGGGAAGTGGGCAGAAGAGGATGGGCAGATGTGTCTTTATTCAGCTCCCACAATCTTCTGACTCGGAGGCAACCAACTGAGCCAGGCTGACACACAAATATCTCAGATGCAAGGATTATTATGACTGTAAGCGCTCTGATTTCAATGGGTTACACCGTAATTGTCATTGTCTTTCCAGTGTCCTTATTATATTTTATACACAGACCTTTGAACCAAGTTACTTTTAACCCCCGTGCTTTTTTTTCCAGTCAATCAGGAGACCACAGGCGTGATCCAGGCAACCTACAGGCAAGCCACATTCCCTAATGTCACTGGGGAAAGCTCAATCCCACTCCTTGGCTCCATGAAGCACGTTTTTAAAAAGTAAGTGTTGGGGGCACTGAAGTGAGCAGCAGCCTCTATCACTCCCACCCCAGCCTCCTTGAGCCTATCACACCCACCCCTTAAACCAAGGTCCCGTCTGCCTGTTTAGGTGGACGTTAAAGATCCCGTGGCACTATTCAAAAAGAGAAGGGAGTTCCTCCTGGTGTCCTGGCTGACAAATAGTCACTCAATTAATGGCTGTTTGTGGGGCAATGCTGCAAGCACGTGGGCTGCCATGTTCTCCTACAAAATACTCCGTTGCTGCACTTTCCAGCAAATCCTGTGAAGAGCTTTGAGACATCCTCCCAAAGTGAATGCTACTAACTGTAAAGTCAACATGGCTTCACATTATGATCACAACCAAATGTAAAACAACCAACCCTTTCGGACGTCCTCCTGACATGAAAGGCGCTATACAAATGTAATTTGTTGTTGTTGTTATTGTAACTCTGGCTCCCGAGCAATAACAGTGTTTTACACTTTCGAAAGGAAAAAATCTGTGTTTGAAAATGGCTGATTTCAACGGTGGCTCTTCTAAGCATCACGGTTTACTGTTGTGATGTGCTTGAACTTTGCGTGCCCGTGAAAAATCCAAGAAACACACTGGTCCTTATGTTCCACCGAGGGCCAACTGCTCACATGGTGAATGAATTTCGAGTAGCTCAGTCCTGAAAGCCAATACATTATGTGATTAAACCTCCCGGAATGCATCCAACCAGAGATGGAAAACCTTTACCACCCCTAACCACCACCCCACCACCACCTCCAACCTGTACCCATTCTACCCGGGAACCAGCCGGCAGACCTTTAGTCACTTTGCCCCTCCCTCTGGAACTCTCTCCCCAAATCCCTCTATCTCAGTCTCACCCCTTCCCTCTCTGCTTTCAAATCCCCCTCCGCCTGATAATAAGCTGGATAGCTGTAACACAAGTGGTATGAAAGATGTCTGGAAATACTGACTTGTTGAGTTCGGGAGTGTGTCAACTTGAGCCCTGCATTTTGCCAGTTAAATCCTCAGCTCTTCCTTCCCGGGGTCTCCCCCAGTTTACAGGTAAACAACATGTCCATAGAGAAGAGCGACGTGGACCTGGGAGAGGAGCGAGGCATCTCAATTGATATCCAAAACGTGGCTGTGCTCTTCAAAGGAACCATTTATTACTCATACACCAGTTGGCTGCAAGTATTTACTCCCCAATGGGAGCTCTTTCCTCGTTGTTGTGTTATCATCTCTGTGACCCTTCTCCCCATCCCACTCCTCCTCGGCTCACTCCAACGAACGTTCCCACTCCTCCGTGTCACTGTCAGTGATCAGGCCTTTAGCTACTCTGCCTCTGACCTCTGTAATTCTCTTCCCTCTATCCCACCATCTCGGCCCCTTCTCTTGCTCCCCCATCGCACGCCATTCCGTCTCCTTCCCTCCCTCCTTCTCGTCCCCCTCAATCTCACTCCTCCCTCTCCCCCTCTCTATGTCATTAACTTCCTCCAAATACCTCTTCGAGGGCTCTTGGGGTCACCTCTTCCCTCCTCTCCCCTCTCAGCATCTGCCCCCATCGCTGTGAAGCGCTCTGAGATGCTATCCTACACAAAAGATGCTATAAAAACATAGGTTATTGTTACGTTATAAAGACGATCGCTGTAATGGTGCAGAGCAGTTCCGCTGCAGGTATGTTACGCAGTTAGAAAGACATAGAATAGGGTCACTGTCACAGGACACTTCTCTCAGCAGCATGTGTGACATTCCGACAGCTTAGTCTGTGAGACACTTTGGTCTGAAATTGTAGATACATTTAAGTACAGTGTTTGGAAGCCGGTTGCTGCGTCTCTCTTACGAAGGATTAACATCAGCATTTAGTCACTAACCACTGAGATGGGTCGGTGAACTGTCACTTCAACTGGATATGTGAATTCACCTCTTTACCTGCTGAATAACTGCTCCGAGACAGCGCGTCAGACGATCCTAACACTAAAAACACAGAGGAACCCTATTTTTCTTGTGGTTTGATACCTACGCAACACAGAGCACTAATAATAATAATAATAATCCTTGCATTTGATATAGCGCTTTTCACGTCGGGAGGACGTCCCAAAGCGCTTCACAGAACACACTGTAAAGTGAATTGACTGTATATTTGTGGGCGAACGCGGCAGCCAATTGCGCACAGCAATGTCCCACAAACAGTCGTAGATTGAAAATGACCAATTTATTATTGTTTGTGGTTTTGGAGGGATTATTATTAGGCTCTGTGTGGAGTAAGGAAACTTGCCCAAGGTTTCGCCCTCTGCCTGGAATTGAACCCAGGTCTCTCACTTGCAAAGCGAGTGCTCTAACCACTGAGCTACAGGACTCCACTGTATGTTGTATCAATTTTACGCTGCTCTTCTGCGACGACATGTAACCCAGTCTGCTTTACTCTCTTGGCTTTCCTCAGGTTAAGTTTACATCAATCGGTGGATTTTGAAATTGAATCTCAAGCTGATCTTTACCTTTCTGTAAATCTGGGTGAGTGCTGACGTGGAATCATCTGTATAGAGTGACTGGTCATAAGTAATAATAATAATAAAATAATAACCATAATACTCCATGCACTTGTTATAGCGCCTCATCACGTCAAAACCTCTCAAAGATCTTCACCCTGGAACACGTAGTGACTGCGAATTCGTAGACAAACTATACAAGTCACGTAAATCTTATCTCTTGCTCACGGACACTGGGGTCTAAAGAGAGTTGCCACTGGATTTCAAAGCGTGATAACTATTACATGTTGTGGGTAACCACATTCCATCCCTGAGATGTTTAAGTATGTGAAAGGTTCTGCAACAAGTGAAAAATTCGAAAGAATGTAATGGCATGGAAAAGTAAACCCAGAGCAGTACACTTGGATGCACTGAGAAAGTGGAACAAGAGAACACAGTATTAGAGTTGTAAATGAGTATGAATTCTAGTGTGTGTTTCGTTGACCACTCGAGAACTCCATTCTGCACACCTAGAAATCAATTGTGGATCCACAAAACCACCTCCCACGCAGATCCTGCCCCTTGCTTAAGGATCCTGGGACTCTGATAGAAAATAGAAGGGAATTCCTCCCTGTATCCCACCCAACAAACCTCCGGGTTAATTGGTCAATCATATCATGGACTGTTTGTGGGCCTTTGCTGGATGTGCAATGGCTCTTGAGTTGGCCTACAAAAGCAGTCACCAAACTTGACATAACTACCTGTTAACAAAAGGCAATATACTGCAGATGCTGGAAATCTGAAGTGAGTTAACATTTCAGGTCGATGACCTTTTGTCAGAACTGTTCCGGCAATAGGTCATCCACCTGAAACGTTAACTCACTTTCCTCTCTCCATAGATGCTGCCTGACCTGCTGAGTGTTCCCAACGAGTTCTATTTTTATTAACAACAACAAGATTCCATTTATTGAGCACCTTTCACGTCGGGAGGAGTAACTACTTGTTACCTGGCGCTGTAAAAATCTTAAGTACTTTTGTTCTGACTTCCTACAGCCTGTGATCGAGGGCGAGTGGCTGTAACCATCTCCGATTGTTTCCTGAACTTCGATAAGTTAATTTTACGTCTACAAAAAGATGAGGAGTAAGTACAGCCTTCAATTCTTTGATGTTTCTTTTTGACGTTTTCTGAAATAATTCTTATTTGTTAAATTCTGTGGCGCAGTTTGTTATTTCCTGAACCTTTAAAGGTTCCTCCAGGTTTCAGTCTTTCAGAGAGGATGACCTTCATGTCTGAAAGATCAGCAAGGTCCCGTGTCTGAGGTAGCTGATCTCAGTGCTCACATTGCAGTTGGGATGTTTCAATTAGCTCAGTGTCCCAGGGCTGGAGAGAAAACAAATCTTAAGATTAAAATCTTAAATATTATTAAGATTATTATTTATCTGGAGTTTCTGCTCCTGATGGAAAATATACACGCTCGTGTTTGTATATGTATGTATGTGTGTGTGTATACGTGTGTGTGTGTATATATATATGTGTGTGTGCATACCTTTGTGTGTGTATACCTGTGTTTGTGTGTATACCTGTGTGTATGTGTGTGTGTGTATATGTGTGTGTATACTGTGTATGTGTGTGTATATACGTGTGTGTGCATATATGTGTGTGTGTATATGTGTGTATGTATATATATGTGTGTGTGTGTTTGTGTATTTATGTGTGTGTGTATACGTGTGTGTGTATTTATGTGTGTGTGTGTATTTATATGTGTGTGTATATGTGTGTGTGTGTATTTATATGTGTGTGTATATATATATGTGTGTGTGTGTGTGTGTAAGAGGGGGCAATGCTGGTGAGAACAGGATCAGGCGTTTCTGCCACTCAGTTGTTTAACAGCCCCCGGCAGTGGTTGTCCTGGTTCACGCAGTGACCTTGGCCCCTTGGAAGGTGACGAGGACCCAGCATGAGTTGGCACCTTTATGGGTGGGAGGTGGGTGGGGACCCAACGGCTACACTGTGCTTTGTGATCAGCTCTGGTCCTCACTGGTGGCTCTGCTCTGCTGTGTGAAATGCTCCATCTAGCGGCCGAGATGGAAACTAACTCGACTCTTCCACTGATGGTACCGCACGCGAGGTGATGGTGGAGCCCAGACTCCACATGTTGGGGTGTGTGTGGTGTGTGCCAGTTTCTAACCGGATTCCTTACTAAGCAAAGTGGAAGTCCGTCGCACCGACTCCTGGGACCTCCGCCCCGACCTGGTGTATTTTCATGGCTGCGTCGCCCCGAGTTGGCGTGACATGGCGTGAAAACACATAACCTGCCGGATTTCAGGTTACAGGAAGGAATCGCCACTTGCCGGACTGAGGAATCCCGTTAGAAAGCATCCTAGACCCCGTTAGCATTCTCCCCTTGAGCGCATCCCCTGACGGTAAAACCATTCAAATGTAAAACCCTGCAGACTGGGTACTAAAGTATGAGATTGAAAGCAAGTTAGCAAATAGGCAACACAATTCCTGATCAAGAATGTATTTTACATATTGGTGTAAGTGAGCTTAACGATGTGTTTCCTCTCCTCTCAAACCAGGACAAGCTGGATTCAACAGCTCTTCACAGATTTTGTCTCATTTACTTTAAGACATGTGATTAAAAAACAGGTGAGGCTTGTTTTCCTGTTGTTTCGAGGCGACAGATGGGCTCAGTTGTGAACACTCTCGCCTCTGAGTCAAACGGTTATATTAGCTCAAGAACCACAATCAGGACCTTGAGCTCATGAGACCACCAGTGGAGTGTTGCCGTCTTTCGGATGAGACATGAAACCAAGGTCTTTTCTGCCTGTGCAGTTGGATGTCAAAGAACCCTCGGCAGTGATTGAAAGCCAAAGGGAATTTCTCCCGGGGTGTCCTAGCCAACAACTCCTCAAACAAAACATTATTCGTTCACTTCACGGCTGTTTGTTGGACATCGCTGTGCGCAAATTGGTTGACAGATTTTCTTACAAAATGCATGGACACATGCTGTAAAGCCTGTGAGGTGCTTTGAGATGTTCCTCTTGATGGGAAAGGCGCAATATCAAAAGTTACTATTCTATAATAATCCACGTTTTAGTCCTACAAATGGACAAGGTCAGGGCTGGGTTGCTGTTTGTATGCACTATTTATGTAAACACTCGGTGTAATTTCACACACATTTACTCTCCCTTGGTATCAGCCCTACTCCACATTCCCCTCTGAAAGTGCTGTATATCTTGATCTCCATTTACGTGATCTGCTATCAGCTATTGACAATGATGTGGTCTTTTATTTGTACTCACACTGATCGTCACAATGAATAACAGGAATTCACACTTTAATCATAGGAATTAAAGTTGAGTCATGTAACTTTATATAACTGCTCTTGGTTGTCTCATCTCTCAATGCGGCATCTAAATTCACACTTGGCTGATTTCAATGCAGTACTGGGGAGCGCTGCATTGTTAGAGGTGTCATCCTTTGGATGAGATGTTAAACTGAGATTCCGTCTGCCTGTTCAGGTGGATGTTAAAGAACCCGCATGCTGTTCAAAAAGAGGTTTTCCCAGTGTCCGGACAATGTGATGGGGGGCTATATCAAATGCGAGAATGATTAAGTCCTTCCGGTAACCGGAAGTAGATCATGCCGAACAGAGGAGTCACTTCCAGAGTGGAGATCCCGTGGGTATACGGGAATTATATCAGAATTCTTGTTAAGCAGTACCCAAATCTCTTCAAATGCCGATTTGAAGTGTTAATTTCTGGTCTTCAGTGTTCTGTGATGAGGAGATGCCAACTTGGATTTGTCTCAGAGCGAAGGGTTGACCCTTGGGTCACATTGACTCTCTCTAGTATTGCCTTCCGCCACTCTGCCCCCACCCTCTGGACCTCCATCCAGCAGTCTTGCCCTCTCCCTTGCCACCTTCAAGACCCACCTCAGGACCCTCCTCTTCGACCGTGCTTTCGATTTCCCTGCTTCCCCTCCTCCCCTCCACCCTCCCCCTCCCCGATCCTCAGCTCGGGTCTGTAACTCTGTCTGTCCAGCACCTTGAGAAGTCCCCCCAAAGTGAAAGGCGCTATACAAATGTAATTTTGTTGTGGTCTGCTATTCCGCAGGAGTCTAGGAGCAAGTTGAATCAGAGGCTGGTGAGAATGGGGAAAGTATTGCTGTAAACAGTAGTTGAAACAAAAATTTCAACATTTGGAGGGTTGCCTACATAAGAGAAAAAGTAATATATGGGTATGAGAGGGGGAGGTTTGAGGGATTGTGTTGGGTGTAAACAACAGCATGGACTAGTAGGGCTGAATGGCTTGCTTCCATTCTGTATCATTCAATGTAATTCTGCCTGTGTGTTCTCTGTTTATTCTAAGATTTGCGCAGAAATTCATCAAATGGCAAACCTATTGGCAGACTTCATTCTGGATCAGGCGGGTAAGAGCCCTCCGCACTGCGATGTCATTTCTGAATGACAACGGCTTTGAGTTCAGGAGCCGAGGTGGTGTAAACACTTCCATTTCAGCTCAAAGTGAGGTTGTCTGGTCCCCTGTCACCCATAACCCCCAAACCACCTTTTTAATTGATTTATCCCATTCTCCAGCTCTTCCCCCATTTCCCCTTGTGATTCATACCCGGATCTTTATCCAGTTCCCTTTATGAATGATTCAATTGCTCCAGCTCCAACAGCAGCGACAGCAACAATAAATTACATTTGAACAGCGCCTTTGACGTCGGGAGGATATTCCACTTGCCACAATAGCCACTTGTGCCAATGAATCCCAAAACCCAACAACCCTTTGAGTTAAGATATTCCTCTAAACTTCTCCCCTCCAATTATCCCTCTAACAGTCCAGAGCAGAGGTGGCCAGGCCAGCCTTTATGGTCGGCCAACAAAATAAAACATTCTTGATTGAATATTTCTTGAAATTAGGTCAGAATTGGGACCTTGATGACTCACCAACCCTAGCCACAGCCTAGGAGACTGTTTTGTGTTACAATTTAAGATTGAGCAGAATTGCAGGAAAAGACATTTCTGCACTGGACAATCTTTGTAGCTGGAAGCTGTTCTCAAAAATACCCCAGACTTGGGGCTTTCCTGTTCATTGCCACATTGACTTTGCAAACCGCATCCAACAGGAAACAATATGTCAAACACTTCAGATAGTGCCCAGATCTCTGGTGTCCTTTAAGGTCAGAAGGTTAGCACAATTACTGTTCTGTGTATTACTCAACACATATCCCCGAGCCACTCCTTGCTCATGAACCTCCAGTGCTACATACAAGCCAATGGTAATACCTTTAGAGATCAGAACTAAAAGCTAAGTGCAAGTCCTCCAGTGTTGTAGCTTGTGTCAGTCTGGCACAGTGGTTGCACTCTCCCCAACTGAGTCAGAAGGTTGTGCGTTCAAGCTTCACGTCGGGATTTGTGTTTCATTGTCCGAGGTTCCATTCTTCAGATGAGACGCTAAACCGAGGTCCCATCTGCCTGGTCAGTGGATGTCAAAGATCCCAAAAAGCGAAGGGTTTCCTGGCCAAAAATCCCCCAATTAAAACTTGGTCACTCACTTCATGACTGTTTCTAGCACACTGCTGCGTGCAGTTGGCTGCCATGTTTCTCCCACAAAATACAGTCAATCCACTTTACAGTATATCCTTTGAAGCGCTTTGAGACATCTCAATGATGCGATAGATGCTATATCACATGCAAGGATTATTATTATTATTAAGCATTTGTCTAGAAAATACACAGCCACTTTACTCTAAAATGAATCCTGTGAAGCACTTTAAGGCGCTGTATCAAATGGATTGACTATTATATTATGTTGCCAGTCCGCCCACTGTAGTGCACTCTCAACAATGAGATCTTTCTTTTAATAAAAATGTTCTCTTCTCACGCAGCGGCGTTTATACAGGATGGGAATGTTGCCATCAGTACCGCACTTATCTCCGACCCAGTGCTCACCGATGGCTACATAGAGTCTCGGCACACGGTACGGTGCTGTAACCAGTGAGTGAGTGTCTGTGTGTGTGCATTAGAGAATCGGGAAAATTGCAAGTAAAATGGGGAATTCTGACAACTGGATGTTTGGTTCTTTACCCCATGTCAGGGACTCGAGCTCACAGCCCAGGCTGATGCTCTAGTGTAGCGCTGCGGGGAGTCCTACATTGTTGGAGGATTTGTCCTTCAGATGAGACGTTAAACCGAGGTCCCGTTTGCCTGTACAGGTGGATGTTAAAGATCCCGTGGCGCTGTTTGATAAGGGAAGGGAGTTTCTCTCTCCCGGTGTCCTAACCAACAATGCCCCTAAATAAAATAGGTCATTCGCTTCACGGCTGTTAATGGTGCTGTATCAAGTGCAGTGATTAATAAGTTGCTGATGTATAAGTGTGCATGTGCGTAGGTGTATGTGCGTGCAATGTGTGTGTCTGTGTGTGTGTAGTTGTAGGTAGGTTTGTGCTTTGTGCACTTGTGTGTGATGTGTATCCCTCTCTGCTCTAATCGATCTCTACCCACTGTACCGATGTGCTCCTAAGCTCTGCGCTGTGGCACTAACCGTATATCCATGGCATTGCTCTCTTAGGGTGACATTTTCTACAAGAACTTGACATATTTTCAGCAATCCAATGCCATCCCAGGGGAGCAGGTGGAGGAGAGAATGTTTAACCTGTGGGTCTCAGAACAACTCATCAATTCTCTCTTCCTGGCTGCCTATCTGGAGGGTCACCTGTCTCTGAGTCTCTCTGACCAGGAGCTGCTGGTGAGGGCAACACCCATGTATAATGGCCTCGTCGGTCTCTTGGGTTCTGTGTAGGCATTTGTGTGTGTGTGTTGGGTGTGTTGGTTAGTGTTCGTTAGGGTGTTGAGTTTTTGTGCGTGTGGGGGGTTGGGGGGAAGGGAGAGGATGTGTATGTGTATGTATATGTGTGTGTGGCGGGGGTTGTGGGATGGAGGTTGGGTGGGTATGTGTGTGGGGGTGTTTGTTGGGGTGTTTGTGCGTGTGTGAGGAGGGAGAGGGTGTATATGTGTGGGTGGGTGGGAGTGTTGTGGGGTGGGGGTGCGGGTGAAAATTTAAAATGTTTTATTTGCTGTTTTAGAGATTATTGCAACATGAAGATCCTGTCGGCCAGCCAAACCTTTTGCAACAGGTCAGTGTTTCCTGTTACTGAAACCTTGCACAAGTTTCCTTACTCCACACTCCTCTGTGTTTTGTAATGTATATGTAGTATCTGTACTGTACACTATACAGTATGAGGGCCATACAGTGTATGTATAGTTATTGCAGTACAAGGCGATAAACGTGTGTTTGCTTAATAATAATAATAATCCTTGCATTTGATATAGCGCTTTTCACATTGGGAGGACATCCCAAAACGCTTCACAGAACACACTGTAAAGTGAATTGACTGTATATTTGTGGGCGAACGCGGCAGCCAATAGCGCACAGCAATGTCCCACAAACAGTCATAGATTGAAAATGACCAATTTATTATTGTTTTTGGTTTGGGAGGGATTATTATTAGGCTCTGTGTGGAGTAAGGAAACTCGCCCAAGGTTTCGCCCTCTGCCTGGAATTGAACTCAGGTCTCTCGCTTGCAAAGCGAGTGCTCTAACCATTGAGCTACAGGACCCTTCGGCAGAAATAAATGTCTGTTGATTGAGTAGAAGTCTTCTCACTTTTACCGCTGTTCACAAGCTGGGTCCTGTTTTACAGATAATCCCTGACATTCCTGCTCATGATCTAGTCTTGCACCTTTGGCCTCTTAGAGCACCTGTGATTCTCTTCACGCCCCCAGGCACCATCCTGCAGTCCTCGGTCGCAGTGGAGTTGAGGGTGAAACGCAGTGACAAAGACCCCTACGTTGTCCTGTACATGGAAATGGTTGGTATTTCCGGTGATTTCTGCTCAGAGAAAGCAGAGGTACACAAGAGCTTTTCTGATGACTGAGCAGAAAGCCAACCTCAAAAAATGTTTAGTCCGGCTCAGAGTTGCACGAACAGCTTCATTTCATAGAGCCTCATCACCTTGTCACAACATCTCAACATTCGTCACAGGATTTACTGAAAGTATACAGATTATATATATTGTGGGTCAACACAGCAGCCAATTTGTGCCCAGCAACGTCCCAGGAACAGCCACGAATTGAATGATCGATTTTATCTGGGGGATTGTTAACACTGCTAGTTGACATTGAACAGTGAAATGATCTAATAAGCACTGTGGTCAGCCACATGTAATACATTTGCAAAGATAGAAACTCAAATGCATTGTAGCCATGTTTCCCCCATTGAAAGATCTACACTCGGGGTTCAAGCCTCCCTTGAGGACTTTGAACTCACATCGTCCGGGTTGACCACTCCAATGCAGTGCTCGGGAGGTGTTGCATTGTTGGAGGTGCCGTCCTTTGGGTGAGACTTTAAACCACGATCCCTTCTGTTTGTTCAATTGGACATTAAAGATCCTATGGCAAGTATTGTGGAGTCCTGTAGCTCAGTGGTTAGAGCACTCGCTTTGCAAGTGAGAGACCTGAGTTCAATTCCAGGAAGGGCGAAACCTTGGGCAAGTTTCCTTACTCCACACAGAGCCTAATAATAATCCCTCCAAAAAACAAAAACAATAATTAAATTGGTCATTTTCAATCTACGACTGTTTGTGGGACATTGCTGTGCGCAATTGGCTGCCGTGTTCGCCCACAAATATACAGTCAACTCACTTTACAGTATATTCTGTGAAGCGCTTTGGGACGTCCTCCCGACGTGAAAAGCGCTATATCAAATGCAAGGATTATTATTATTTATTATTATATCCTGTGAAGTGCTTTGAGGTGTCCTACTGACTTGAAAGGCTCTATACCAAATGCAAGGATTATCATTAATAGTATTATTATTGCTCTCCCAGATAGGAGCCAATTGTGTGGGGAGACTACACCCAGTTGCCTAGAAATACACAGTCACTAGACTTGGCAGCAAAAAAGAGGTGGAATTAAAGCCAGGATTCTGGAGTTATTTATAAAACTGTAATGCAGTAATGGTGTGGGGGGATTCTGGAAGGATGAGTTCAAATGGATCGAAGACCCTTCTTCCTTTGAAACTCTCTTGCAGTTTTGTGAATGACCTTTGCAGTGTATGAAACACAAGGATTGTTATTATTATTGAGTAGACGGGCAAATCTGGAAACTTTATTCGTCAGTTTCAAGTAATCTTTCAGGTTATGAAAAGTAAAATTTTTATCATATATAAACTGCCTGTTATTGTGTAGTTGAGCATGTGTTTCAGCCCCGATTCTCATACAATTGGCTTCTTATCTTGTCCTCAGGATGTCAAAACTACAATCGAAACGTCCTACAGTGATCAGAAGGTGCGTCTGCGAGTCACTGACAACCTGTAAGTAACTCGCTCCACTGCACAGCTGTTTGCTTGCTCTTCGCTGCCAGCGCATTCTCAACGCTATGACCTATACTCTCAAACACTCAAACCCTAAACATGTCCATCTCTCCACAGCTGGTCTCTCAAAGTGGTCAAGAGTGCTGTGGAAATCGCTCTGGTCAGTATGTGCAAAGAATCTGCAGTTGGAAAGCTGAGCTCTTTTTTTTTTACCTTATATCTACTGAGAAACGTCGGATTCAGATTTTTGTCTAATCTATTTTAGGACAAGAATAAAGCCCAGCGCTGTTTGGAGAAATTTTTCTCAGGCGGCGGATTGAAAAAAATAATCTCGTGTGAGTACGTAGGTGGAGAGGGGGGCGAGTGAGCAGTAACAAGACTCTGTGTGTGAGGGAGAATGAAAATGTCTTTGTACTTGATGATACCGGGACTGAGGGATTATAGTTATGATGATAGCATTGGGGTGGTTTTCACTGGAAGTTTTTGGGTTCAAGCCCCAGGTCAGGACTTTGAACTCACAGTCTTAGTCTGACAACAAGAAATGTACATTTATTCTGGCGCCTTTCACATCTGGAGGATGTCCAAAGGCACCCGAGAGGGTCAATACAGCACTGGGGGAGCCCTGCATTTTCGGAGGTGGCATCCCTCAGATGTGGTGTCAAACTGATGTCTTGTCTGTGCCTGTTCAGATGGACGTTAAAGATCCCATGTTTCCATTTGAAAAGAGAAGGGAGTTTTCTCCCAGTGTCCTGGTCAAAAATCCCCTGGCTAAGAATGGTCATTCACTTCATGGCTGTTTTCGGGGCATTGCTGTGGCGCAAATTATAATAATTATAATACTTACATTTGACATAACGCTGTAAAGCATTCACTATAAAGTGGTGAAATGCGGCAGCCAGTTGCATGCAGCATTGTCCCACAAACAACCATGGAGTGAGTGACCGATTTTATTTGGGGGGATTGTTGGCCAGAACACAAATTACCTGCAAATGATAATAATAATAATTATTATTGCCCACCAATATCCTGGCAAGAGCAACACACGCAGCATTGCCTTGGAGTGACAGCCTTGATTGTGAACTCAAAGTCCCGATGTGGGGCTTAAACCCACAATGTTTCTGATTGAGCAGCCAGAGTGAATGGGATGAATGAGACTGTAACTTCTTCCTTGTTTGAACAGATGTGGAGTTTTACTTGATGGACTTGCTCAACAAAAAGGGACTGCATCACTTTGAGATTCTCAACCCTCTGATCCAGACAGAAGAGGTACAGAAGGTGGGGGGAAACTCTGTTCTAGACTTTTGGGGGGCCGATGAGTAGTCCTGTCAAACTCTCTCTCTCTCTCTTTCAATTCTCTAGGGATATGTGATCATTGCCACTGACTTTGCATTCCCACGACACTTGCTGGAGACCTTCCTCAGAAGCTTGCCGTCACTCGTGCGGGCTTAGATACAGAGCCTGTGACGGCGATTAGGTGGGAAATGGAGAATATGAAGCAAGCATCTGAGCCTCTCCTGACAGCCCAAAGTGACAGGACCTCAACCTTTGTTTTTGTTTGTTTAATTTGCGTGCCCAGACCACTGGGTGATTGCTAGTTACTGCTTGTTGTTATTGAAAGGCCAATTCTTTCTTCACAACGAGTCACTGTCCTGCGCGCTACATAAATGCAAGTTGTTCTGGTTGTTCACTGTGCGAGTGGCCCGTAAAATTCAAAAAAAAATCGATCGCCCACTCCAGGGCTGTTTGTGGGACACAGCTGCGCATAGCTGGCTGCCGCGTTTCGCCCACAAAATACACAGTCAATCTACCTTGCAGTAAATCCTACATAGCGCTTTGCAATGTCTCGACAACGTGATAAGGTGCTGTATAAAATGCAAGGATTATTATAAATACCGTCATTGCACTATACAGCAAGATTCCGCAAAGTTCTTTGGGATGTTTTGATGGCGTGATAAAGCATTATATCAAATTGCAGGGATCATTGTTGTTATTATGTTCTTGAAATCAATACTCTGATCACTTCAGTTCCATGTGATGCTATCACAGCAAAAGTAGGATCTCTGTGAATAAAGCCCCTTCCCTCATGTACAATGTTCGCAGTTACTACACTGGCTTCAGATCACAGTTGAACTTTGACCATTGGACAGCACACTTCATTGGTAGATCCTTGATTTTAAGATCCTTGCACTTGTCAAGTCCCTTCATGCCCTGTCACTAATCTACCTTTCCAACTTGCTTACTAATGCATTGCCCACTGCCTCCGCTCGGCTGGTTCTATCCTCCTGCTTATGCCTCCTACTCCACCGTCGTGCTTTCAGCCACTATGTACCGAAGCTATGGAACTCTCCCTCAATCCCCCCACCTTGTCCTTTCCTTCCCCTCTGTTTAGATCACAACTGAAGACATTCCTCTTCGACCATGCTTACGGTCACCTCAACCCTCCCCCGGCTCTGCGCCGGGCTCTGCCACTGTTAATTCACTCCGAGACGACCGCCTCGCGTGAAGAGCATCGTATAAGTGCAAGTTGTTGTAGAATTGGAGCTGCCAAACAACCTCCACACGTTGCAAAAGCTGCAAGCTCCTGCAGCGCTGCAGAGTTAGACAGTCAGCAATAAATTCTGGAAGCATTGCACAGTCCTGGTTCTGCGGTTGTGTCTTTGTTGAGGTTTTTTGCTCAGCAAACACAACCTCAAAGTCAATGATTCTTCCCACATCGCTCCTTTCTTTCTTCTTCCGCTCCCCTTCCTGCCATTTTGCATGGTATTCACAGCTGAGCCGGGATTTTTAAGACCCTATAACAGCCTCTAACAGGCTGTTGTGGACAAGAAATCAGAACTGCAAAGTCGCCTTTTAATCCCCGTTGTCTGACAAGCTCCTGCACCTGTGCGTTGTATTGCAAAAGCAATTGCAAACCTTTTCAAGCGTTCCTTTCCGATCAAAGCAAAGTCTCTTCTAAAACAAAAAGCTTTGGCGTTGCGTGGGTTTACGTGAGACAATGTTACACGAGTTGTGGTTTGACTTAGTCGTGAGAGCTGGTGTGTGCTACAGCAGATTTGGCACAAGGAATGGAAAGTTTACTTCTCTTCAACCTTGCCTTCAGCTCCCCTCTCGACTCTCTACCCCCTCCTCGCTCCCACCCTTCCCTCCCCTCACCTTGACCCCCTGCTCAGGTCCTGACCCAACTGTCCAGCGCCTTGGGACGTCCTCCCGACATGAAAGGCGCTCTATAAATGGAATCTTGTTGTTGTTAAAGAGGTTCTGTTACTTTCAGTTTTCCTTTTCTTGTTGTTAAGTGCAATGCGACCACATGTTTCCTGATTTCCAAGTAGCTCTAGTTAGTCGCTTACATCCTGTCGTGGTTTTTTGCTGTTAAATGATGTCTGTTGCCTTTTACAGTCGTTTAAGGACATTTGAATGACAAACTCTCTCTCTCTGGAGAGGCCATCCAGAGGAAGGGGCACTGTCTTGAAATTAGAGTTATAACAGAGTCACTTTATAACTCTGTTACAACGTGATGTTTTGGAACCAAAAAATCCTTGGAAAAATGCCCGTCGGTACCTCTTCTGGGTCACCAGGTCACCACAGAGGTCACCTCCGGTGTGGATTGGCCAGCTTACGTGCACTCACGGTTGCAATGGACCGCGGTTCCGGCAACTCAGGAGACCCACCTTGTACATTTGTCTTAAGGACGTGATAAGGCGCTACATCAAGTGCAAGGATTATTAGTAGTAGTATCGCATGCACTCTATTGAGGCACTTAGTGATAACATCGCACTGTGTAAGTGGGTTAGAGAACTTCTGACCACACAGAGATTTGTAGAATTAAGGCTTGTTCTGCCATAGAGATAGATCGAGGGGTAGATAGATGCTTACTTGAGAAGCAAAAGGTTTCAAGGGGAATCGCAGAAACAACAACATGCATTTATATAGCAGCCTTTACGTAGGATAACATCTCAGAGCACTGTATTGTGGTGGGGTTGGATGCCGAGCTGGGGGGAGGGAGAGGTCAAAGAGGTAGGTTTCCAGGTGGGATTTAAAGATAAAGAGGGGAGCGAGGCGCAGGGATAGAGGCAGGAGGTTCCAGAGGTTATGGATGTAGTGGTTGAAGGCACGGCCACTGATGGTGGCATGGAAGACCTGTGGGATGTGCAGCTGGCCTGCGTTAATTGAGCGAAGGAGATGGGCAGAGGCGTGGGGTATGAGCAGGTCAGAGGGGATAAGGAGGTATGAACTGACCGAGGAGCTCAGAAAGGCAGGGAAATGGGATGACAATTGTAGTTTGTGAATAGTCAATGCAGACTGCATCAGTGATTAGAAAAGCAACTAAAGGAGGTTTTATATGCAGTACATTGCTTTCCAAACCGAAACCAACAGGCAAATTCGTCATATTTTCTGTCCTTTTAGGAAGCACCATTTACAGTTATTTTCTATTGTACCTACAAGAGATGACACCCTGAGAAGTTCATAATTCAATCATCCCATTTTGTCTCGGTTAACAGCACCATGTGGCGATGGCATAATCTACATCCTTTGAGTTACAGCAGACGTAGCTATAAATGGAAGAAACATTTTTGCTGTAACCATTTTGAGCTGCTTTAATTTGCAAAATTCTCAAGGAAATCAATGTTGTTTGGAATGGTTGCTGCCTCATGATTGTGCTTTGTGCCTCTGTGAAAACGATGCTCTTTTCAATTGCCCAGATCGAAAGGCAATAGTGACTCAAGTTCATTTGGCAGAAGGCGAAATGAGCAAACCAACCATTCTTTTGCTCTGATTATCAGACCTTGTACATGCAATGCCCTGAATTTTCTCAGCCTGGACTCACTGAGACTATAACATTGTCCCCCTCTCCCCTTGATGATGCACGCCAGCGGGCAAAACCATGCCTCACTGACCACCACCACCCTCCATCTGGGAGTCCTCAATATTCGCTCCCTTCCTCACTTTGTGCGAGTCCTGTAGCTCAGTGGGTAGAGCACTCGCTTTGCAAGCGAGAGACCTGAGTTCAACTCCAGGCAGAGGGCGAAACCTTGGGCAAGTTTCCCTACTCCACACAGAGCCTAATAATAATCCCTCCAAAACTAAAAACAATAATAAATTGGTCATTTTCAATCTACGACTACTTGTGGGACATTGCTATGCGCAATTGGCTGCCGCATTCGCCCACAAATATAGTCATTTCACTTTACAGTATATTCTGTGAAGCGCTTTGGGACGTCCTCTCGACGTGAAAAGCGCTATATCAAATGCAAAGATTATTATTATTATTATTATTTGTTCCAAGGTCCATCTCAAAGCCTAACTCTTTGACCACACTTTCGGTTATCTTTCCCCCACCCACACTCAGCTCCCACCCCCAGCTCAGTTGCCAAACCAGGAGTGTCCAGCACCTTGGGACACCTTCTTAATGTGAAAGGAGCTGTATAGATGTAAGTTTGTAACATATTGATGACATAAACCACAGAAAACCAAATTAGTGTCTTTCAACTGTTTGGCTTGAACACTCCTGTTTCCAGTCAATCACGTGATTTAAACTTATGTGTGATGTAGTTTTTTTAAGCTGCCACTAGATGGAGAAACTATTCATATCACTTTGAGGCGAACGTAACTGCAGAACTTCAAGTTGCACGTTTAAGTGTTTCTGCGTTTTCATACGTTTTCTTTTATTTAATGTTCAGGCTTGGAAATGCACTGAAATCTGAACCAAATTGAGCGCGACAGCGAAAGACGCCGGGAATTAGCCTAGCAACGAGTAATGAGTAACTGTTGATTAAAACAAGCAGGGTGTTCCAATGCCAGTATTTGTATCAAACCTCTGGCTTTCAGTTTCATTTGCCACCAAAGACATCCTTGCCAGGAGCTGGTACGTGTGTGACTTCTTGTGAGTTCTTTTTTTTTAACATTTGTTCAATATAACCGAACAACATTTGCTATAGCACATGTCGGTCGGAAACAAAATTCAGCTTATTGTTCGTAACTCAAAATTCTGGGTTGGATTATTCCCAGATAAGGCACTGATAAGAATTTACCTGCTCTGCCAACCTGTATCCTAAACAAATCTGATAATTTCCGCAGTGTATTTTACAATCCCATTTTCCAGATTATTTGGCTGTAATTGACAATGCCCAATTCAAACCTCAACTCATTAAAAGTCCGCTTCGTTCCGTAACTCCAGTAGAGTTGCCCGCCCCAGTTCCCTCCTCTTAAAACTATTTCCTTGCAGTTGGCATTGGAGGCTTGCAGAGTTTTTGTTCGCTCGTCGAAAGTCATAAGGTGAACCACAGATAGATATCGTACAGAATTGAACTTGAACGTTTCTAAACATGTGCGTTGTTTGTGCGTTTGAACCACATTTTGAAGTCAAGGATTATTTTTTGTTTCGGTCAAGCTTCTCTGTCGAATTGACCAACCTTCCTGGTTTAGCTTGAATGCAGAAAAATGTGCATAAACGTTGCTCGATTGTGTTCTTTGTCCTCTTGCATTGGTTTGAAAACCTGAGGCTATTTTGCATGCAGGATTTCCTTTCGTTTTGCAAAGATAGGAGCGGGGTAGGTTTGATTGCTCTCTTTTCATGATCTTATGCATGTTATACATAACTACAGGGACCCGCCACCCTCTTTCCTCAGCAAACCCCAGCCTGCTTCGTGTATCCCACCCTGTCCTGTAGCTCGGTGGTTAGAGCACTCGCCTCGCAAGCGAGAGACTTTGGTTCGATTTCTGGCAGGGCGAAACCTTGGGCAAGTTTCCTTATTCCACAGGCCTGATAATAATCGAGGGATTGAAAACGATTGAAAAAAAATGTTTCCCCTCCACACCCATCATGGGTGTCATCCCCTTTTTTACACAGCAAGCTGTTTGGATCTGGAATGCATTGCCTGAAATGGGGGTGCAAGCCGATTTGATAACAGCTTTTAAGAGAGAAGTAGATAATTATTCGGGGAGGACAAGTTTGCAGGGCTATGGGGAGAACAGGGGATTGAATTGGTTAGCTCTTTTCAAAGAGCCGGCACAGACACAATGGGCCGAATGACCTCCTTCTGTGCTGTATAATTCTATGATTCTATATAAAGTAAAGGCTCAGCCTTTAACAATGTATATACTATTTTCTGTGTTACACTGGTAGACTTGAGGTAGTAAGGCATTGCAATACTTGTACTAAAATATGACCAACAAGAAGAAGGGCACAGTGGCAAATCCTCCTCCGAAATCCTAGGTTCTTAGTATAATGGTAACAGCCTTTCTTCCCCCTCAGGTCAGCTGTTGAAATTTACTGTGTTCATTAATAATAATAATAATAATAATCCTTGCATTTGATATAGCGCTTTTCACGTTGGGAGGACGTCCCAAAGCGCTTCACAGAACACACTCTAAAGTGAATTGACTGTATGTTTGTGGGCGAACGCGGCAGCCAATTGTGCACAGCAATATCCCACAAACATTCGTGGATCGAAAATGACCAATTTATTATTGTTTTTGGTTTTGGAGGGATTATTATTAGGTGTGTGGAATAAGGAAACTTGCCCAAGGTTTCGCCCTCTGCCTGGAATTGAACTCCAGTCTCTCGCTTGCAAAGTGAGTGCTCTAACCACTGAACTACAGGACGCATTGGAATGGTTCAAGAGTTAAATTGGTCATTGACCTGTTTTCAACTGTTATCAATATCACTTAATTTGCATAATTAATTTGCTGGATGCAAACTGACTCCCATATTCCCTGCAAAATTCACAGTCGCTGGACTTTACAGTAAATCCTGTGAAGCGCTTTGAGGCGCTTCATGCTTCAAAAATTGGTTATGTCAACGGGGACGATTTTCAATTCTCTCTCCTCTCTCTCTCTTGTGTTCTTTCTTATTCTCCCTTGCCAATTCTCCGATTCCCATCTGGTGGTGAACCAGTCAGTGCTTGTTGTTTGTGGGCAAACGCATATATTTGCTCTCTGTGACGGTGCTTTCTTTATTTCGCTTGGTTTTGGAGTTCAGCTCTGACAACACCACCACCAACAACAAGATTACATTTGTATAGCGCCTTTCACGTCGGGAAGACGTCCCAAGGCGCTGGACAGCGTACAGCATTTCAGACCCGGGTTGGGGTGGGGGAAGGGAGTGGAAGGGAATATGAAAATGCTCAGATTGCAGCTAAACCTCAGCACAGGGCAGATGGGTTTACAATAGTTACCCTTACACAAGGTATGGGTAGCTTTGTTCTACCTGAGTGGCTTCCCTGCACACACCACCTCATTCTCCTCAACTTCCAATTGTACAATTCAAAGGCGGGAACCCGAGGCAGATTCTGTTCCGGTCGGTGTTGTGTCTCAGACTAGGAGTTATCCATCCATTGCAGGAAGAGATTCAAAGCCTCTTCCCAAGCGATATCCCTCTTCTGGCATTCAGGAAGGGGTTGTCCAGATATTGTCCACAATAGGGGTTAGGTCAATCCTTGCTTGTCAAAAGGCGCTATATTAAATATATCGAATTATTGTATTATTTATTTTATTGGATTTTATATACATTGCCATTAAAAATCATAGTATGGAGGTGTTAATAATAATAATCCTTGCATTTGATACAGCGCTTTTCATGTCTTCTAGATGTCTCTTCACAGAATATACTGTAAAGTGAATTGATTGTATATTTTGTGGGAGAAACATAATGTACAGTACCCTGGTTTGTATCCTGCTGGAGTGTTGACTACAGTTAGGGTGCCCTGTTATTAAATTAAATTTAGAAGCCATGGGAGACATGCAATGAGGATTCACTCAAATTCAACTATCTCGAGGTAGATCACAGATAATAGACCAGACAGGAAATAAGCTGTAAATGACACAGCAGAGAGTTGAGGGGAGAAATGAACAAAATAAGTGATCTTGTCACAAGGGGACACCTGGGTGCATCTGGATCAAAAGTAAATGTCCTGTGTTATGCTGGAGTGAACCTGTATAACTTCAGCCACTGGGCAATGTGCTCAATGCAGTCCCCACTTGGGCTGGGATGTTGCGTATGATGGAAGCTGGTCGGCCACTGCTGTCCAGTTCATTGTGGGGTCCTGTAGCTCAGTTGTTCAAGCACTCGCCTCACAAGCGAGAGGACCAGAGTTCGATTCCTGGGCAGGGCGAAACATTAGACAAGTTTCCTTACCCGCACGCCTCTGTTTACCTAGCAGTAAAATAGGAACCTGTTTTTTTAGTCGATCGACCGATCACTTTCCTCGAGGTAATAATCCCTTAAAAAAAGTAAATAAAATAATAATTTGGACACTCAATCTACGACTGTTTGTGGGACACTGCTGTGCACAATTGGCTGCTTCGTTTTGCCCACAAATATACAGTCAATTCACTTTTGATACCTTTGTCAAATGCACCCGCATTATTCCATCCTCTCCCAGAAATGGGGGCCAGAGATTTGTGACTGTTCTCAGTGAGAAGTTTGATTTACACCCGAAGGCTACGGTCACAAAGGTGCATAGCCCCTCACCTCAACCATCACCCTCGGCTCGGGGTTGGGCTCCGCCACTGTTAAGCGCTCGGAGACGCAGTCCAGCGTGAAATGCAAGTTGTTGTTGTTGAAGGCAGCCCAGTCTTTAAAATAAACTTACAGACTAACAGCTTCAAAATTACAGCTGGATTTAAAGATTTGCCAAAGTCTAGATTCTCATAAAAAAAACTACCTAAATAGAGTAAATCTAGACCCAGGGGGAATTTTCTTCTCATCCACTGCTCGGGTTGGGTGATAATCACATTTGAATACAATGGTAAACAACCAATAGGTTCTGTCACATGAGTTAACTCCAGGCTTGCTATCGCGCCTGTGAACGAGTCTGTTCCAAACGTATCAGAAAACGCTTTTTTTCTTTTCAGTCTATCTGTCCAGCGCTCTGAGGGTGTTATGTCAATGCAAGTTGCTATTGTGGTTCAGATTGCTATTTAGAGAGTTAAGACAGTAGTTTTTGGGGGTGTTGTTATCATTATTTGCTCAAAATGAAATCTGGAAAGTACCAGAAACTGGTCAAGCAGGAATTGGAATCCACATTCTTCACACAATTATGGTTTTTGTTTATGTGTATCCGGATGATTCAGAGTTGGTAATTTCACCTCTCTGAGTCAGATGTTGTGGGTTCAAATCCCCCTTCGGGACTTGAGCCCACATTGCCTGAGATGACACTCTCATGCAGTGCTGGGGATGTGTGGTGTTGTCGGTGGTGCCGTTCTTCGGTTGAAACAATAACTGAGGGTCCCGTCTCCCTGTTCAGGTGGATGTTGAAATCCCACAGTGGTATTCGAAAATAGAAGGGAGTTTCTCTTGGTGTCCTGGCCAACAAATCCCCCAAATAAAATCGGTCACTCACTCCATAGTTGTTGGTGGGACATTGCTGCGCGCAACTGGCTGTCGTTGGTTTAACGTCTCATCTAAAGTACGGCACCTCTGACAATGGAGCGCTCCCCAGTGCACCGTGAGCTTAAGGATCACAAATTTAAAATGATTCCTTTTGAAAACGAATAAGAATTTGGTCACTCAATCGATGACCGTTTGTGGGACGCTGTTGTGCGCAATTGGCTGCCTTTGCAATTGGCTGCCGTGTTTCGCCCACAAAATACACGGTCAATTCACTTTACAGTATATTCTGTGAAGCGCTTTGAGACGTCTAGAAGACGTGATAAGGCGCTATATTAAATGCAAGGATTATTGTTATTATTATTATAAAGTCACCAACACCCGGTATGAACCCACGACCTTGTATCCATGTTTCAGGGCATCCAGAATCTGGCAACATTTGAATCATCTTTATTTGAAGCCAGTTTTGTGTAACAAAACTAAGACCGCATTCAACAATTTGCCGAAATGTGGACTCTCTGAAATACTAAGAAAATAGACTCAGGTGGGATTTCTCTCTATGTTTCTATACATTTCTCTTCATCAGTGATAATAATAATATAATATTTGATATAGCGCCTTATCACATCGTCTATACGTTTCAACGCACTTCACAGAATATACTGTAAAGTGAATTGACTGGGTGAACTGTATGGTGGGGGAGTGAGAATGTCAAACAAGAACAACAACAACATTACATTTGTAAAGCGTCTTTCACTTCGGGAGGATGTCCCAAGGCGCTGGGATGTCAGAGTGGGGATAACATGGTGAATGCAATGAAGAGGACACATGAGGAATATAGTTCCAATTTGTAGTCAGCCACAACATTGAGCACTGTAATTATATAAGAGATTGCTAGTATTTGCTTAGGATTAAGCTAAAAGGTCGGGTAGTCAATGGACCCCAATGAAGAAATAACTTGTGCTTAGAAACAACTTGTGCNTTTTTTTAAGGAGGACTGCTGCAAAGGCTTTGGCAGGATGCTGGGATCTGTGAAACATCATCATCTATGGAAACGTCTTCCGGGCGCACTTCGTTTACAAGACTGTTATGAGGAACATTGAAGGTGTTCAACAGACTGTTTATATTACAGAGTTTCTATCTAGACTGATCATAACAATAGTAATCCTTGTGTTTGATATACATAACCCCGAACATGTTGAAAGTTCAGTTTTCTGTGAAGTGTGAAGTTGTCTGGGTCTGTGTATTTGTGTGAGGGGCACTATATAAATGTGAGTTGTTGTTGATATTTTCATTGTTGAAGGACGGCACCTCTGACAGCACACCCCCAGCACAGCACTGGACGGTCAGTTTAGACTATAAATGAGTTCCCAGCTCCGATTTGGGGCTTGAACCCATAACCCGACTCGAAGGATATTACCAACTGAGACAGACTGGCACGCTTTAAAGTTACTTTAGAGTTACCTATAGTTGAAAGTGTAGTGACTATTAAGTAGGGGAATGCTGAATGTGTAGGATGAATGACCAGATGAAATCTGTGAATTCAGAATCAATGGGCAGGGATCGTTTTGGTTGGATGCAGTGACATTCCCAAATAACATCTCATCCTGTGCTCAAAGTTGCCACGACAGGGGGTATGATAAGGTGCATGTTCTATTGTTGCTTTCTCTGTGGAACTTGAGCGAGAATCATTATTATTATTTATTGTAGAGATGTACATACTAATAATAATCCTTGCATTTGATGCAACACCTTATCACGTCGTTGTGACGTCTTAAAGCGCTTCACAGAATAGACTGCAAAGTGAATTGACTGTATATTTTGTGGACGAAACGCGGCAGCCAATTGCGCACAGCAGCGTCCCCACAAACAGTGGTGGATTTTAAAATAAAGTAAAATAAGGTAACGGGAAATAAATAATATATAACAACTTGCGTTTACAGTAAGAATAACAACAACAGCATTACATTTGTATAGTGCCTTTCACGTCGGGAGGACGTCCCAAGGCGCAGCATTTAAATAGTAAATATAGTAATATAATGATATAGTAAAATATAGTATGTAATATAGTAAAATATAGTAGACAATAATATAGTAAAATATAGTAGATAATAATATAGTAACATATAGATAATAATATAGTAACATATAGTAGACAATAATACAGTAAAATATAGTAGATAATATAGTAACATATAGATAATAATAGTAAAATATAGATGATAACATAGTAAAATATAGATAATAATATAGTAAAATGTAGATAATAATATAGTAACATACAGATAATAATATAGTAAAAAATAGATAATAATATAGTAAAATATAGATAATAATATGGTAACATATAGATGATAATATAGTAACATATAGTATAGAGTATAGTAAAGTATAGTAGACAATAATATAGTAGAATAAAGGAAGAAAGACAATTGTTACCAAAAGCGACGAGTATTTAGGCATTTATTTATTACGCAGATATATTGAGGGATGGGATTTCCCCAACACTGTGCTGAGGGGGGAGGGGGGGGTGAGGGGGGGGTGAGGGGGGAGGAGGAGGGGGTGAGGGGGGAGGAGGAGGGGGTGAGGGGGTGAGGAGGGACGGAGGGGGTGAGGGGGGGGGAGGGGGGAGGGGGGAGGGAGGAGGGGGGTGAGGGGGGTGAGGGGGGAGGGGGGGAGGGGGGGGGGGGGGGAGGGGGGTGAGGGGGGGAGGAGGGGGTGAGGGAACTACAGGACGCATTGGAATGGTTCAAGAGTTAAATTGGTCATTGACCTGTTTTCAACTGTTATCAATATCACTTAATTTGCATAATTAATTTGCTGGATGCAAACTGACTCCCATATTCCCTGCAAAATTCACAGTCGCTGGACTTTACAGTAAATCCTGTGAAGCGCTTTGAGGCGCTTCATGCTTCAAAAATTGGTTATGTCAACGGGGACGATTTTCAATTCTCTCTCCTCTCTCTCTCTTGTGTTCTTTCTTATTCTCCCTTGCCAATTCTCCGATTCCCATCTGGTGGTGAACCAGTCAGTGCTTGTTGTTTGTGGGCAAACGCATATATTTGCTCTCTGTGACGGTGCTTTCTTTATTTCGCTTGGTTTTGGAGTTCAGCTCTGACAACACCACCACCAACAACAAGATTACATTTGTATAGCGCCTTTCACGTCGGGAAGACGTCCCAAGGCGCTGGACAGCGTACAGCATTTCAGACCCGGGTTGGGGTGGGGGAAGGGAGTGGAAGGGAATATGAAAATGCTCAGATTGCAGCTAAACCTCAGCACAGGGCAGATGGGTTTACAATAGTTACCCTTACACAAGGTATGGGTAGCTTTGTTCTACCTGAGTGGCTTCCCTGCACACACCACCTCATTCTCCTCAACTTCCAATTGTACAATTCAAAGGCGGGAACCCGAGGCAGATTCTGTTCCGGTCGGTGTTGTGTCTCAGACTAGGAGTTATCCATCCATTGCAGGAAGAGATTCAAAGCCTCTTCCCAAGCGATATCCCTCTTCTGGCATTCAGGAAGGGGTTGTCCAGATATTGTCCACAATAGGGGTTAGGTCAATCCTTGCTTGTCAAAAGGCGCTATATTAAATATATCGAATTATTGTATTATTTATTTTATTGGATTTTATATACATTGCCATTAAAAATCATAGTATGGAGGTGTTAATAATAATAATCCTTGCATTTGATAAGCGCTTTTCAGTCTTCTAGATCGTCAAGTGCTTCACAGAATATACTGTAAAGTGAATTGATGTATATTTTGTGGGAGAAACATAATGTACAGTACCCTGGTTTGTATCCTGCTGGAGTGTTGACTACAGTTAGGGTGCCCTGTTATTAAATTAAATTTAGAAGCCATGGGAGACATGCAATGAGGATTCACTCAAATTCAACTATCTCGAGGTAGATCACAGATAATAGACCAGACAGGAAATAAGCTGTAAATGACACAGCAGAGAGTTGAGGGGAGAAATGAACAAAATAAGTGATCTTGTCACAAGGGGACACCTGGGTGCATCTGGATCAAAAGTAAATGTCCTGTGTTATGCTGGAGTGAACCTGTATAACTTCAGCCACTGGGCAATGTGCTCAATGCAGTCCCCACTTGGGCTGGGATGTTGCGTATGATGGAAGCTGGTCGGCCACTGCTGTCCAGTTCATTGTGGGGTCCTGTAGCTCAGTTGTTAGAGCACTCGCCTCAAGCGAGAGACAGAGTTCATTCCGGCAGAGGGCGAAACTTGCAAGTTTCCTTACTCCACACACGAGACCGTACCTATAATAATCCCTTAAAAAAAAAAAAAATAAATTGGCATCAATCTACGACTGTTTGTGGGACACTGCTGTGCACAATTGGCTGCCGTTTTGCCCACAAATATACAGTCAATTCACTTTTGATACCTTTGTCAAATGCACCCGCATTATTCCATCCTCTCCCAGAAATGGGGGCCAGAGATTTGTGACTGTTCTCAGTGAGAAGTTTGATTTACACCCGAAGGCTACGGTCACAAAGGTGCATAGCCCCTCACCTCAACCATCACCCTCGGCTCGGGGTTGGGCTCCGCCACTGTTAAGCGCTCGGAGACGCAGTCCAGCGTGAAATGCAAGTTGTTGTTGTTGAAGGCAGCCCAGTCTTTAAAATAAACTTACAGACTAACAGCTTCAAAATTACAGCTGGATTTAAAGATTTGCCAAAGTCTAGATTCTCATAAAAAAAACTACCTAAATAGAGTAAATCTAGACCCAGGGGGAATTTTCTTCTCATCCACTGCTCGGGTTGGGTGATAATCACATTTGAATACAATGGTAAACAACCAATAGGTTCTGTCACATGAGTTAACTCCAGGCTTGCTATCGCGCCTGTGAACGAGTCTGTTCCAAACGTATCAGAAAACGCTTTTTTTCTTTTCAGTCTATCTGTCCAGCGCTCTGAGGGTGTTATGTCAATGCAAGTTGCTATTGTGGTTCAGATTGCTATTTAGAGAGTTAAGACAGTAGTTTTTGGGGTGTTGTTATCATTATTTGCTCAAAATGAAATCTGGAAAGTACCAGAAACTGGTCAAGCAGGAATTGGAATCCACATTCTTCACACAATTATGGTTTTTGTTTATGTGTATCCGGATGATTCAGAGTTGGTAATTTCACCTCTCTGAGTCAGATGTTGTGGGTTCAAATCCCCCTTCGGGACTTGAGCCCACATTGCCTGAGATGACACTCTCATGCAGTGCTGGGGATGTGTGGTGTTGTCGGTGGTGCCGTTCTTCGGTTGAAACAATAACTGAGGGTCCCGTCTCCCTGTTCAGGTGGATGTTGAAATCCCACAGTGGTATTCGAAAATAGAAGGGAGTTTCTCTTGGTGTCCTGGCCAACAAATCCCCCAAATAAAATCGGTCACTCACTCCATAGTTGTTGGTGGGACATTGCTGCGCGCAACTGGCTGTCGTTGGTTTAACGTCTCATCTAAAGTACGGCACCTCTGACAATGGAGCGCTCCCCAGTGCACCGTGAGCTTAAGGATCACAAATTTAAAATGATTCCTTTTGAAAACGAATAAGAATTTGGTCACTCAATCGATGACCGTTTGTGGGACGCTGTTGTGCGCAATGCAGCCAATTGCTCTCAGCAGAGTCCCACAGACAGTAGTGGATTGAAAATGACCAATTTATTATTGTTTTGTTTTTGGAGGGATTATTATTAGGCGTGTGGAGTAAGGAAACTTGCCCAAGGTTTCGCCCTGCCGGGAATTGAACCCAGGTATCTCGCTTGCAAGGCGAGTGCTCTCACCACTTTCATACAATACCAGATAGATTAGCTGATTGAAGCAACATTGTACCTGATTGTGGTTTTGATTAAGAAAAGGTTGATGATTCAGTGTAGTTTATTTGCATGGCTGTTATGTAACTTCCTTCCCAGGCGCACGTTTACAAAGATATCATCGTCCTTTTCCACTCACTCTAAGGCCCAAGGTTCCACCTAATCTTTAGCCTGTAAGGTTATAACTGGTATGAAGAACTGTAGAAGTATTTACTTAGCGTACTACCACGCACTCAGCTGCAACCCAAGGTGAAAGCAACGTCAGTCATGGAGTTAGTCGAGGGCTTCTCCTTTCAGGGTATGCACAACATTCCTTGCAATTCTTTATTGAGCCCTTTTTTCAGGCCTAAAATTACACCTAGTCTTAGCTGGTAAGATATTTAAATATCTTAAAATGTCTGATTATGCAAATTTGTGTGAAATTCAAATAGACCAAATAGGGAAATGAGAAGAAATTTCTTCACACAGAGAGTAGTGGGAATGTGGAACATGCTACCACAAGGAATTGTTGAGGCAAATAGCATAGATGTATTTAAGGGAAAGCTAAACAGGTACACGAGGAAGAAAGGAATAGAAAGTTATGCTTGAAGGCTTAGTTGAGGAAAGGCAGGAGGAGGCTTATGTGGAGCATAAACACCGTCATAGACCAGTTGGGCCGAATGGCCTGTTTCTGTTCTGAATATTCTAATGTATTCTAATGTATAATCTCTCCGCCTTGCCCCTTCCTTTTTTTGGATAATGCTTGAAGACCTTCCTCTTTGACTGTGCTTATAGTCTTTTCCCCACTCCCCCTGGCTCGACATCAGGCTCTGCCACTGTTAAACGCTCTGAGAGGCTACCCTTGCATAAAGGGTGTTGTATAATGCAAGCTGTTGTTGTTTTATCTTTTTCAGCCTTCATGACAACGAGCTGGAAGATGCTGGTGTGCAAAAGATCATTACTGCGCTTCCAACAATGATGAGTCTGAAGAAAATTGAGTTAGTAACTGTTCTTACTTGGTTAGAAAATCATGAACAGGAGGAGGCCATTCAGCCCATCGAGCCTGTTCCACTATTAGCTTTTGGCTGAGGTTCCATCTGCCTGATCAGTTGGACATTGAAGATCTCATGACATTGTGTGTCAGCCTGTCTCAGATGCTATGAAACACTCTTGCCTCTGAGTTGAAAGGTTGTGGCTCAAACCCCACGTTGGGGCTTGGAACTCGTATTAGCCTTGGCTGCTCCAATGTAGTGCTTGACAAATTTTAGATTCCTTTGGATGAGAAGCTAAACCAAAGTACCATCTGCCTGTTCAGGTGGATGTTAAAGATCCCCATGGTACTATTGAAAAAGAGAAGAGAATTTCTCTCAGTGTCCTGGCCAACAATCTCCCAAATAAAATTGGTCATCCACTTTATGGCTGTCTACGGAACATTGCTGTGCGCAAATCGGCTGCAATATTGGTCACTACACTTTCCCACAAACAGCCATGATATGAATGGCCAATTTGTATCTGAGGGTATTGCTGACCGGCCCACCGGGAGAAACTCTTCACCATGTGTAGGATTGTGTCTGACGCCTGCATGTCTCTAATCTAAGCAAGACTTGAAACCAGCAAACATGTGGAGTAACTAAAGCGCTTTGAGACGTCCTTTTGATGGGAAAATCCGTTCTTCGGTTGAGATGTTAAACCGAGGTCTTGTCTGCCATGGCGCTATTTGAAAAGAGAAGGGAGTTTCCCCTGGTATTCTAGCTAACAATCCCCCAAATAAAATTGGTTACTTGCTTCAAGGCTGTTTGTGGGACATTGCTGTGTGCAGCTGATTGCTGTATTTCGCTCACAAAATTCACAGTCACTGCACTTTATAGTGTATCCCCTGTATCAAATGCAAGGATTATTATTTTTTTTATAGGCAAGTAGGTATAACTTGTATTGTAACTTATTCTCTCGCTGCAGTTTAGGCAGGAATAATATCACCGACCGAGGTATTCTCATCATAACCAAAGCCATGAACATTTGTTCCAGTATTGTGGATATCAACATCAGGTAGGAATGCTCTTTCCAGTTCACTTTAAGGTGTAAATGAGGGAGACGGGAATAGTGGGGTACAGGAGAGAGCAATAGGAGTGGTGGAGGCTGATATGGAATATACACAGACTAGTGGGCCAAATAGCCTGTTTTCATGACCTATGTAACTCTATGTAAATATTCCTAACCCCCAACGACTGAAGTTAATAATATTTGTTGAAAATAGAGGCCAAAGGTAAAGTTTAATAATTTAATGTTGATGCACAATTCAGTTTTGCGAGGGATTGGTCTGTTCCTAAGCAAATAAGTGGACATTAATTATAGAACAGAAATTTGTATATCTTTCTGAATCCCACCCGCACCCTCTTCCTGTTTTTGAAATAATAAAGGAAACTTTTTGCTCACAGTTTGGGCAGATTACTCCATAATTGTACCTTTTACACATTTCCTAGGAGCTAGATTTAATGCCAGTGAGACAGACTGTGACACTCAGGACTGGGGAGAAAGAAGGCAGCTTGCTTTATTTACTTTGTAGCTTGGATTAATGTTAACCTCAGTTTTGCAGTACAGAGGAACACATTTGATATGACTTTGTGGGGGCAAGGGAGAAACTGACTTGAAACCTGTTTTTGTCGCCTTGAAAAGAGAAGCCTCAGAAGTGACTATTAGAGGTGTACGACATGTCAAATAAATCTTAAACAAGTAAACTTGGAATAATAAGTTAACAACTTGAACAGGTTTTCAGAAAGGGACGCATTTAAGAAACAGCTTAATGCTGTAATAGCTGGTGAGTAGTGTTGGGTGTTTTGTTGGGATGAAATCAGATGGACCGAAGGGTTTTCTTCATCCAAACTGATCTTGTAATCTTGTGAATCCTAACTATTGTCTGGATCTAATGTAGGGATTATGGGAATACTGCAACTATCAACTTTTCCTCTGGTTTCAACAAGTCCGACCTTCACAGGTAAATCTGTCTCCACTTTCGGTAAATAAGCTGGTCAGTTGCATGATTTGTGGTGTTCATTTTATTCTCGTTTAACAGGTTGTCTGTCTCCCCTTCCAGTCCCCCAGAGAACAAAGCTGATGAGAGAGCATTCCTGAGACTCAGGTAATGTAACATCTTCAGAGCTATACATTGGAGGTCCCGTCTGCCTGGTCAGATGAACGTCAAAGATAATAATAATAATAATAATCATAATAATAATAATTCTTGCATTTGATGTAGCACCTTATCAAGTCGTTGAAACAGTGAAATTACTTTACCATATATTCTGTGAAGCGCTTTGAAACGTCTCGATGACATGATAAGGCGCTATATCGAATGCAAGGATTATTATTTGTAAGCAAGTATGTGATTGTTGGCCAGGACACCAGGAGTGAGAAGCTCCCTTCTCGTTTTGAATAGTGTCACAGAATGTTTAGCGATCGCCTGGATCGGCACAGACGGGTCCTTTAATGTTCTTAGCAGCTCAGTCACGGGCAATATGAGCGTGTATCAGAGGCTGACAGATGTGCTTCTTTCACAGCCTCGTAAACTGCATGTTAACATTTGCGTGCATGCATAAGCTGGGATTGATCCTGTTGTCCTATCCTCGCCTGGCGGAACTGGAGTAAGTTCTGATTATTCCCTCGGGATCTGAAACTGAAAGACATGACTTGACGACAACTTATTATCCTTTTTGTGTGGCTGTAAAATGTTGCATTTGTGGTGTAGAGGAGACTTCCCCACAATAAAGCCATGTGATGGTCGTTCCAATCAGGCGTACGTGATACACAATCACACGACCCTGTAGTGATGCCGAGGCTCTGATCATTCCCCAACAGATAGATACCCTTTATTCTTACCTCCACGCCCCATCCTCACCTCCATGACCCTCCTTCTACCCTAGCCATGCCACCCCCTCCCTTCATGGCCTGCTTGCTTCATGGCTCCCACCCTCACTGTCCCACCATTAGCGGGTGGGCTTCTCAGATGATCCGATCCTGCTCTGGAACTCCACCCGGGAGTCACTCTGACTCGCTCCCTCTTTCAGCTCGTTCAAGGCCCATCTCAAGATTTACGTCGTGCTTTGCCACTGTCAAGCGCTCTGGGACTCTACCCGTGTGAGTGGTGCTATGTGAATGCAAGTTATTGCTGAGTTTAAGAATTTTCAAACATTTGGCGCAGCCTTAGTTTTTAAGACGATGATGGTCTCGAGCCTGAGACCATGAAGGTTTGGGTCTCTGAAGGCCAGGTGTATACATCTTCTTAAATGATGTTTTTGTAGGGTTCACATGTCTGTAGACTGTTCACACCTTAAACTTGCCTTTTTCGGGCTGAAATATCCACCTTTCTGTTTGTTTAGCTTGTCCGGCAATGAGCTGAAAGATCGTGGCTTCAGAGTGTTCCTCAAGATCCTCCCAAATCTCTCGATTTCCAAATTTATTAAGTAAGTCCGCAAATTAACCTGCACGGTTTCCAGTGTAACTCAGTGCACTGACCCACAATTGAAGCTTGTTCTTGTGCATTGAACAATGGTCAGAGGCTGAGGGTCTGACAAGACACTGACATTGTATTAAGACAGTCAATTACAGCCTCATGCCAGTTGAGCAGTTGAGTCAGGGGAGGGAGAAAGTAGCTGTGTGACAGTCCTAGTGTTGAGGAGGGGATAATCCCTGTGGTGAATTATTTGTGTCCAGTAATTAAGTCAATTTATTTCTGTCTCTTGTGGGTGTAAATCTGCTTGAGAATATTTCAGTGAGCTGCCCATGAAGCACATTCTGTCAGTGACAGAAAAGCAGAAGGTCGGGGTTTATAAATAAAAAAGGTAGCGTTGACGAGCACACTGCGCTTTCACTTCTCAGATAGAACTGGTTTTAATTTTGTGAATCGCTTCTGTCCTAGTCTCAGCAACAATGGCATATCTGAAACTGCAGCCCTGCATTTATTGCGGTCCATCAAGCTTTGCCCCAGGATAGCCGAGGTGCGGGTCAGGTGAGTGGAATAAACCTTGGGTTAAGGACTTTAATAAAATGCATGTCGGGCTGTGACGTGGGACCTGGAAAGGACATACAGAGATTTAAAGGTACATAATGATAAAAATTGAGTTCAGCTTCACATGAAACCACCACATCTTTGGTGATGAATAGTTATGATGGGGGAAATCCCACATTGCAAAGGTGCAAATAACATTGGCCAATCATTCATGGCTGTTTCTGGGATACTGCTGTGCACAAATTGGCTGTTGTGTTTGCCTACAAAATACAACCACTGCACTTCACAGTAAAACCCTGTAAAGCACTTTGAGACCTCTCAGTGACATGAGAATGTATATATCAAATGCAAGGATTATTATTATTATTTCCAAATGTAATGTGTTCAATACTGATCAGAATTTATACCCAATTGAGGGGACAGAGCACAAGAAAGCTCAAAGGCCTGTTAGGTTCAGAGGCATCTAGAGTCAGACCATAGTGAGAACAAAGTTCCATTATTATAGGGTGTAGACAGATTGAATCTGTTTGCATTAATGTTCCCCACTGACTTTGCTGATGATGTCCTGCACTGATAATTGGTTCAGATGAAGAAGGTCCTTTGTCCCATCTGATTCTGATCCCTTCAGAACAGCCGCCCTCCCATGACTGCATTGTGAGTGAGCAAAGTGAAATGGGACGTTATCTACCATTAGCCTCAAGTGACATTTGATCTAAACTATGAGGCCTTTCCTCCATTTCCTTCACATCTGTGCTTTAAGAACATAAGAACATAAGAATTAGGAGCAGGAGTAGGCCATTCGGCCCCTCTAGCCCGCCCCGCCATTCAATAAGATCATGGATGATCTATTTTAACTCCACCTACCCACCTTATCCCATATCCCTTAATCCCTTTATCCACAAGAAATCTATCCAGCTTTGTTGTCGTTTGCTCTGAGCAACAGTGGGCGACTTCACAGGTCAGCGCTGATGGAAGCTACCCTAACTCTTCACATGTGGTTGATGTTTTCTTTATGGTTTAACTTCCGCAGCCTCAAAAACTTTCAGACCGTCTTTATAAACTTTGCAGAAGATCATGAGGGCACTGATGACAGGTAAGCAGCTCGAGTTAGAAAGGGGCTGTGTCACTGGCTGGATCCTGTTGATGTACACACCACACATGTACACATACACGATACGCAAATACATATATACCTTACATTGGCCCACAAAATATACAGTCGGTTCACTTTTACAGTATATTCTGTTAGGCGCTTTGAGACATCTCGAAGAAGTGTTGAGGCACTATATCAAATGCAAAGATTATTATAAGAAACGTACACACCCCACCCACACACCACATTTACTTTGTCCCAATCTCACAATCGCAGCCAAGTGCACTGTGCTTGAACTTGACCGAATTTCCAAAAGGTGCTGTTCCCTCTTATAGTTCTGAAAATCAGAGTTCTTGTGAACCCAAACCGCATTAATGTTTAACATGATAACATAATAATAATAATAATAATAATCCTTGCATTTGATATAGCGCTTTTCACGTCGGGAGGACGTCCCAAAGCGCTTTACAGAATACACTGTAAAGTGAATTGACTGTATATTTGTGGGCGAACGCGGCAGCCAATTGCGCACAGCAATGTCCCACAAATAGTCGTAGATTGAAAATGACCAGTTTATTCTTGTTTTTGGTTTTGGAGGGATTATTATTAGGCTCTGTGTGGAGTAAGGAAACTTGCCCAAGGTTTCGCCCTCTGCCTGGAATTGAACTCAGGTCTCTCGCTTGCAAAGCGAGTGCTCTAACCACTGAGCTACAGGACTCCACGAGTCAACATGCCAGAGGAAATGCTGAACAGGGAAGAGGGTGGAGGCCCAGTCAGTGGGGTAGAGACCAGGTGTAATCAGCCACAGCAGATTGTACACAGCAGAGAACCTGGAGAAATGTTGAACGTTTGGAGGTGGAAGAAGCCCTTGGTTGCCTTTGTATATGTGTTAAGTTTCTCTCTCCCGACCATAGATAACTACTACTCAGCTTATTACAATAGTATTGTGTGTGCCACGTTTCTGTGTTATTGGGTAATATTGTGGCTCCGTGTTACCCCCTCTGATGCCAACCCCATGCTCGGATCCAAATCCCTAACTGTCCAGCGCCGTGGTACATCCTCCCGACGTGCACTGTACAACATGTAATTTGTATTGTATTGTATCCCAGTTGTTACAGCATAATGTACTTTTCTTGATCAGAACCTATAGTAATTGAACATGTAATGACAGACAGTGATAGTGTACGCAACTGTGCTTGTTTCCTTGTTACAGAGATGGACGAAGCAGTGCTGGAAATCCAAAGGCCAGACCCTGCTGCTTAACCACACTCAGGTAAAGTGGTCTAAGCTTTACCGCGTGGAGAAATGACCAACGAAACAATCTGCACCAACAGGCTCACAAGCAGGGCAGGATCTGGACTGGAAAAGCATGGAAGGAGCAGGGGCATATGTGAAGTGTTTAGTAACTGGCGCTCAGACTCCTGTTTTACACAGTGCTAAGCAAGTTAATGACAGCCTAAACTTAGGGATGATGAGATTGGACAAGCAGCTAACCATGAGCTTCCCAAGAGCTAGTTGATTAATAATTAATTGCTATGTGTAATTAGCTGCCGCGTTTCTCCCACAAAATATACAGTCAATTCACTTTACAGTGTATTCTGTCAAGTGCTTTGAGACGTCTCGAAGACACGATAAGGCGCTATATCAAATGTGGATTATTATTATTATAGCTAGTCTGGCGTGGGCCATATACTGCTGAGACTCAAGTCTCCTTATACCACCATACAACACAATAGCAAGCCATTCAGCCCATTAATGCTGCTGTCTTTCTCCATGTGAGCAACTGGCCTGATCTCACTCTGCTCTTTGCTCCTCATGCCCTTTAGTACTCTTCCTTCTTCGGCACCTATCCAATTTATAATAATAATCCTTGCATTTGATATAGCGCCTTATGTCTTCGAAACATCTCAAAGCGTTTCACAGAATATAGTGTAAAGTGAATTAACTGTAGATTTTGTGGGCAAAACTACCTTAATTCCCTTTCAAAGGGGCTTTACACACAGCCTTGGTTGATCTTTGAGGCACAAGTGTCTAACCCACGCACAGCTCAAGTTTTATGGACTGTGTTCCGGTTCAGAGTGTGTGCTAGCAAAATCAGTAGGGGATTTTATACTGAATCTCACATCATATATGATTGTGCAATAACATGACCTGGGAAAGTGTACCTAATACAATAAGTTACAACTCATATACTAAGTTTAAACTTTTCTGCGATTCTGTGCAAACTAATATTATAAAGCACAAACAGCCATCTCACAGGCTAAGACTATGTGCAATTTCAAATCTTTGAGTCCAAGTTTCTGATCCGTCCCTACTCAATGTTTAATCAGGCCCTCGTATCAATGTCCTTTTGGCATCCATATACGCAGGGCCATAAAACCTTGCCCATATGTCTTTCACAAAGAAAGTGTTTATTTGTATAGGTGACACAGTAATTCAAGCATCAAGTAAACGACTAATGTAACTGGCATAATGTGCCAATGGTGATGAGGTAATCTTGTCATGTGCAAAATTAATTCTGCAATCTCTTACAGCCTGACCAACTGCTACTTTCAGCTCAAACAGTTGGAAGAATTGGTTTGTGCACTGGATCACTGCCGTGCTCTGAGGGAACTTGAGTAAGTAACGAGCGAACAGCTTTGACTGCAACAACAAAATCTTCCTTTTGTATTGTGTCCATCACGTAGGGTAATGTCTCAGCGCGCTTCACAAAAACTGGTGCATTCAGAATGCCTGTCATTCCCATTACAACCACAACAACTTGCATGTATATACACACATATATATAGTGCTCTTCACAATGGAGTGTCTCTGAATGCTTAAATCTGCCCTGGTTACACACTAGGGCGACTGCCTTTTCAGCTCACTGTGCCAATGTAGATTTAATAATAATAATAATAATCCTTGCATTTGATATAGCGCTTTTCACGTCGGGAGGACGTCCCAAAGCGCTTCACAGAACACACTGTAAAGTGAATTGACTGTATATTTGTGGGCGAACGCAGCAGCCAATTGCGCACAGCAATGTCCCACAAACAGTCGTAGATTGAAAATGACCAATTTATTATTGTTTTTTGTTTTTGGAGGGATCTTTCTGGAGTTTCTTGATGGGTGTAACAACCCGTCGCCGTGTTTAAGAGTATCCACAGATATTAGAACCGCAGACATTTACAGCACAGCAGAAGGCCATTCGGCCCGTTGTGTCTGTGCTGGCTCTTTTAAGAACAATCCTTCCAGTCCCATTTACTTGCCCTGTCTCCCATACCAATCCAATCCAAAGTTGAGAGTTCCACATTTGCATTGATGTTTGCCTTTGTCTGGAATGTCTCTTGAGGAACGCAGCCTCCTCACCTGGTCAGGCAGACAGTCTAGACCAGTGGTGGCCAATCTTTTTGGCTGGCCAACCCAATACATTTTTCTTGATTGAATATTTCTTGATTGATTGCTATCAATATTGCTATAAACATTGCCACTCGGTCGCTATTGAAAACAAAATATTGATTTCACACAGACTTACCTAGACTAGTGCGAATGTGTGGTGGGCCACTTCTTGACCACCACCCCCCGTGGGTCACTTTTGGCCCATGGACCAAAAACCGCCACTGCTCTAGTCCCAGCTCTGCTGGAGACCAGTGACTGTAGCACACGTTGGGCATGTTTTCATGATGATGTAAAGTGATGTGAATGTTTTCATTTGCTTGCTCTCCTCTCTCAATCATCCCCTTCTCATTGCAGCTTATCTAATAACTCGCTCGGAGACAAAGGCATCAAAAAGTTGGTTGATCTCCTTCCGAACCTGCACGTGTCAAGCCTGATAAAGTGAGTTCAATGAGAATCCGCCAACATGGCAGGGACATGATATTTAATTGCTTCGGATTCTGAGAATTACTCTTTACAGTTTGGAAACATTTATTGTATTTTCAATGTGTTCAATTGAGACTTTGATCTCATGGTCTAGGCTGATACTCCAATGCAGTGCTGGGGGGAGCACAGCCCAGTTGTGTGCTGCTGTCCTTTGGCTAAGCCAATAAACCGAGGTCCCATCTGCTTGTCCAAGTGACACGAGCCAACAATCCCCTAGATAAAATTGGTTATTGACGTCATGTAGCTGTTTGTAGAACCTTGCTGTGTGCAAATTGGTTGCCATGTTTGCTTACAAAATGCGCAGTCACTACACTTTACTCGAATGCCTGTGAATGTCTTGCCCGCGCAGTATGCTATGTTAGGGTTGTTATTACTGTAATGAACAATGTTTCTCTCTCGATCACAGTATCAGCAACAACTCCATCACGCTAGGCGGGGTCCTGTACCTGATTAAATACATGAAGAAGAGCGAAGACGTTGTTGAGATTGCAATGAGGTAAAGTGGAAAGATTAGAGGAGAATTGGACCTCAGTGGTAAAGCAGTCAGTCATTCGCCAAGTGCAAAGTGACTCTTGTTCCACCTTCATTTCAAAGTTCAGGACAGATGTAATTCTTTGCATGAAGGGTAACTAACGACGGAAATGGAGATATCAGGAAGGGTGATAGAGGCCAGGATTTATTCTCTTACCCTAGCATTTCAGTGTATCCAAAATTTGGCAAATTCTTAAATATCGTCTTAATTTTGATGCCGGTTTTCTGTAAATTCCTTCAAGGTTACATTGCAATACTGCCACAGATTGAGCAATGAGTTCAGATTTGCCATTTTTGTGATGTTTCAGGGAGCCAATGGAGTGGGAGTGGGTAGATGGGGGGAAAGGCATACATCGCCTGCCTTTCAGTTTGTGTGACTTGGTTGCTGAACAACTTCTGTGTTTTGTTTTTGTTCCCACGTTAGTTTGAAGAAGAATGGAAGAGGATTACTCAAGTTCCACAGGAGCTGCAGGTAAATGAAAGAAAAAAGCTGAGGTCTCCAGTGCAGTGCTAGGGGGCAGATTGCATTATCTGAGGTGCTGTCCTTCGAATTAGACATTAAATCAAGGTTCCCCCTGTGTCCGTGGCACTGTTCAAAAAGAGCAGGGAGTTTCTCCTGGTGCTCTGGTCAATAAACCCCAGATAAAATTGGACATTCATTTCATGTCTGTTTATGGGATATTGATGTAAGCAAATTGCCTCATTCGCCAAGAATAAAATATAATTACTGCACTCCACAGTGTGTCCTGTGAAGCACTTTGAGACATTATTGACTCTGACAGAAAATGGACTTTACCCTGCGTGCAATCAGTTGGCAGCAACTTCTAGTGAATCCGGTGAAAACCCTCAGTAACGTTTTGGCGACGAAATGCAGATATGTTTGTTTAACCTGTGATCAACCCTACAACTCTTAGATTTCAGGCAGCAAAGATGGGCTGAACACCTTTCATCTCTGCGCTGAATGGTTGTGCTAAAATACCAATATTTCATGTTACCTACAATACAATAAATCTGTAGCAATAGCGTTGAGTACTAAATCCTTCCAGCAGGTTCGGATTTAACCTTTTTTTAACGTGGCCAAATCCCACATTCCAACAACCTTCTGTGTTAATAAAAAAATCCTGATCTTTCTCATTCTTAGCTGGCAATAATATTACATGTGTTTCCTCCTACACCCTGACCAATCTCCCTATTTATCTATCAAAGTGCCAGCCTGGTTCGGTTGATGGTACTCTCACCTCTGAGTCACAAGGTTGTGGTTCAAGTCTCATGTTAGGACTTTGAACTTACAGCCCAAGCTAACTTTCCTGCATTGCTGGGAGAGCAATACTTTGTCGAAGGTGAGACATTAAACGAAAGTCCCGTACGTGCCTGTTCAGGTGGATGTGAAAGGCAGGGCACGTTTCCTTACTCCACACACCTAATAATAATCCCTCCAAAAACAATAAACAATAATAAATTGGTCATTTTCAATCCACGACTGTTTGTGGGACACTGCTGTGTGCAATTGGCTGCCACGCTTCACCCACAAATATACGGTCAATTCACTTTACAATCTATTCTTTGAAGCCCTTTGAAATGTCTAGAAGATGTGAAAAGCGCTATATCAAATGCAAGGATTTGTATTATAAAGATCCCATAGCATCTTTTGAAAACAGAAAGGAGTTTCTCCTGGTGTCCTGGCCATCAACCCCCAGATTAAATTAGTGAATCACTTCATGGCTGTTTGTATTTCCATTTCCCTACAAAATACACAATAACTGCAGGATTTCGATTAAATCCCATGCAGCACTTTGAGACATCCTCCTGACAATAGATAAATAGGGAGATTGGTCGGAGTGTAGGAGGAAATAAATTAATTGCAAGGATTGTTATTTTTATGAGAATAATTTTGAGCACCTCCATCCGATCTCCTCTCATACTTTACCTGGTCTAGTGAAAACAGCCCCATTTTCCTTCTCTCCTTGTGAGTAAAGTCTCTTGGGCCCCAGTGTTGTGTCAGGCCAACAGTGGCATCATTCCATTTGTTTCCACTTCTCTTCATCTCGCAGGGAACGAGAATCTGGCGGATCATCAGACCTTCTGTCTAGAGAAGCAAAAATTGGGAATCTGGATTCACCAATGCCGAAGAAAATCAGGTGGGAAATCTGTTCCTGTTCCCTCTGTGTTCCTAATCCATCTCAATCTGTAAACCATTATGAAATAGGGTAGAGTGGAGTCCCATAATCGCTCTGGGACACTACCCTGCGTGAGGTGCACTATTTAAATGCAAGTTGTTGTTGATGTGCTTATTTTACGTGAAAGGGGCTTTATAAATACAAGTTATTGTAAAAGAGTGCAGCACGAACAAATCTAAGCGGAATGCAAACCCTTTCCCTTCGAGAAGAGCAGATCTGATAGCTCAGGATGTAAGTGTGCAGTTCTGTTCATTTCATTCCCAATAAATATGTTGCAGCCTTGAAGAGTGTAAGATGGACGATCAGAACATGGAGAATCTCTGCACAGTCATCAACGGGTGTCGTGGACTTACAGAACTCGAGTGAGTAAAAGAGGACAAGGACATAACATGGTTTTCCCTTTGCACACGTGTTAACTACAACCTCAAGAATAGCGTTCCTTCCAAATCGTAGAGCTCCAAATGATTCGGAAATCTAGTCCGGCTCAGGGTAGATTCCTGATCATATCTGTATCTAACAAGTAACTGCGCAGCTTGCTTCATCACAACTTTTTCATGTTTCTTTTCCTCTTTAGTGTATTGGGCCAAAGAGCAGAAAGTTGTGAGTTCAAGCCCACTGGGTCCGGGACTTTGAGTTCTCAGTCTAGGCCGAACCTTCAGCGCAGTTGCATTGTCAGAGGTGCCGTCCTTCAGATGAGACATTGAGCTGAGATCCCATCTTGTCTGGTGTTTAATGTGATCTGTGATCTTTCATTTCAGTTTGTCCAACAATGGCTTGAATGATGAAGTTCTTACAAAACTACTGAACTATCTGCCGGACCTACAGGACTTGAAGATTCTGAGGTGATGTCTCAGCGCTGATTTATAAGCTATATGTGTGTGTGTGTGTGTGTGTGTGCATGAGTGTGCCTGACTGTGTGTGTGTGTGTGTGTCTGCGTGTGCAAATATTGTTGTAATTTATTCTATTATTTGTTATATTTAGTCATTTTAAGGTTTATTGTACTGTGTAATGTTACCATCACAATGGGAATTTGTGATATTCACAAGATGATTGGCGAACTTCTGCAGACGCGCAGATGTGTGTGTCGGCTTGGCTCTGTTGGTAGCTCTCTCACCTACGAGTCAGAAGTTTGTGGGTTCAAGCCCCACATCAGGGCCTTCGAGCTCACTGTCTAGGTTAACACTACTGCAGTGCTGGGGGAATACCGCCTTGTTATTCGGATGAGACGTTAAACTGAGGGTTCCGGCTGCCTGTTCAGATGGATGTTAAAAATCTTCTTGTATCCTGGCCAGCAATCCCCCAAATATAATTGGCCATTCACTGCATGGCTGTGCACAAGTTTTCTGCCTTGTTTGCCTACGAAATACACAGACACTGCACTTTACAGTAAAATCCTGTGAAGTACTTTGAGATGAGCTCCTGACCTGAGAGTCAGGATATGAAATATAAGGATTATCCTGTGTCTCGAGCCGACTTGCCAGGACTTTGTTCAAGCGCTGATTTGTGCCAGGAACAAGGAATCATAGAATCACAGAATTATACAGCACAGAAGGAGGCCATTTGGCCAATCCTTTAAGGAGTCCTTTAGCTCAGTGGTTAGAGCACTCACCTCACAAGCGAGAGACCTGGGTTCGATTCCCGGCAGGGCGAAACCTTCGGCAAGTTTCCTTACTCCACACGCCTGATAATAATCCCTCAAGAAAAAAACAATAATAAATTGGTCACTTCAATCCACGACTGTTTGTGAGACACTGCTGTGCTGCCTCATTTCGCCCTCAAAATATTCACTTTACAGTATATTCTGTGAAGCCCTTTGAGTCGTCTAGAAGACGTGAAAAACGCTGTATCAAATGCAATAATTATTATTGTCGTGTCTGTGCTCTTTGAAAACTGTTGTTCAAATCAATTCCACTCCTCTGGACTTCTTTGGTCAGAGTCAGCTTCACTGAATGAGGAGGGAGTTTGGATGTGTTGTAGCACCTTTTTATTATAATTATTTTTAGATAATAATCCCTTCAAAAAACAGAAAAAAGCACTAATAATAATATTTTGGTCATTCAACCCACTACTGTTTGTGGGACACTGAAGTGCGCAATCGGATGCCGGGTTTCACCCACAAAATGCAGTCATTTTCACTTTGCAGCATATTCTGTGAAGTGCTTTGAGGCATGATAAGACTTGGATATTCCTCTCAAAGACGTGATAAGGTATATCAAATGTAAGGATTATTATTATTGTTGTAAATTATGTGAAACAGAGAAATAGAAAAGAGTGTGGTGGAAAGATGAATGACCTACACCCCCACACACGTACACTTATTATATATATATTATATCTATATTATAAATATATTTTATAAAAAAAAATTCTTGAAATGCTGTACAGAATGCTTTACATGTTCAGTCGGCGTCAGGTAATTTGCATCAGCAGCATCCCACAAACAAATCCAAGAAATATATTTGAATTGGGGGAGAGGAGGGAATTATTTCACTGCCACTGTTCATGTCCTGCCTTGGGATGATGCCAGTGCTATTTCCTTTGCTTCCCCTTACTTCATCCATGCAAGGCATTTCAGTCTTATACGTAATATTCATTGCTGAAGTGTAATCCTTGAGTCAGGGTGATCTTCTGACCCCGAACTGTAAGCCTTCAAGCGCTCTGGGACACTACCCTGAATGAGGGGCGCGATATAAATCGAGCTGCTGTTGTTGGTGTCGTTGTTGAGTGCCATAAGCAAATGTACTCCTGTAGGGACACAAAGCACCTCTGCCAAAAACCTGCTTCTGGGGCTGATGTCTAAGTCACCTAATGTTGTAAAGTGAAATGACTGTGTGTTTTGTGGACAAACGTGGCAGTTCGATTTGCGTATTGTACAGGCCAGAATTTCTGACCTGGCTTTCAGTAACGAGAATAATACTGTAAGAAGGAGGTGGCTCGTGTTGTGATATTGAAGTGTGATGTTTTTGTATTCCCCCAGTTTTAGTGAGAGGCACATTTCATCAGACACTGTGCTGCTGCTGGCCAGCTCTCTGAATATCTGTGAGGAGGTTGTGGAAGTGGAAGTGAGGTAAGTAACATGCACACACCTACGTACACGCTCGCGTACATGGAAACAGAGGCATTTATAGTGCACTGGCTGGGTTCACAGCAGGTCAGAGAGCAGGGTGTACTCACAGACACTAACACCCATGTCCAGGGGAGGAGAAATCCCAGTGATTCCCAACTCTCTGTGTCAGCAGAGAGCTGCCAGCAGGCAGGGCAGGGAGTCCAATTTACAATAATAATCCTGAGCACCTGAGGGGACGTCTTAAAGTGCTTCACGGGATATGCGTAAAGTGAAGTGATTGTGTCTTTCATGGTGGGAACGTGGCAGCCAATTTGTCAAAGCAGTGTCCCCACACACAGCCATGAAGTGAGTGACTGATTTTAATTGGGGGAATGTGGCTGGTGTTGCAGCACTCAGTATTGGCCTGGGGTTTCATCTCGGTCTGATTCCCTCTTTGAGGGAAAACTGAGATTATTGGTTACTGAGATTACGAAGGGTTTGACCGAATGTGAATCATTTGCTTTGCTTCTAATTAGACGCAGCTCTGAAAATAATTCAGAGAACAAAATCTGAATTGCTTCTGAACCAGTGTGGTTTATTGTTTTTTATTTTAGATCCAGCAGGAAAGCGTTGATCAGGCTTTCGAAGAGAGGAGACAGTTACAGGTAAAGGCTCCTGAATGCTTTCTGTGTGAGGTTTGTGGTTTGCAGGCTCCGGCCTGCTCCATGTCCCCCTGCCCGGCCCCATCCAACCACCAGCGGTCGGACCATCAGCCCCTCTGCCCCCACACTTTGGAACTCCATCCCACAGTCCCTTCCTTGCCTCCTTCAAAGCACGTCTCAAAACCCTCCTCTTCGATCGTGCATTCGGCCACCTTCCTGCCCCTACCCTCCCAGCCCTCCAACCCCCTGATCCCAACTCCCTGCTCGGGTCCAAATCCCTAACTGTCCAGCGCCTTGGGACGTTCTCCCACTGTGAAAGGCGCTTTACAAATGTAATATGTTGTTGTTGCATGGGGATGTAGCCTGAGATCTATTATTATTCTTCCCCAACCCAACCCAATCTCCCAAGGAGGACGGTGCAATGGACACCAGACTTGGAACCGTGGATTTGAATCCCGTTGGGTTTGTTTCAACCACAATAATAATAATAATAGTCCTTACATTTCATACAACGCCTTTCACATCTGAAAACGTCTGAAAACACTTCACAAGATATGTTCCCACAAAAACACACACACTGCACTTTACACTAAATCCTGTGAAGCCCTTTGGGGACATAAAAGGCTCTTTGTCAAATGTAAGGATTGTCATTATCCATACAGGAAAGTGTAGTAATTGTGCATTTTGTGGTTAAACATGACAGCCAGTTTGCACATAGCAACATCTCACAAACAGCCATGAAACGAATGATCAATTTTATTTGGGGAATTGTTGGCCCTGGGAGAGAGAAACTGCCTTCTCTTTTGGAGTAGTGATGGGGGATTTTGAAACACCACTTTAATAGATTAAATCTCTTACCCCTCGTGTCTTTTATCTCCTCTCAAGTGATGGTGCATTTTATTTCCCACACACCATTCCCGAAGAACTGAGCCCAACGTTCTCCCCTCATCCCAGATTTCAAGAAAACGGGAAGAAGCTGAGCGTTCCTCAACCCCGGTTTCTCAGGTACGTTGCGATCCTCGTTATCAGGGGAATTCTTGGAGGAGGTCAACACCGCAGACTATTAAAACCTTTCTCTCTTGCCTCCATAGCGTGAAGGACTGTGAGCTTGATAAGAGCAATGTGAGGGATCTGCTCCTGATCCTCGCTGAGTGTAAAGACTTGTGCAGAGTGGAGTGAGTATCACCACGAGTGGCTTACGGGGGCCAGATCAGTAGAACGTTCAAGAAGGCGACTTTCTGTTTGGTCAACCGGGTGTCTGACACATGCAGAAACCCATCACCATGCTGAAGAGCATCCAAACCAAGCTGAGGATTCCATGCACCCCACCTACACATGGAAATCCCAGAGATAGTTTGTTGGAAAGGAATGGGTACTCTCCCCCTGGAGAGACACATCCTGCTTACCTAATTCCGAAAAGTATTAAGCTGGAGCCAAGGCTTGGGGAATCTCAGATGGGGTGGGGTAGCTGCTGGAGTCTAACCAGCTAAAACCGCTCTTCTTTTACCTATGTGATGTACGTTCAATCATAGGAAAGTCATCAGGCCGTGACTTTGTAACTAAAATCAAACTCTAGAAATTAAATGATTTTTCCCCCTTCCCCGGCCCACCCAGCTCGTAGGTTAAGCCTCTCCCCGCCCCAGGTAGCACTGCACAGAGCTGGGTGGGGGGAGGTGGGGTCACAGGCTCAATCGCTGTGTGCAAATTGAGTTAGTTGATTTCGATCAGGGATGTAGATAAGTAAGGGAGGATTTAATCAGCCAAGGTTCCCCCTGACTTCCCAATGATTGTCCCTGTGCTGGGAGGTGTGTGTATGTGTGTGAACCTCAGGAGAGGACAGGGAGTTTTCACAGAGGGGAGAATGTTGGAGAAGACCCCCCCCTCCCACACCGCCACCACCCACCTCAAAGCCTTTTTCAGGAAGTGTCCCAAGTGGCCTTGATGTGAACGCTGCTCTCCTCACTCCGCCTCAGTGCTGACAGTGACGTCTGCTTTTCCCGTCTCTCCTCAGCCTGTCCTGCAATTCCCTGGGGGATGAGGGACTGCGGTGTCTGCGCGACTTCATACCCAAACTGAACATTTTAAAACTCCTCGAGTAAGTCTCTGCTGTCTTTGTCCACTCCGATCTGCCGGCTGGTCAACTGGGGAAAGATCGGTGTTTGTGTTGTCAATGTGTGTGTGTACTGTATAGTGAGTGTGTGTGTGTACTGCACAGTGTGTGTGTGTATACTGTATAGTGAGTGTGTGTACGGTGTAGTGAGTGTGTGTGTGCATTGTACAGTGTGTGTACTATATAGTAAGTATGTGTGTGTACTGTATAGTGAGTGTGTGTGTACTGTACAGTGTGTGTACTATACAGTATGTGTACTGTACAGTGTGTGTACTGTACAGTATGTGTACTGTACAGTGTGTGTACTGTACAGTGTGTGTACTGTACAGTGTGTGTACTGTACAGTGTGTGTGTACTGTACAGTGTGTGTGTACTGTACAGTGTGTGTGTAATGTACAATATGTGTATACCGTATAGTGAGTGTATGTACTGTACAGCGTGTGTACTGTATAGTTTGTGTGTGTGTACTGTGTAGTGAGTGTGTGCACTGTACATTGTGTGTTTGTGTGTACTGTACAGTGTGTGTGTGTGTGTGTGTGTGTTACAGTCGGTATGTGTAGGCTACAATGTGTGTATGGAAGCTACAGTGTGAGTAGTCTGAGCTTGATTTACGTGTTAATGTCCTTTAACTGTGTGAAGAATATGAATATTTACTGAACCTGCCGTTCAATCTGATCCCGACCCAGCATTAGTAGGAATGAAATCTCTCCCACTGGCGTGCTGTACCTCGTGGAGTCTCTCAACACCTGCCGAAGTGTTGCGGAGGTTGAGGTCAGGTACGTGCAACATTCTCCTGATGTTTATTTCCCTTTGGAACCACTGATGTGAATGCATTAGACACCTGGATGTCAGCTCAGAGCATTCTATTCAAATGAAGGTCTGAGCCAGCGATGCAAATCCGTGCGGCTCATAAATGTTTAAACTCCGCATGTGACCAGCTAATCGGGTACACAATGTGTTCAGGCCTTTGGCTCTCGCAGAGTCTTGTATCCAAACTGATCTCTGTGCAACTCTGCTCTCTCCATTGGTCAGTCGTTCTCTCTTCACCGGCTTCGAGGTTTCAGCGTGTTCCTCCCCGCTCTCTGGAACTCTCCCAAAAATCCCTTCACTTTGCTCCTTCCCACACCCCTCTCCTCTGTCCCCATCTCGCAACCCTTTTAGAGACCTATCCACGAGACAGTGACTTTGGTCAGATCTCTTGAGATGTCCTTACCCTTGCAGTAAATATTCCCATGTTCTAGCGTATTCCGACAGAGAGGACATACACTAAACGCCTTAATAATAATACTTACATTTGATATAGTGCTTTGTCACGTCATCGAGGCATCTCAAAGCGCTTCACAGGATACACTGTAAAGTGAATTGACTGTATAATTTGTGGGCGAAATGCATTAGCCAATTGTGCAGAGCAGTGTCCTGCAAACAATCGTGGATTGAAGTGACCAAATTATTATTATTTCATTTATTTATTAAACCCCCTGGAAAAGCCATCCGCCAATCGACTTCTTTTGCTTCCACAGCCTGGCTTCCAATGGCAAGTTTCTGATAAAGTTTGAGAAGAGACACGAAAAGAGGACTTGCAGGTAACGGTGTTTGTTCTCCTCCGTGTTGGTGGCTCACACGAGGGAGGCACGTCTACAGCAGTGGGAATATTATTCTTGTTGATCATCGTGGGGAAAAAAATCACTATTGATATTTTTTAGGATTGCTAATATTATTTGTGATGATAATCATCATCCTCGTTTGTGGTGTTGAACGCCTCGAAGCGTAGGGAATGGCTGTGAAGATTTTGTTGACTGTTTTATCGGCAAGCGCAAGGTCCCACAATTTATTTGGGAGAGCGAAAGGGAGAGGGAATTACCTTCTCTGACAGCAGATCCGATGATTCACAGAGACCTTTATGTGGACTCCCCGAGTGAACAAACCTCGCTCTTTCCTCATCATGTCTCAAGGCACCTATAATATTTGTCCAGTTGTGTGGACATCAGCGCTCCAAGCCAGTGTTCGCCTACTATGTGACATTGATGGAAATCTGCTCACATTATCCACCTCTCTTGGTCCAGGCAATATTGTGCTGCCTGTGGCCAAGTGGCTTTGACCCATGGCTCGAAGTTTCCCCACGTCAACTCCGACTTGCGGACTCGACCTAAAGTGACGTTGGGAATTTCTTTTCCCAGAGACGGATCGGAGTATAAAGCTGCCCAGCCAACATCCAACTGGGAAAAGGAGGGGCCTGACAGAGACGTGTGTAGAAGGATCAGGTGGGTCTATTCTTTGTTTTTTGAACCATACAAATTTACAGCACAGAAGAAGGCCATTTAGCCCATTGTGTCTGCGCTGGCTCTTTCGCCCACACTCCTGCAAATGACTCGTTTTTGGATATCTATCCATTTCCCTCTTGAAAGATAATATGGATCCTCCTGATGTGAAAGGCAGAATACAAATGTAATTTGTTGTTGTTGGATCCTGCCTTGTGTCTACTGTATCCGATAGGGCATTCCACATCCAGGCAGCTCTGTGTTAAAAAATATCTTTTTCCGATTTTCTCTGTTGTTCCTTTGCTAAGTATAAATTGAGGCCCTCTGTCACTGATTAATAAGTGCCTGTTCCAAGGACGAGGATCATGAGATTATTGAGATTACAAAAGGATTTGATCAAGTGGATGTCGATGTGGCTGTTTCCACTTGTTCGTGAGTCCATTGCTAAAGGACATCAACATAAGCTATCAAGCGCTGATAGGGAGTTTAGGAGGAACTTCTTCACACAGAGCTTGATGAGAACATGGAGCTCCCTAGCAGAAACTGTTGTTGAAGCAAAAAGTACTGTTGTATTCAAGAGAAGACTTGATGGGATACATGAGGGAGAAGGAAATAGGGGGATATAGGAGCGGGTGAATAGGAGGGTGGAGGCGAATGTGGAGTATAAACACTGACCGCAGACTAGTTAGGCCGACTACGTAACCTGGACTGTGTCTAATGTGTGGTGTTTGGCTCTGTCACAGCTTGAGGGACTGCAGTTTTAAAGAGGAACATCTGACGAAGCTCTCCTCCATTGTGGAATGTTGCAGCCACTTAACGGAACTGGAGTAAGTACAATCGATGCTGAGTTACCTGGGGGTTGGGGGCAGAGGAGGGGTGGGGGGGGGGGTTGTTATTGATTTGTAGAGAGGAGAACCTTGATGTGTGTCAGGCTGACTTGAGGGAACCTCACATGATGCATGTCCCACTACCGCTCGCCGTGTCTTGGCTGTCGGTCCGGGTTCCCCTGTAACTGGGTTTACTGTCCTGAAACCTGAAATTCCAGATAGTCTTAGCTTGATTGATCGTTTTGTCTTTAGAATCAAAGTTTGCGCTAAACTGAAGGAAATTATTAAACTCCATCTTAACTTCGGAAGCCTGTGGGGAAATGTGAGAAAAGTGGCTTCCAAATTAAGAATTTAGTGTTGGCGCGGTGACAATTGTAGGGGCAAAGGGGCCAGAGTTGTCCGATTTGGTGTCCAATTGAGGAAACGCACAAGAGTTTCAATAAAGACTGGATACGTGGTTAAGAGAGTATAAAGCTGAGGGATATAGAGAAAAATCCTGCATTTGGGGCAGTCAATGCTAGCACTCTCACCTCTGAGTCAGAAAGTTGTGGGTTCAAGCACATCAGCACTTGGAATCAAATCGTCAAAGCTGACAATCCAATGCAGTGCTGGGGAGATGTTGCATTGTCGGAGGTGCAGTCCTTCAGATGGGACATTAAAGATCCAGTGGCGCTATTCAAAAGAAGAAGGAAGTTTGTCCTGGTCAGCAACCCCCAAATAAAAAAAAATTGGTCAGTAACTCCGTGGCCGTTTGTGGGACATTGCTGTGCGCAACTGGTGGCTGTGTTTCGCCCACAAAATACAGTTTATCCTGTGAAGCGCTTTGAGATGTCTCGATGATGTGATCATCAAGGATAATCAACGACGGTGTATCAAATGCAAGGATTATTATTATAGGGATAGGGTCTGGGAGGGGCACTCCTGTGGAGTGTAAACATCAGCCTGGGGAGCAGAAGCTTCATTGCTCTGACCCGCTGTTTCTCTTGTAGCCTCTCCTGTAACAAGCTGGGGGACCGTGGCCTGAGCAGGCTGGTGGAGGTGGTAGCTGGACTCAAAGACCTGAAGGAACTTGAGTGAGTATCGCCCAGAGCGGAATAACTGAGGATGTGCTGAGAGCCAGAGTCTTTTCTAACACGCAGCAAAAGAGCATCTCAAAGCACTTTACAGAGCTAGATTGATACAAAATGAACTGAGTGTTGTTACAAAAGCAGAAATACGCTGCTAGGTGTCTGAGTTGGGGAGCACTCCTGCCTCTGAGTCAGTCAGAAGACTGTGGGTTCAAGCCCCAAGTCTGAACTTTCAAAACATTGTCCTGCCTGATGCTCCACTAGAGTGCTGGGGCAGCACTGCAATGTTGGAGTCCTTCAGCTGAGACTTAAACTGAAGCCCTGTCTAGCCGTTCGGGTGGACGTCAAAGTTTCCATGGCACTAACCACAAAGAGAATCCAGGAGTTTCTCCCAGTGTCCTGACCAACAATTCCCCAAATAAAAAAACATTTGTCCTCACCTGATGGTTGTTTGTGGGACATTGCTGGATGCAAATTGGCTGTTCCCCTACAAAATACACAGTAACTATACTTTTAAAGGAAACCCTGTGAGACATAGTGATGAGGTGCTATATACGGGCTGTGATGTGTTGTGTGGTGTGACGTTATAAGCACTCCTGAGCTCTGAATGCTCTTTGGGTTTCCCGCATTTGATTTGCATCATGTCTGCTCCTGATAAAGTTTGGTTGGGATACTCTTAAGCACTGTGATGGGTTTCCGCATGTGTCAGACACCCGGCTGACCCCAAAAAATGGAAAATACAATCATCGCAAGTTTGAATCCAGATAACGGATAATAGATGTCCAGCCAGAGAGACATTAGAGGCACAAATCAGGCTGATATACCTATCACAGATCTCTACAGGATTTTGCTTTGAGAATGTTATTTCTTTTTCCAGCTTACAGAAGAATGGGATTTCCCTCTGTGCGATGGCCCATCTCTTTGAAACACTGAAATGCTCCCAGAGCCCATTAACCCTCCGGTAAGAGTAGCACTGATTAGGTAAAGGTCAGAGATCCGGATATTCATCTCCTGATCTTCCACTTCTGCACAGTTTACACATGGACATATCTGACAGCGCTCAGTAGAGCACTCGCATTGCGTCAGGTTTTCAGGATGAAATTAAAAAAAACGTTCACACTTCACTCAACAATAGCGACAATACACATTTATGCAGCGTCTTTCACGCTGGGAGGATGTCTAAAAGCAATTCAACACAATTGCAAGACAGTCAAGTATGGGGCGTTTCGGGACAGAAAGGAGCCAAACCAAAAGTGGTTTAAAAACAGGAACTGAAACTGTGCATCTGTGGGGAGATGCAAGTGTCACGTTGGTTGAAACAACTTGAAAGTCCATCCCCGACTGCAACGTGCTGTGTTTGTGTCGCCCCGTCGCCTGCAAAATACACAGTCACTACACTATAGAGTGAATCCTGTGAAACACTTTGAGATGTCCTCCTGATGTGAAAGGCAAGAAAGCAAATGAGTGGTTATTATTATTATTGTTGTTGTTATTACAGGCTTGAGGAGCAGTGGATCCAGGCTTCAGCTGCCGTCAATCTTGCAGTGAGCTGCGTGCAAAACCATCCCAATATTGCTGCTATCAGGTACGTAGTGACTGGGTTCAGAACCTTCATTGCCCTGGGACTTATTAATGGCAGGATTGGGCTGGGAGCTGGTTAAATTCCAGGGTGTAAGGAAAGAGTTAAATAAGAGTGACCGTAAGCTCCATCAAAAAAGGTCTTTAGGCGGGATCCATGTACTGATCATCCACCTTGACACTCGCTGTTGATTTCAGGGGTGAATGATTGGACGGGCATGTTACATGGGTGAGGTGCCCAGGCAGGGCTGTGAACCAGAGAAGCAGTGGAAGATGGAAAATAGGAGGAGGGCAAATGATAATTCATATGGTGTTTGGTTCAGAGAAAAAGCTAATGATAAAGAGGGGGCGTGAGGAAAGGGCGGGGCTGAAGCCAGCACAAGCACAGTGAGCCAAATCGGAACTGTAAACCTTTGTGATTGTCTGATCGTGTCAGTGTTATCAGCCTACTGCAGAGTCTAGAATTTGGATAAGTTGTTAAACTCGTTGTTAACAGCAGCACTCCAAGGCTCTACCCCACGTGAAGGGCGCTATATAAATCCAAGTTGTTGTTGTTAAGTTTGAAGCCGGTTTTCCGTAGCTTCTTAAAACAGATTTACAGGAAATCGTCTTTGAAATTAAGGCTGCGTTTAAGAGTTTGGTCGATTTCTGGACTCTCCGAAATGTTGCGTCAATGGAGGAGTTTCTCCCCCTGTGTGTTGGCGCTTGCCTGGAATAACTAATTACAATTTGTTTTGCCAGGATAAAGAACACCAGTGTTTTGGTACAACTGGCAACCAACAATCACCAACTAGCTGGGAACTTCTGGTCTGATAACTCCAGGTATGGAATCCATGCTACATTGAGAGTCGGTCATGGTCTACGTGATGACCCTGCACCTAAATGGGTAGATTTGCATTGTGTTCACTAACGGTCAAAGACTGGGGAGTGGAGCACAAGCCTGAGCGAGATGACAGCCTGGCTCAGTCATACTGCCAATCTTGGGCCAGAAGGTTGTGATAATAATTTGGTCGCTCAATCCATGACTGTTTGTGGGACATTTGGCTGCCGCTTGTGCAATTGGCTGCCACGTTTCGCCCACAAAAAATACAGAGTCAATTCACTTTACAGTATATTCTGTGAGACGTCTTGAAGACGTGATAAGGCACTGTATCAAATGCAAGGATGATTATTATTATTTTTATTACTCTGCCCAACCCATTGATTTACTTTCTACTGAAAGGTGGACCCTAGATCTTTTGTGAATGAATTGGCTCTGGGCTGGATTTTGCGAATAGGCTCCTCACACTATAACTTGCTTAAGGATGTCTCTGCGCAGTTGTAACATTGCCCATGAATTAATGAGGCGGCAGATTAATGTGGGTGGTGGTGGGGAGGATCGGTAATCATGGAGACAGACACCAGCAAAAGTGATCAATCAATCCCATCGCTGTCTACGCTCCGGTACAGATATTGATTGCTGCGCAGGATCCAAGTGAGACATTCAATGCACGTGTACTGGATGAAGTGTGATCTGTCAGTGTTCATGAGATCGTTGTTGTGGTTGCTTGTTTTCCAGCTCGCTAATGGACTCTGCACACAGTGTTCCTCCTCTGCGCCTGATCGGGTAACTACCTCTCCCGGGTTCCTTTTCATTACCACTTTGGAATCAAAACACCAGCTGGTGGTGGGAGCCAAGGGGATGGGGGAGCAGTCGGTGGGGGGGAGCAAAGGGTGGGAGGGGAAAGATGGCCGAAAGCGCAGGCAAAGAGGAAGGGTTTGAGATGGACCTTGAAGGAGGCAAGGGAAGGGGCGAAGGTAAAGGATTCCGGGCTGCATTTCCAAAGGGTGGGAGTGGATAGGCTGAGGTTGGGGCGGGTGAACGTGAAGTAGACCGATGCCCTCCGAGCGGAGGGAGTGGACAGGTTAGTAGTGACGTAAGGGCAGTGCTAAGTACTGTTAAGTCACTAACTCTGTGGCAACATCCCAAACCTCACACAATGAAATACAATAAATGACAATAATCCTTGTATTTGACATGGCGCCTTTTATGTCGGGAGGACGTCTCAAAGCGCTTCACAAGATTTACTCTGGTGACTGTATTTTGTACATTGCAATGCTGTTGTGCCTGTGAATCACTTTATAATCTTATGCAATTATCTCCTCTCCCCCGAACCTTCAGACTCCGCCAATGCGCCATTCAAGCTCCCCAGCTTCTTGAGCTCCTGCCTGTTATTAGAATGTACCCACATCTATCGGAGATCGAGTAAGTCTCCACTTTTACTGCTGTTTCCACTGGTAGGGTTGTCAGTGACTCTTAGCCATAGCTGTTGGATAGTCACAGGAAGAGAAAACGAGGGCTTAGGCAGAACATTTTCACTCGGAGAGATGTTGGGATGTGGGATGCTCTGGTAGTGGCAGAGTCCACTGTGGGTTTCAAGAGGGAAGTAGACAGGTATATGAAGGGCACAGGTTGAAGGGATATGATGATAGGGCAGGGCAGTGAGATTGAATGAGCAGTTTTCTCTGAGACCCGTTTCAGATTCAATGGGCCAAATTACCTCCTTCTGCACTGCAAATTTCTATGATTCGTAGACAGCAGAACAACAAGATATAGGTTTAGAGTTGTAAATGGTAATCTCACAAAAGACAACAGGAAGTTTTACTTTACTCAGTAGGTAGCTAACAATTTAAACAGGTTGCCAGGAAGGGTGATTGAGGCCAGGACACTGGGACTGGGATTTAAAAAGCAGCTTGATGCTGTGATGGGAGGACGGTGGGGTGGGTGTTTTGGAGTGATGAGGTCAGATGGATCAAGGGGCCTTCTTCATCCAAACCAGTGTGTGTGAGTGCGGTATCTGTGTGTGTGGTGTGTGAGGTAAAGAACTGGCTCATAAGTTCAGACCTCTGACTCTATGAATTAATTAAAATTTCTGAACAAACACCCCTGACTGATGACTGCTGCAGACTCATGAACCACTTGCGATATTCAACAAAAATATCCCCAAACTGGACAATAAACAGCTAGAGTTAGTGTTGAGCTCACTGGCCTGGGGCTGAAAGGCGGTGCCTTGACTGAGGCCAGACTGAAAGCTCTGGGGTTTGTTTCCTGATCTGTGCTGAGTGAGCTGATCTCAACCAGGGAAGCAGGTGGGTCTACACTGGGCTCTGCAGAGGGAAAAACCGACAATGTTCCTAATCAATGATGCACTGAATCTAGCTGGGAAGTACCCGTGCTTGTGTGTGTGTGTGTGTAAACCAATGTGCACTGACCTTGAACAATGTAGTGAGCGGCCTCCGTCCTATGACGTAACCTCAGGCTCTCATGTGTTTCAGTTTATCCCACAACGACATCGGTGACCGAGGAGCGGAGGAGCTGGGCAAGATTCTGCAGGATGTCCATGGTCTCCGCAAACTCAGGTCAGTCCTGGTCACTTGGTTGTTTGATGCTTCGAGTCCCTCAAAGAACAACAGGACCCCCTAAACCCACACCACTGTACAGCAAGTGTCCTTCAGGGGTGTTGTACTGAGCTCCCGTCTGCCTGCTCAGTTTAGACTTTATAAAAATAATAATGATGGCATAGGACCTTTCACATCAGGAGGACGTCTCAAATCGCATCAAAGGATTTACTTTTAAGGCATTTTGCCTACAAAATACACAGTCACCACACTTTACTGTGTATACATGCTGTGGAGCGCTTTGAGACATCCTCGCAACGTGAAAGGCGCTAAATCAAATGCAAGGATTATTATTCTTATAACTACTTTTTAATGAAGTATATTGGCTGTGTATTTTGGAGGTGAACTCGGCAGCCAATTTGGCCTCAGCACTGTCTCACAAACAGCCATGAAGTGAATGACCAATTGTGGGCAATTGTTGGCCAGGACACTGGGAGAAACTCCCTTGTCTTTTCGAATAGCGTCCACTTGAACAAGCAGACAGGATCTCGGTCTAACAGCTCATCCAAAGGACAGCACCTCCGACAATGCAGCACACCCCCAGCACTGCACTTGAGCATCAACCTAGACCATGTGAGCTCCAAACCTTGTGGCTCAGAGACGAGTCTGAACCAGGTTGACACGGGCTTAGAACATTGTGTCAAAAACTGGTCAAACTTCCAGTATTCTAACATCTATTGCAGCCTTGAATCCATCGGGACCAGCCCAGCAGGAGCGAGGATGTTAGCAATGGGACTCGGTCGATGCCTTGACATTGAGGAGCTGAAGTAAGAGCTTATTTTTGTAGAGGTTCTGGGTACATTCCTCGATTGATATTTGCTGACATCCTGCCTCTCGTAGAAACCCAGAATAATACTTTTAGGCTCTGAGGCAGCAAAACAATAGATAGCAAAGAACAATTTTAGTTGCAAGGGTGGATGGTGTAGGTCAGGAACTTAACAATAACAACAAAAACTTGCATTTATTTAGCGCCCTTTACCTCGGATGGTGTCTCAGAGCGCTTATTTTAGAAGCAGCTCTGATGGGGAAAAAGGGAGGGTGGGTTTTCCCAAGATCACAAGATTGATTTGGATAAAGAAGACTCTTTGGCCCATCTGATCCTTCCAGAACACCCACCCAACTGTCTTCCCATCACAGCATCAAGCTGCTTCTTAAATGAGTCTAGCAATCTGGCCTCAACCACCCTCCCTGGCAACTTGTTCCAGTTGCTAATTACTCTCTGGATTCCATCCTGAAATTGTCCTTTACGATTCTAAACCTGTGGTCCTCATGTTCTAATGTCTTGGTGTATCCTAAAGTATTGATCTGGATTTACGTTTTCAATCTCATTTCAAATTTTACACACCTCTAGGAGGTCATTTTGTCTCGAGACTGAATAACAGGAGCTCGTCTAATTGTTGCTCACATCTCATCCTGGAAGTACAGTATGAGACTGAAGTGCGGGTGACCACACCTGGTCCTTCATGAACCGCTTACATCGTTCAATGAAAGATATCTCCAAACTGGACAAGAAACAGCTAGACTTAATCTTTAATTTCCACTTCCTGCTCCTGCCCACCCACAGCCTGCCCCACCCACCTTGAGAGGGCTGTGAAATGTGTGTCCGTGTTTGTGTGTGTGTGTGTGCGTGGGTGTGCGTGCTGGGTAGGGGTAGGTGGGGGGGTGTAGGGGTGAGCTCTGTTAGACCACCACCTAGTGGCAGCTATGCTTCCTGCAATGAACAAAGTTGCCGGGACTTTGGCATTGGGAGGGCAGGCGCCTGGCACTGGCTGAGCCGAGCGGGCGCGAAGCTTCCGACTGCCGTGCCCGGTGTCTGGGAGCAGGTTAGAGCCGGGTCAGCGGTCACTGAGTTATTGTACTTCAATTTCAGTTTGTCACAAAATGAGCTGGGAGAAGCAGGAGCCTCCGAAATGGGGAAGGTCTTGTCACAGATGGAACGCTTAAAGAAGATCAAGTAAGAAGCCGAGTCCCGATCGATCAATTTCCTATCCCCCCCCACCCCCCCCATCACACAGAAGTATACAATGCCCCTCATCCCTACTCTTTCCTCCCTCCCCCCCCACCTCCATAAACAGAACCCTTATTCCAGGCAAATAGAGTGCACGTTCTATTCCACACAGCTTGGATTCTCTTTACAGTGTGTTCTGTGAAGCGCTTTGGGACGTCCTCCCGACGTGAAAAGCGCTATATCAAATGCAAGGATTATTATTACTATTATTATTATTAAGCAAGGTGATAGGTTTCCGCACGTGTCAGCTACCTGGCTGAACAGAAAGAAATGTGCATCAGCCAAGACCCTTTCAAACAAGCGTGTGGATTCTGCCTCAATGACATGACACTTTCCCAGCGTACAACGTGCACTGAACCTGACCTCTGCATGTTTATTTAGCTCTTGTTAATTTCCTTAGCGTCTCCATGTCGCCTCATCCTCCCAGCGTTCTGGGCAAAATCTTACTCCATGGCCACTGTCCGGTCCGTAAAGGGAAGCTCAGTTCCTGAACGAGAGCCTCTTCTGACTTGAGGACGAGACCAGTTTTATTAGAGATGGACAGATTGGTAGTGACCCACAGACCTGGCGCTCTAGCCTGGAATGCTCTTGTTAGGAGCCTCTCTTCCCTTCTGATGAGGATCTTGCTGTTTCAGCCTCTGCAGGAGAAGGACCGCATCTGGTAGTTCGGTCGGTGGGCAGCTGTTGGCGAAAGGACTGAGCAACTGCATCAAACTGGAAGAGATTAAGTGAGTGAAGTCTGCTTTCCTTGAGATTATCCAAACAATGTAATATAATAATAATACTTACATTTGATATTGCGCCTTATCATATCATTGAGACGTCTGAAAGCGCTTCACAGAATATACTGTCAAATGAATTGACTGTGTATTTTGCAGGCGAAAGGCGGCAGGCAATTGCGCACAGCAATTTCACAAACAGGCGTGGATTGAGTAATCAAATTATTATTGTAATGTAACACCCCCCCCCCCCCCCAACAGCATTGCATTGGAGTGTCGTTTTAGATTGTATGATTCCAAGCCCTGACTTGGGGGCTTGAACCCACAACATTCTGACTCAGAGGCGAGAATTCTACCATTGAGCCAGGCTGACGCACTTCACACCAACAGCCCACCCAACTACAGGTTTTGCAAAGCTCTTTATTTGCCAGAAGCACTAAGCCCTGACGCACCGCTTCCCCTTTATTCTTTAGCCTGGATTCTCTGGAGCTCGGGGACAGTGGTGTGCAGCTGTTGGCGATGGGACTTTTGACGATGCCCCATTTAAAGAAATTAAAGTAAGTGATTAATGATTTGAGTATAAATTCTCAGCAAACATCAGGGCAAAGGGGTTCCAATTTTTAAACCAACTGAGACACAATTGACAGCCTTTACCGTCTGTGTTTCCTCTTTACCGTTCACCCTGGCAAAATCCGAAGCTCGAATTTCTTAACGTTATGTCCGTCATTGTCTTAATGTTTAAAGTAATGTAGAATTTCCTGCATGTCTTTTAAAGATCCCCCACGAGTTTGATGGTTCCAGTGGGGGAACTATGACCCTTTCCAGCATTATAAACGTTTGATGATATAGATAACCTCAATCTGTGAATTGTTTCAGCAGTTTAAGAAAGTTAAAATAATAATAATAGTCCTTATATTAGATATTGCGTCTCAGCACGTTGGTGAGGCATCTCAAAAGGATTTTACTGTAATGTGTAGTGACTGCATTTTGCAGCTGAATGCGGCAGCCAATTTGCGCACAGCAACAACGAACAGCCATGAAGGGAATGACCAATTTTGTTCTCTCTTAGTCTGAGGTCCAACTCTATCAGCAGCAGAGGGGCGGCTCAGCTCGCTGACTGTCTGAGAGGCAGCACGGAGATTGAAGACATTGAGTAAGTGGAGTGTTGCCATTTTTCTGGGGACATTGTCCGACTAAGCCACATTCATGAGCAACATTTAGTAAAGGAAGATCCTCTGACGTATCAAAACAAAGACGCTTCATGTCAGCAGTTCACTCAGGCCCAACCCTCAGGCACCTTTCCTGTTTGGCACGTTATCTTGTCACAGGTATTGTCGGATCTGATCCTTCCAGAATACTCATCCTAGTGGCCTCCATCGCTGTTTCATATCGAGTCTTCTGGCCTCAACATCCCTTCCCGGTTACCCTGTTGCAGTCATTATTGACCCTCTGTTGAGAAGAAATACTTCCTGGTGCCTGTCCTGAAATTGCCCTTTGCAATCCTGAACCTGTTTCCTCTTACTCTGTTGCCCTGGGGTAACCTTTTCATTCACATTTAAAGCCTCTAAAGATGCAAATGTCTTAAGCAAATCAAATGGAAGCACAAACAAGGTGGGAGATGGGGGCAGGAGGGCGATAAGTGAAGCGTACAGTCAAAGAGGTAGGTTTTAAGGGGTTCTGAAAGCAGAGGGGGAGGGTGTGAGGCCAAAGGAATTTGGGAGAGAGTTCCAGAGAGCGGAGACTGAGGGCCTGGGAAACGTGAGGCAGAGGGTAGAACCAGGACTGGAGGAGATCGCACAAGTGATTTGGGATAAGGCTGAGAGAAGCGGTGTGAGTGGAGAGTGAGTTGATGCAGTTACTCCTTCCACTGCTGTGGATTGAGGCTCCCATACACTAACTACATGCATCTAACCTTGCTCTCCAACCCCATTCAGTTTGTGTGACAATTACATCGAGGATCTGGGAGCAAATAAACTGGCTGACGTCCTGCCCAATATGAAACATTTGAAGAAACTGAAGTAAGTTATGTTTTCAGTTAAATTATTTCCCAGGTAACATTCCCTCTCTAAAGCCATTGTTCCAGGTGGCTCAGTCCGCTAAGCTCAGTCGACGACTTGCATTTCTATAGCGCCTTCATGCAGGGTAGCATCTTAGAGCGTTTAACAATGGCGGAGTTTGACGCCAAGCTGAGAGGAACGGAGAGGTCCCTGTAGAGATGGTCGAAAAGGAAACTCTATAAGTTCGATCTGGAGTTGGGTAAAGAGATAACAAGGGGCAAAGGGATGAGGCTGAGAGTTCCAGAGTTTTGGGGCAGATTGGCTGAATGCACAGCCGCTAATTGCGGAGCGGAGGGGACGAGGGATGGGCTGAAGGTGGGAGCCGACTGAGTGAAGGGGGCAGCTTGAAGAGTGGGGTGTGAGCAGGTTGGAGAGGTAGGGAGGTGCCAGGGAATGATATTAAGCATTGGACTTGGAACCAGAATGTCCTAGATTCAATTCCTAGTTGGTCCACTCAGCCCTTTATCCTATTGATGTCTAAAAACAGTCACGTAAACTGTGTCTTGTATATTTAACCATGCTCGCATGCCAACCGTGGCGCACACAAACTGGGAAAACTGTCCCCTCGATAAATTTGAATCTCTCACGTACACATTTCTTTCTACACTGTCTGATATCAGTTCCGAGACCAACAAAGAGGAGATGGTTCCAGGACAATATGTGCTCACATTTTTAAAGGAAGCGTATAATTTTAATTAAATACAGCGTCAGACACAATTTGACAAAGCTCCAAGGTAGCCCCAGACAGGTAGATAATGAGGGTTTTTATTTCTGATGCTAAATTGTCAGAGAATTAATGATGTAGCAAATGTCTGAGGATTTGATACTCCCCAAAGGATTGGGATGTTTAAGCAACTTTGTAATCTATTGTATCTTCACCATTAGCCTGACTCGGAACAATATCACAGCAGCTGGTGGCTCCAAGGTGGTGGAAGCTCTTGGACAATGTCCTTCAGTGCAGGAGATCCAGTAAGTGTGGGCACTGTGTGTGGTTGTTGTGGTTGTGTTTGTGTATGTGTGGTTGTGTGTGTGGTTATGTGGTTGTGTGTGTGCGGTTGTGTGTGTGTGTGTGATGGTGTATGTGTCCTGGGACTGCGTGTTTGTGTATACTAGGGCTGTGTGCTCTGTGTTTGTGTGTGTGTTTGTGTGTACTGCGCAGTATGGCACTGTGTGTGGGACTGTATTGATGGAATGTGATGTAGTGGATGAGAGATCAGTACAACTTTGTCATTCTGCTGTCATTTCTTTATGGCAGTTATACCTCAGCCTCTTTGCACTGCTCAGTCAAGGCAGAAATTGCTTGAACTTCACTTCAACCTGAGGCTTTTCAGTCCCAGGAATTTATTGCAATAACTAATCGCTTATTCCCCCACCCTCTCCAATCTCTCTCTCTCTTCCCCCTCTTTCTCTTCCCTCTGTCTTCCCCTCTTCTTCCATCCACCTCTCTCTCCCCCCTCTCACTCACTGTCTCTTTCCCCCACTCTCCCCTTTTGTCTTGTGCCCTCCCACCATGAAGCCTATCCTCAAACAAGACCGGAGATCAAACTGCGACAAGATTGGCTCAGACACTGCCAAAGCTGCCTTGCATGAAGATCCTGAAGTAAGTTGTTTCATTCTGTTGCAGACCGTCCAGTCATTGTGGTGATGGCCTTTAATGTGCTGTGAATCTTATTCAATCCACAAGCGAGGTGTAAACGTCAGACTCGGGTCACATGAAACCTTCACACGAACATTGGACTGAGAAGTTCACGTTTGACTGGGGAGCAGTCGTCAGTAAACCCAAGAGGCCCTGATGTCTCAAAGCCCAGGGTTTCGCCAGCTCCACCTCAAGACGAGGCTTCCCCCCACCACCCATAATCCCAGCTCAGAGCCACCGAGACACCAGCACGGAGCACCTGGTTATACACCAAGGCCTCCTGTGAAACAAAATGACTCCTCAATTCAACATTGTTGTTGTGTTCTTCTAACTCTCAACTGCTCATTCACATCACCTTGTTACCTCAACCTCTGAATTCCTCCCACCTCTAGTCCGGGGTATGCCGTTCTGGCTGTTAGACTTTTTTTTGGTCAGCCGGGTGTCTGACACCCAATACCGCACTTAAGAATTTCCAAAGCAAACTGAGAATTCCAAACATCTCACCTACACATGGAAATCCCAGAGATAGATTGTCGGAATGGAACACAAGCTCTCTCTCCCCCTGGAGGGATGCATCCTGCTTACCTAATTCCGGAAAGTATTATGCACAGGTTGGCAAGAACCAAGGCTTGGGGACCCCAGAGTGTCGGATGGGGTAACTGCTGGAGTCTAACCTCCTAAACAGTGTTTACTGGGGGGAGAGGTTGGGTTTCGAGATCACAATGGACTTGGAAAAAATCTTAATCACTCTCTGTTTCTCTCTCTCAGCCTTCAGTCCAATGACATTGGTGTTGATGGTGGAGTACAGCTGGCTCGAGGGCTGTTCGTGTGCACGACCATCGAAGAGATCAGGTGGGTCATGGCTTGGCATGTCCTGACATAGATTTGTGGAACATTACAGCACAGAAGGAGGCCATTTGGCCCATCGTGCCTGTGTCAGCTCTTTGGAAGAGCTACCCAATCACAGTCCCACTGCCCCGCTCCTTCCCTATATCCTCGCAATTTTGTTCTTTCCAAGTCCCTATGCTATTCCCTTTTGAATATTGTTATTGAATCTGTTTCCACCACCCTGTGAGGCAGTGCATTCCAGATTGTAATTTTTTTTAATAAATGAAATAAAAAATTCTCCTTATCTTCCCTCTTATTTTTGCCAACTATTTTGAATCTATGTGCCCTGGTTACTGGCCCAACCTGCCAGTGGCTTCTCCCTATCCATAAGATGGAAACAGAAAACATAAAGCGCTTTAAGACGTCCGCCAACATGAAAAACTCTTATCAAATGCAAGGATTATTGTTATTATTATATTCTTTATTTTCTCCCACAGTCTTCCGGAAAATAAAATCGGGAACAAGGGAGTGCTGGAACTTGCTGTGGCCCTGAAGGAACTGAAGTTGTTGAAGAAGCTGGAGTAAGTGTCTACAAGCCCTCGGAGTCCTGTATAATAACCCTTGCATTTGATACAGCGCATTACCACATCTTCGAGAAGTCTCAATGAGCTTTACACAATATACCGTAAAGTGAATTGACTGTGTATTTTGTGGGCGAAACACAATTGCGCACAGCAGTGTCCCACAAAACCTCCGTCCTTGATTGTCATTAGTGGGGTCTAATTTGCAGTATTTCTTAAAAAGAAAAGGAGAACGATCACATTTGCAAAATGTAGAACGTGTTGAATTATGCATCTATTCCAAATAAAATAGACGACTTCTCAACTTTAACGTGAGCACCACTGGCTCCCTGTCAACCAGCGGATCGACTTTAAGATCCTCGTCCTTACAATCAAACTGCCTAGATGGCTTTGCCCCACCGAAAGATGCACCCACAATTGTCGTCTTCTGCTGTTCTTGCCCGTCTCATGCCCTGCCCCACCCTGTTGGTGGGCGAACTTTCAGCCACTTTGCGCCCCTCGCTCTCCGGAACACCCTTCCCAAATCTATCTGCCTCACACGCCTTCATTTAAAACCCATCTGAAAACCCACTTCTTGAACCCTGATTCCCCCGTCACCCACCCAGCTCCGGCTCTCACTCTGCAAAGTGCCTTTGGGATCTTCTCCCACTCGCGCTGTGTAATTGTCGGTGACATTTCCTTTTAACCACCGGCTTGGAACGAGTTGTTAAAACTCACATCATTTTACCGAGTCGTTAAAATAATGTGAGTTGAGAAGCAACCTCCGTGCCCTGGGAATAGAACTTCTGAACGTTGAAAACGTGGACCTGGAGGTGTGTTTGGAAGAAGGGGAGCAGCTCAGAGCCAGGCCTGACTCGGAAAGTTTCCTAACTCTGTCTTCATTCCCCTCTTCACAGCCTGCGGCTGAACGGTGTGAACGACTGTGTGGTGGAGGAGCTGGCAGCCGGCCTGAGCCACTGTCCTCGCGTCCAGGAAATTGTGTAAGTGTTGCTGAGCAGGAGCTTCCTAGCTTCACATCCAGGTCGACCCCTGTTATAACACATGGAGGGGCGTGGGTGGGTGGGGGGAAAGGTGGGCTGCCCACGGCCACAGTCCATCTGCTCTATAAGTGAACCTAATATCTTACACCAGGCACTTTATAATGGGGTCTTCCTGTATTTTACTTGGTTTGGTTGACAGCACAGTCAACAGCTTGAATTTACCATCCCTCTGAAATGCCATGGGAAGATTGCACCAGACATTTACACTGCATCTCCGCACATCGGGAGGATGTCTCAAAGTGCTTCACAGAGTCGGTGGGGAACTGGAACTGGAACTGGGGGTGGGGGGCAGGGGAAGGAGATGGGTGTGGTGGGTGTGGTATGGGTGGCGCGGGAGGGAAGGTATCCAAAAGTACAGTCAAAAAGAAAGGTCTTCACCCTCCAGATTAACGTAACCTCACCCGCAAGAGTTCTGCTGCAGAAATACATACCTCCTGGTGTCTGCTCTTCACACCACGAATCTCGGACCTCTGTTTCTCTTTTTAAATAGCATCTGCTAGATTCTTTCACATCCCCTCAATCAGCAGACGGACGGAGCCTCTGTGTATAATAATAATAATCCTCGCATTTCATATAGCCCCTTATCACGTCATTGAGATGTTTTATCTATCTGGAAGGATGGCTCTAGGTTTACTTTCCGTATCCCTTTAAGACCTGATTCATCCGAACCCTCTCGTGCCCAGTGACAGTCCGGGCTATGGAATAATGTGATCTTCCCTCCTGCACAGATTGTCCTGGAACGGTATCAGTGACTGGGGTGCGGTGAAACTGGCTGAAGTGCTGCCGAGAATGCCAGGATTGAAAAAACTAGAGTAAGTTGGTGCTCAGAGACTCTGTCCGGGGTCTACATAAATGCATGTTGTTGTTGTTGTTGTTGTTGTTGAATTTGTATGTGGCTCAATGCTGCGATGGGAAGGTTGCGGAGTGTTTATTCTGGAAGGTGAGATCAAATGGTCTGCTTTCTCCCAACCTTTCTTCGAGCTGTGATGGGATATGTTTCCTGAGCCTTAAGTGGGAATTCCATTGATTGACTATAGGTGTCGCTGTTTACGTGTTAATCTGATCTGAGGGGTTGGATATCTGGCAGCTGTTTACAGCCAGCGCGGGAGCAGCAACATGTTGCAGCTATCTCCTGCTATTTATGTAAAAGAAAATTCTCGAATTAGAAGCCTTACGAGAGAGGAATAACTCCAGAAAAAGTAGAACGTTGAAACGATTTCACTCGCTACAATCAATATGGTGATTTTATTATAATCAAATGTTTTGTTACAGCACCTTATCAATGCGTCGTTGACGCATCTCAAAGCGCTTCACAGAATTTCCTGTGAATTGAAAGTATGGCTGTGCGTTTTGTGGACCAGCGCAGGCTTCCTTGATTCCGAATTGGGAATCGCCAAATAATTGCTCCCTTTCTTTGTTCCAGTTTGGAAGGGAATAAAATCACGGCAGTGGGGGCAGAGAGGCTGGTGGAGAGTCTCGGCCAGTGCCCTTTTATTGAAGTCATTCGGTAAGTGACGGGGAAAATCATTCATGGAGTAATGTGAATCGTGTCCAAGCCGAGAGTGTAACAGCTTCTGAAAAGAATGTGTGTAATAGCCAGAATCCTGCACTGATAGACTACGGCTGTTGTGTCCAATGAGGAAATGCTCCTGCCAGTAGATTGCTGGATCAACAATTGCCAGAACATGACTGTTTGTGGGACTTTGCTGTGCGCAATTGGCTGCCGCGTTCGCCCACAAATATATAGTCAATTCACTTTACAGTGTGTTCTGTGAAGCGCTTTGGGACGTCCTCCTGACGTGAAAAGCGCTATATCAAATGCAAGGATTATTATTATTATAACATGCCCTGTTCGCAAGCCAAAACTGTTATACTGCACCCCGGTATCACACAGGACCATATGTCTGCCCTGCTACGTATGTGCATGCTAACCACCAGAAGCACCTTAGGGGTGTCATTCTTAGAGGGTAGGTAAGTGAGGTTTCAGAACATCAGACTCAAGTCAACCCTCTGTAGTTTTAACTCTTAATATTAAACTCCAGCAGAAGCTTTGGCTCCCCAAGCCATGGCTCTCGCCAGCCTGCGCCTAACATTGTGCAGAATTAGGTAAGCAGGATGTGTCCCTCTAGGGAGGAATACACAGGAATTTCCGTGTGTAGGTGGGATGCATGGAACTCTCAGTCTAGGTGGGTTACTGTTAAGCATGGTGATAGGTTTGTGCATGTGTCAGACACCCAACTGACCAAAAAAAATCACTTACTTCTGTACATACGTTTCACAGGAAGCACCTCTGATGCCACTTTAGCTTGGAAGTGTTGAGTTTTATTCAGACTACTAAGAACATTAGAACAGAAAGAGGCCATTCAACTCATCAAGCCAGTTTCAACAAGTTAATAATAATCCTCACCTATCTTATTAAAGGATCTTTAACGTCCACCAGAACAGGCAGACAGAATGTTTAACATCCGATCCGCCAATGCCTCTCCCCTCAGGCCGCCGAGACCCTCGTCCATGCATTCATTACATCCAGGCTCGGCTACGCCAACTCCCTGCTTGTCGGCCTTCCCGACTCTTCCCTCCATAAGCAGGTCATCCAGAACTCTGCAGCTTGTGTCCTCTCCCCCACCAGGCTCCGTGATCCCATCACCTCCACCCTCTCCCAGCTCCACTGGCTCCCAATCCCTCAGAGGATAGAGTTCAAAATCCTCGTCCTCACCTTCAAAGCCCTCCCCAGCTTTGCTCCTTCCTAACCCTAATACCTGCTAACCCGTTATCAACTCGTCCACTCCCTCCACTCAGCAGACTCCGGGCTGCTCCACGGCCCCCACCATCGGAGGTCGGGCTTTCGGCCTCTCTGCCCCCACCCTTTGCAACTGCATCCTACAATCCCTTCATCTTGCTCCCTCCCACCATGTCCCCAAAACACGGATTTAATGTCCCGTCCAGGCTGGGTGTTACACAAACACTTCCTGGGGCGAATTATGCAGTATTTCTTAACAGATTTCTTGATTAAGAAAACTGAGCGAGGTCGTCTTCTGGTCAGTGGAATTACATGACACACAATGAACAACTATAAAGCGAACGATCGGTTTATCTGTGGGATTGTCTGCCAGGACACCCGGAGAAACTCCCTTCTCTTTCTGTATTGCACAATGGGATCTCTAACGCCCACCTGAATAGGCAGACAGGACCTCGATTTAATGTCTCATTGATAAACAGCATCTACAGAAATGTAGTGTCCCCGTATGTTCCCCTCCCACACACACGACTGCACCCAGAGTGTCAGCCTGGCTGTTGAGCTCAAGTTTGAGTAGTTAGGGAGAACGGGTCAGGTCAGCTAAGAGAATGGGAAACTGATCACTAACCAATCGGCCCGGCGTTAACTCTCTCTCATCCTCTAGGTTGTGGAAGAACAATACATCAAGAGACCAGGAGCAAAGTCTCCAGGAACAAGAGCCCAGATTAAATTTCAGCAGCACTCCATAACCTGGCGGAAGCATCTCTATCAGCTTTTCATACAATACGCTACATTTGTATAGCGCTTTCCATGTCGTGAGGACGTCGCAAGGTGCTGGACAGTCAAGGATTTGGACCCGAGCTGGGGGCTGTTGGGTTCAGGGAAGGCGGAGGGCAGGGAGGGTAGCAGGGTGGCCGAAGAGGTGGGTCTTGAGTCGTGCCTTGAAGGAGGAAAGGGAGGGAGCGAGGCGAAAGGAATGTGAGATGGAATTCCGAAAGGTGGGGGTCATTGTAAATGAAGGACGATTTCAGGAGAGACACTTGATGTATTTTTTCACACGGAGGGTGGTGACCAGACGGAATTGGTTACCACTACTGCTGCTCGAGTACTGAACACTGGATTGGTTGGAAGAAAAAGCGTGATGTGGCGACGGGAAGGAGGAAAACAAGTGAAAGAGACTTCTTCATTCCGAACTTGGAGAGGTCAACTCGTGAAGTCAGGGTGTCATCACCAGTTATGGGAGTTACAGGCACATCGAGGCAGAGGGGCCTGAAGAAGAAACAAACCAGTGGACCATTCATTTGCAGATTGAAGCCTGTGTTTCCTGCTCTGGATGGTAGTGCTAGCTATGCACAATTGATTGTTTTTGCACTACTCTATGCACTTTGGTTCAGTGTGCCATATTTATAGTATTTATTTACATCTTTGACACTGTTTTGTAATGTCTCGGAGAGTCACTTAACTGTATATTTTCTAAACATACTTGAATTAATGGGTGCAATACCAGCTGTGTATACTGCGTCTGTTTCATCTGTGCTAGTTCCACAGATTGGATCTACCTCACTGCTCTGGTGGTGGGGCTGGGGGTAGGGGAGGCGGACCAGGGAGTGGATGGCAGAACTGGGGGGAGAGAGGAGGGGGAATGGGGAGTGGGCGGGGGGAAGACCACTATCAGTTCTGTTTCCTCAGCCACAGATTCCTGATGTGAACAGGGAAAACAAAATGCACAGTCACTCCACTTTACAGTAAATCTTGTGAACCACTTTGAGATGTATACCCAACGTGAAAGGCGCTGTATCGGATGCCAAGACTGATATCAGTTATCATAGCTGAGCCTGTCTACACACACAGCACACACTCACCTTGTGGGTCTCTGTTTAGCAGTCAGGAGCAGGAACCCTTGCAATCTGTCCTTCCCAGACACAGGTCTACGGAAACCAGTTGTAGCCTCAACTGCTGTCCTGGCTGATATGATTTATGACAAGACTTGCCTTTGATACAACACCGATATAATATAACTTCCCAAAAAGCTTCACAGGCAATTGCTGTCAAGGGTAGTGACTGTGTGGTTGAAACTTGACACGGACTGGGGATTCACATGTAGTACTTTGAAACAGCACCTTAAAGCAAAAATAAGAAATGTTTCATAATATTAGTAAAAATCCTTGCATTTGATATAGCGCCTTATGTCATTGGTACGACTCGAAGCGCTTCACAGAAGATACTGTAAAGTGAATTGACTGTATATTTTGTGGGCGAAACGGGCAAAAAAAGATTTTTTTTTTTTCCGTTGATACAGTTCTCTTGTCGGGTCTCTCAACGCTCCCGTGCACTTTCAATTGTCATCCTTTCCCCGGAGTGTGACACGATCTGTGATTTGCTCTACCGTTTCTGTAACAGACGAGTGTTGAGCAGACCGTTTGGTTAATGAGTGCCCTTGTGTTGGTGAAAAGGTTCCAGATGGGAGCCGCTCAGAGGATTACCCCATTTGTTACAACATTCTGTCCCATTGTCTTGTGAAGCGAGACAAATTTAACGATTAAGTACCCTTCAGCTGATTCTTCCATCTGGAACCAATTGATAAAAGCAGGGCAATCATATAGTATTCCCCCTCATAACATCAGAACCAACAAGCTCAGTCGCTGTTACACCACACAAAGTGATGGGCAGAGGAAAAAAGTCTTTAAGACTCCCGAAAAAACCCATGAGATGAATGATCAATTCTCTCTGGAGGATTTGTTGAGCAGGAGACCAAAATAAACTCCCTTCTCTTTTCCAGTTGTGTCGTTTAGTCTTTAATGCCCACCGGAACAGGAGGAACTGACCTTGATTTAATGTCTTACATGAAGGATGATACCTCCACCAATGCAACCCTCCCCTTTCCCAGGAGTTGCACTGGACAATGAGCTCAAAGTCTCGAAACTGAGCTTGAACCCACAGCCGAATTAAAGGTTGAGAGAACATCCCAAATGCCCGACTAAACCACATAACCCAAGCATTGGTGCAGGGCAGGAGTTCTACATGCATGCTGCAGTGCATTCTATTCTGGGATCTGCAAACGTGTTTACGCTGTGCGTTTTGATAAGACGTTGCCATTTGTGAGTGGGAAGAGTTTCGATCCGATGGGATTATGCTGTTGGAGCGAGCAAGATCCTTATTTGCAGTTGGCAGTCAGCGGAATAGACGTTGAGCTATTTTTGCCACATGTTTGGGAGAATCTCAAAAATTGCACAGCAATAAAGTGAAAACAAAGAGCTGATTGTGATAAACACAAATAAAAAGTCTGCCATAAAGTTCAAGCTTCCCCCAGACAGCGTGCCATTGAGTAATAGCTATGTAGAATTCATTGCTTTGGCAGCAAATATTTACCCAAGAGTTTACACTCTAGGTTCATGCATGCAGTGGCTGATGCAACGACTACATGAAATCGCAGTAGTCATGCAAATTCACTTAATTCACGAGCTGATCGTTCAATGGCTACTGTGTTGGCCCCGTTCACTGAGTTTGCATTTCCAGAAGCAGGAGCAATACGCAAAGCACCTGTTAACATTGGTGCAACTGGGATCTGCGGGTAACAGGAATCAGCCTTATATTTTGCACACAGAAAAATACGCACGCAAGCACACTATTTTACAGTACATCCTGTGAAATGCTTTGAGACGTCTCAACGAGTTGATAAGGCCCTGTACCAAACGCAAGGATTATTATAATTATTACTATTAATTTAAGTCGCTAGTTGCATCAACTGCAACATTATATGAAAGGATGTCAGAAGGATATCTCAAAGCACTTCAATGTCTGCTGAAATGTCAGAGGTGCCGTCCTTCAGATCAACACAACAAATTACATTTATACAGCGCCTTTCACTGGACAGTCAGGGATTTGGACCCGAGCTGGGGGTTGGGATCAGGGAGGGTGGAGGACAGGGAGGGTAGGGGTAGGAGAGTGGCCGAAGGCGAGGTCGAAGATCTCAAAGAGTAGTGACTGTATGTCTGTGGACAAATGGATTTTGAGGATTGTGGACGGGATGGGAGTGAGAGAAATGACTTAGCACCACTTTAATAAAGTCTTGGTGAGCCACTGATTCCTCCCAATGTTACAATACATCTTTATTCTGTATTGCCAATTCTGTACAGAAAGCAGATGAGGTGGGATAAGCTTGTTCTGCAGTTTCTGTGTATTAACGGAGTACATTCATGCCATCTCTGCACTGTTCTGAGATACCGACACATACTTAAGAGCGTGCATGTTTTTTTTTGGGTGGGGAGGGCGGTGAATGATGTTTTCATGATAAATGTCAATTAAAGGGACACTGCCTTCATTTTAAAATAGTCTCTCAAAACAGATGGGAAAGAGCAGGATGTTATTTTATATATCAGGGAGATACGGGTGTGCAGGTGTGAGTTGGCGGGGTGGGGGCAGCCAGTACACAGAGAGCAGAGAAACAGAAAACAGTGGTCGGTCCCTTTAAGAGAGTGTGAAATGCCTTTCATGCTGATCACGCAAACAATGACGTTCCATCAGACTGCGAAGCGAAGTAGAAGTGAGCCGTGTCTTTCCTGTGTGGTACTCAGTGCCAATCAGCCCGATTTTGTGAACTGGTTTTGCGAGTGGCATCACTTTGGTTTCCTCTCCCCTCCCACCTCCACCCTCCCCACACACACGGTTTAGTGCATCCTGTGGTTACACTGGCAGTGTCGAAAATGTGTATGCAAATCTTTTGCCTTCTCTTCTGAAGCTTCTGAGCTCCAGTTGTAGACACGCTTCAAAATTGTACAAAATTGCATAAGACACCATGCCTTCTCCTAACGTCACTCTCCTCGTTGCTGTTTTTTTGGTCAGCCGAGTGGCTGTTACATGCTGAAACCCATCACCGTACTTAAGAGTATCCAAACCAGATTGAGATTCCCGCTCATGCCACCGACACTTGAAAATGTCCTTATCTAGAATGGAATAAACACTCTCTCTCTGGAGGGAGGGAAGCATCATGCTTACCTAATTCTGGAAAGTGCTAGGTACTGGATGGCGAGACCCAAGGTTTGGAGAATCCCGTGAAGCGCTTTGGGACATCCTCTGGCTGTGAAAGGAGCAACAACAACAATGTGGCATTTATATAGCGCCCTGTACACAGCATTGTGTCTTGATGGTGACGTAGCTTGATGCTGAGCCAGGGAGCAAGGGGAGGTAACTGTAGGCGAAGAGGAAGATCGGTCGAAAGGGTGTGATCTGAAGATGGGCAGGGAGAGGGCAAGGCAACAACAACAACAACAACAACATTACACCCTCTGATCGGACACTCTCATTGACAGAGCATACTTTATTTTCCCTTAGTGCAGATGCTATACTGCCGACCTTTATCGGGAGGGGTGGGGGGGGGGGGTCAGCCAGGTGTCTGATACATGTGAAAACCCATCGCCAAGTTTAAGGATATCCAAGCCAAACTGAGAACTCCATGCATCCCACCTACACATGGAAATAAATCCCAGAGATGTCAAGCCCTGTAGCTCGGTGGTTAGAGCATTCGCCTCGCAAGCGAGAGACCTGGGTTCGATTCCTGGCAGGGTGAAACCTTGGCAAGTTTCTTTATTCCACACGCCTGATAATAATCCCTCAGAAAAAAAAACCCAATAATAATTTGGTCACTCAATCCACGGCTGTTTGTGGGACGCTGCTGTGCGCAATTGGCTGCCGTGTTTCGCCCACAAAATATACAATCAATTCACTTTGCAGTATATTCTGTGAAGCGCTTTGAGACGTCTCGAAGACGTGATAAAGCACTATATCAAATGCACGTATTATTATTATTATATATTATTGGAATGGTAATGCCCACTCTCTCTCTCGCTCTCTCTCTCTCTCTCTCCTGGAGAGACGCATCCTGCTTACCCTAATTCCGCAAAGTATTAGGCGCAGGTTGGCAAGAGCCAAGGCTTGGGAGACACCAGAGTGTGCCTTGGGGGTAAGTGCTGGAGATCTAACCAACTAAAATCACACAGTGATGCATTGCCCACAAAAAAAGAAGAGAAAATAAATCAGCCCACAGAAATGCAACAGCAATAATACTTCCCCCCCCACCACCACCACCACCCCCACCCCTCCCATCCCTCTCTCTTCCCTCCCCCTCTCTCTCTCTTTTGCCTGAGCGCATTATCACACAGAGAGCAGGATTCGCTGTGGCTTTTTTTTTGCATTAGTTACACTGGAAATAAAACAGGCGGAGTCTACGAATGCCTCGCATTCTGGGCTCTGCTGCTGCTGTCAGTGTGTGTGTGTGTAGTTGTGGTGTTCATGTCACCAGTTTGCTTGGGATGTGACTGACCACTTGAAGGAAAGGGGGTGAGGTGGGGTTTATGGGGTGGTGGGTGGGGGGGGGGTGTAAGGGGGTAGGAGTGGAGTGGCTGATTTGCAGCTGATGTTGGGTTGAGCACAGCATTGACAGTGATATTAACATTGATATTTCAAGCTCCACATCCCAACGAAGAAGGAGGAGGAGGAGGAGGAGAGAAGAGAGGATCTGAAGGGATATCAAGACCAAAAACAAACTTTTTATTGCAACTTTTTTTTTGGTGAAGGGGGAGGTTTCAAGGGGTGGGGGGGGGGGGGGGGTTGAGTGGGAGAGGAACCTCAAAAGGATAACAGAGAGAGAGAGAGAGAGAGACACACAGTGAGAGAGTGAGTGAACCCCAAGCAACACAGCTCCTGTTGAAGGTAAGGTGTGTTATATTTATGTTGTGTGGACGTAAGGTTACTTCTGCCTAATGCTGAGAACATGTCTTTGAAATTTGAATTGAATGGACATTAAATCCTGTTGCTTTTGCGATGCTTTCTTTGGCTAAAGATGGGAGGAGGGTGGGAGCATACTATTTATTGTGTGATTTAATTTCTCTGTCTCTCTCTTCACCCCCCACCCATCCCACACACAAACACATTGCTGTCTGTTGCTTTTTCCTCGTTCCATCCATTGCATTCCACCCACAAAACTTTTCCCGGTGGGAATTTCTATGTAGTCGATCTATTGTGTATCTATCTATATCTATCTATCTATCTATCTCCACCTGTTGACACACACACATACACACACACACACTCACACATACACACGAATGATTCCTGGCGTTTGCAAAATGCATTTGACATTCTTGTTTGCAAAAAAGAAAATTGAAATTGAAATCGAATTCGAAATCGAAATGAAATCGAATAGAATCCGTCCCCCACATCCACCCCCACCCCCACCCCCACCCCCCACATCCCCTCCTCGCCGTGTGTGTGGATTGCCAATAATAATCTGCATAACTTGCCTTTTTTGCTTTGCAACCGATTAAAAAGGGATAACAGAGATGGTTGAGCTCAGCCCTTCTGCTTATCCATTGATTGCCCAATTGCAGCCTTTTTTTTTTGTATCGTTTGCAATAAACCAAGAAAAAAAAGAAGAATGTTGAATGATGACAATAAGGAATAGGATGAACCTGGCAAACCCCCTTCAGGATGGCAGGTGTCCCCGGAGACCATTCACAGCCCGTGGTCCAGAAGGACAGGTTGGCGATGGCTCCTTCTTTGCAGCGGTGGCAAACGATTGCAATGTTCTGTGGGCGCTCCGGGTTCGTGGCTCCCGGAGTCCCGCCTGTGGTCCCCTGACACCCACATCCAGCTCTAGGGGGCAATCCTGCTCCGCTCTGCCTCTGGTTGCACTGGAAACATTCAGGGTGGGTGGAGTGGGGATGGGAGCAATGAGTGAGTGGGAGCTCCAGATGTGGAGACATCCTTTGCTCCAGATGTCAAGTCTCTCTCCTTTACTCCAGATGTCAAGCCCACACCCCCCCCCCACCCCCACTTTGCTCCAGATATTTAACCCGCCTTTACTCCAGATGTGAAGATACCCTTTGCGCTAGATGTTAAGCTCACCCCCCCCCCACCCCCCTCCCGACCCCCCTTCCTCCCTTGCTCCAGCCGCCATGGGAGCGAAAACTGCAACTGAATGTAACTCTTCTGTTGGAATTAATCTTCCCCTTTACTCCAGATGTGGAGCTCCCTCCCCCCCCCACCACCCACCCTTTGCTCTAGGTGTGGAGTGGTTCCTCTCCCAGATTAGCCAAAGCGGAACTGTTTTTTTGCGGGACCTTGAACTTGCTTGAGATCCGCAAGTTCAGATGGAATTTCTTCTGCTTAAGTAGGAACCCAGTTGTTAGTCGATTGGCAGATCGCCCTCCAGCGCTAATAATCGCTCTCCAGGGCTAATAATCCCTCAAAAGAAAATGGCCCAAATTTGTCACCCAATCCACAACTATTTGTGGGACACCGCGGTGCGCAATTGGCTGCCACATTTCCGCCACAAAATAAGTCAAACCACTTTACAATATATTCTGTGAAGCACTTTGAGATGTCTCAATGATGTGATAAGAAGCTATATTAAATGGAGAAATGGAGTCCAGTAGTTTAGTGGTTAGAATACTTGCCTCGCAAGCAAGAGGACCCAGGTTCGATTCCCGGGCAGGGCGAAACGTTGGGCAAGTTTCCTGACTCCGCACGCCTCTGTTTATCTGGCAGTAAATAGGAACCCGGTTGTTAGTTGAGTGATGGATCGCTTTTCCGGAGCTAATAATCCCTTCAAAGAAAAGAAAAAATAATAGTAATAATAATTTGGTCACTCAATCCACGACTGTTTGTGGGATACTGCTGTGTGCAATTGGCTGCCGCGTTTCATCCACAAAATATACAGTCAATTCACTTTACAGTATATTCTGTAAAGCTCTTTGAGACGTCTCAAAGACATGATAAGATTCTATATCAAATGCAAGGATTATTATTTACTGTTATTATAAATGCCTTGTGCTGTGCTTGAAGATTTCAATGGTAGATGTTGAATAATTGCATTGCAAGACAATAAATCAATAAAGCCAATTGGATTGCAAGTCAATTAATGAACAATAATAATAATAATCCTTGCATTTGATATAGTACCTTATCCCGTCTTTGAGATGTCTCAAAGCGCTTCATAGACTATACTGTAAAGTGTAGCAGCTGTGTGTTTTGAGGGTGAAATATGGCAGCACACTTTAAATAAAGTCAGCGATGCCACCTTACACACAAGATAAGCTAATTTCCATAAAACTAATAATAATAATAATCCAACAGTTGGTGTAGTGCTCTCATGTTGGGGGATATCTCAAAGCATTTCACAGGAACTTCTGTAAATATCAAACCATTCTCTCAGCTTCACACTGAGAACTTCACCAAAAATAAATCTTGCGATGTATTTACATCTAAAATTCTATTTACAGCTAAGATGGTGTCACCGGTGTGGATCAGAGATGCACACAAACATCACTTAGCGTGATCGCTGGCTGGTCTGTGGTTTATGGGTTGAATCAAGTGAGGCATTAGCAGGAGTGTCACAATTGGCCTCATTGCCCCTGGGGTCTATAAAGGGGGGGAAAAAAAACAGGCAAGGCTCCACTGCCATGCTGATCAGTGCCCCCCTCACCACGACCGTCGCTAGACAATGTCAGTGTAAGAGCTTGTTAATGAGAACACAATAAGGCTAGGCTGTGACATCCTCACCTTTGCCAGCACGATCTATCCAGCCTCAAATCCATCTAAAATAATAGCACTCCTCCAACACTGTATTGCGGAGTCATCCTCGACTGTGAGCTCAAAGCCCCAATATGGGGCTCGAACCCACAATCTTCTGACTCTATAGGCGAGAGTGCTACCGAGTGAGGCAGGTTGATGCCCTGCGTTTAAGAGAGAGCAAGCAAACAACATTAATTGCTCTCCTTTAAGTGCATAATGGTAAAAGGTTCATTTCTTTAAGTGGGTTCCTTTGAAGATGATTGTTGCTTCTGTTTGTAGATAATTTAGTAACTGGAGTGTAGTCCGTGTACAAATTGCTCCTTAAACTTTAGGCAGCTGAGATCCATTAGTAACATGGCAATGTTCCAAACTGTCCTGTCCCCTTGTAAGTAATCTCAGGAACAATTCCAAATTTGTTTTCACGCCACAAGCTTTTCCTGTTTGGACAGAGCTGGAGTTTCAACTCACTGGTTCTACAGGCCAGGATGTTTTGTATCTTAGTCTATTATTTTTTAAGGATCGATCACAGGAGCAGTAAATAGTGGATAAACCGAGGAGGATGCCGAGTGATTTGAGCTGGAGTGAGGTGACCGTAAGTACGGTTGAAGAGGAATGTCTTTCAAGCCTGATCTGAAAAAGAGGAAGGTGGGGGTAGGGTGGAGGGATTGAGACAGAGTGTTCCAAAGTTTCGGGGCCTTGGGGCTGAAAGCACGGCAATCAATGGTGGAGCAGAGGGGATAAGGGGCAAGCAGGAGGCCGGAGCTAGCCGAGCGGAGGAGGCGGGTAGTGGAATGGGGAGTAAGCAGGTCGGAGAGGTAGGGAGGTGCCGGGGTATGAAAGGATTTGTGGACCAGTGTGAGGATCTTGAAGTTGACAGTAATTCCCTGTGAAAATCTTTGAGACTTTTGGCCTTTTAGGTGGTGTATCAAATGCAATAATTACTATTTTATTATTTGTGAAACCTCTCAGTATGACACATTGGTGCTTTTATAAATTGGGGCAAGTTCACTGGAGACTGGAACTCGGTCATTAATTGGACTTAAACAACTTCAGAGGAAATAACCCATCATCAACACTCATCGTTGTGAAATGGACAGCAGAGTAATGTGAGAGAGAGAGAGAGAGACAAAAAAAGACAAAGAGGGAAAGAGAGGGAGAGAGTGCAGTGAGCGTACTGGAATCGCAAATGCAGATCCCTACCTGAATTTGTTGTTACAGAAACTGCCCAAAATAGACCTGTAGCTTTTGTTTTTGAATCCCGTGCCAGGAAACTTTGGAGGAACAGAAAATAGATTCCTAAGGTGCATATTTTAAGGCTTGACATTCTGACTGGTCCTAGTCCATCACACAATCAAGTCTTTAAAATTTAAGATTGCCCCAAGCTGCGGAGAATACTTAAAATCGGTTTTAATTTGGAAGCGGGTTTGTTTTAAGAACTGCAGAATGCAACAATTTGCAGCTTTGTCTGCCCACAGTGTAGCCTACGTCTCTTTAAAGGTCTTTAATTGGTCTTTACTGAGAAACTGACTGGGTAACGAGCAAAGCTTTTCGAGTTTGGGAAAAAGCTTCTGTTTATAACCCTGCTGCCACTCCAACAATCAATCTGCACACAGCCGTGCTCTGGGAAATCGACAGGCTTTTTTTTTCATCATTCTTCTCCTCGGATGATCTTTCACAGTTTGATCCTTAATAATGAATCCATCTTGGCTGCAGTAAATGAATTTAATGGTCATTTCAGAACATTTTCTGAGCAGTTGAGAAAGCTTGTTGTCAGTGTCGGTCGGAGCCAACTGCTCATTAAACACCACTCTCCCCTTCTCACAGCTCCGCTGAGGATGGCCATTTGCATCACTTTATATTGCAAACCCATCACCGCTGGAAATCCAGTACTTTTAAATCTCAAAATAAGGGCTAATTTAGAGCTTTGAAAGGTGCAGTGTATTTTTCCAGGGTTCTTGGCTACATGTATGAATTAATCTTCTTTTAATCTGCTCAATCTAATGCATTCCGTAGGAAGAGGAGTAGGCCATTCAGCCCTTCGAGCCTGTTCTGCCATTCTATTAGATCATGGCTGATCTGTACCTTTAACTTCAATTATCTGACTTTGCCCCACAATAAGAAAGTGCTGTGGCTCTCCA